CCCTAGCCCCCCTCCCGGTTGGCCCCGCCCCCTGGCCCCGCCCCCTGGCCCGGCCCCGCCCTCACCGCCGCCGTAGACGCCGCCGCTCATGGCGCCTTCAGCACCGGGACAGCGCCGCCGCGCGGGGGGCGTGGCCTCGCCGCGGCCAATCAGCGCCCGCCGTGCGGCGCGCGCGCCCTCGCGCGCTTAAAGGCGCCGCGGCCCTTTGTTAAACCGGAGGGGGCGTGGCCTGTGCTTCTGGCTCCTCCCCTTTGTGGGCGTGGCTTCACCCAAAGCCACTCCCACTCACTCCTCCTTCCCCTCCCGCGCGGCGTTAATTAGCGGTTTGGTTAATTAAAAGCAGCAAAATGGCGGATTTGGTGGGGGGGGGGTGAGGCTGAGCGCTGCCCGTGAATAAAAAACCCAAAAATCCCCCCAAAAAACACCGGGGAGGGGGCGTGGCTCGGAGTGGGCGTGTCCCCTGAGGGGGCGTGGCTAACGGGAGGCGTGGCCTCGCGGCGGAAGCGGCGCGGGACGCGCGAGGTGCGCGCGGGGGGGGGGGGAGGGGGCGGATTTTGGGGAGGGGGTCCCGGAGTGGGGGAGGGGGGGGAGGTCAGGGGGTGTTTGGGGGTCCCGGGGGGGGGATCCGGTGGGTTTGGGGGATCCCGGGGGCGGGTCCCGGTGGGTTTGGGGGTCCCGGTGGGTTTGGGGGGTCCCGGGGGGGTGTCCCGGTGGGTTTGGGGAGTCCCGGTGGGTTTGGGGGTTCCGGTGGGTTTGGGAGGTCCCGGGGGGGGGGTCCCGGTGGGTTTGGGGGCTCCCGGTGGGTTTGGGGGTTCCGGGGGGGAGCGGTGGGGGGAGGTCCGGTGGGTGGGGGTCTTTGGGGGGGGGTCCCGGGGGTCCCGGTGTCGGTCCCTGACGCCCCCTCCCCCTTTTTTCCCCCCCTCCCCCCCCCAGCATGTCCTCGGTTCGCCCCGCGGCTCCGTCCCCGCCGCCGGGGGGGCTCCCGGGACCGCCCCCCCCCCCCCGCCGCCGCCGCCACCACCGGGGCGCGGCCGCACCGGGACCCCCCCCGGGCTCCCCCCCCGCCGGTGCTCCCGGTAGCAACGACGTGTTCGTGACGTCGCGCTCGGACTTCCGCGCGCAGCTGCGGCGCTGCCAGCGGCTCCTGGCCCCGGGCGGGGGTCCCGGTGCTCCCGGTGCGGCTCCCGGTGCTCCCGGGGAGCTGCGGCTGCACGGGCTCGGGCTCGCCGTGCCCCGCACCATCAATCTGGCGCTGCAGCTGCAGGCGGGCGCGGGCGGGACCCTCCGCCTCCACGCCAGCACCTCCTCCGTGCCCCTCCGCGCCCCCCGCGCCCGCCGCCGCCACACCGGCGACACCGGCGACAGCGGCGACACCGGCGGAGAGGACGGCGACACCCCCCGGCACAACTCCGCCATCCACATCCGCCTCTGCCGGGAGGCGCCCTGCGCCTGACGGGGCTCCCGGGGGTGTCACCGGGACCCACCGGGGGTGTTGGGGACACCCCGGGGCACCGGAGATGGCACCGGGAAGGGGTTTGAGGGACACTTCGGGGACACCGTGAGCCGGGACGGCACGGACGGGGACACGGCGGCGTGAGGACACCGAGCTGCCACCGATGGGGGCACCGATGTCACCATGGGGTGCTCGATGTCACCGTGAGCCCCTCGGTGTCACCCTGGGGTGCTCGGTGTCACCCTGGGGCGCTCGATGTCACCCTGGGGTGCTCGGTGTCACCCTGGGGTGCTCGGTGTCACCGTGAGCCCCTCGGTGTCACCCTGGGGTGCTCGATGTCACCCCAAGCCCCTCGGTGTCACCCCGAGCCCCTCGATGTCACCCTGGGGCGCTCGGTGTCACCGTGAGCCCCTCAATGTCACTGTGAGCCCCTCGATGTCCCCATGAGCCCCTCGGTGTCACCCTGGGGCGCTCGGTGTCACCGTGAGCCCCTCGGTGTCACCGTGAGCCCCTTGATGTCACCCCGAGCCCCTCAATGTCACCCCAACCCCTCAATGTCACCCCCAAACCCTCAATGTCACCCCCAGGCCATCAATGTCACCATGAGCCCCTCGATGTCACCTCAACCCCTCAGTGTCACCCCCAACCCCTCGATGTCACTTTGAGCCCCTCAATGCCACCCCCAGCCCCCCCCTCCAGCAGCCCGGGGGACTCTGGGGGTGACACGGGGACTTTGGGGGAGTGTCACCCCAATAAATCCAACGCCAATGAGGCCTCGGAGAGTTTTTGGGGGGATTTTGGGGAGGGGGGGGGCGGGGCTGGGGCTTCCTCTGCGTCACCGGTGACATTTGGGGCAGGAAACCCCCCAGGTGACACTGGGGGACCCAGGGGACAGTGGGGGGAGCGCAGGGAGAGGGTCTGGGGGGGGAAATGGGGGGAGCTGGGGGGCTCCAGGTGACATGAAATGACATTGGGGACATCCCCAGGGGGAAATGGGGGGAGCTGGGGGGCCCCAGGTGACATTGGGGACATCCCCAGGGGGACATGGGGGGAGCTGGGGGGCTGCAGGTGACATTGGGGACATCCCCAGGGGGAAATGGGGGGAGCTGGGGGGCTGAAGGTGACATTAAATGACATTGGGGACATCCCCAGGGGGAAATGGGGGGAGCTGGGGGGCTGCAGGTGACATTGGGGACATCCCCAGAGGGAAATGGGGGGAGCTGGGGGGCTGCAGGTGACATTAAATGACATTGGGGACATCCCCAGGGGGAGCTGGGGGGCTGCAGGTGACATTGGGGACATCCCCAGGGGGACATGGGGGGCTCCAGGTGACATTAAATGACATTGGGGACATCCCCAGGGGGAAATGGGGGGAGCTGGGGGGCTGCAGGTGACATTGGGGACATCCCCAGGGGGAAATGGGGGGAGCTGGGGGGCTGCAGGTGACATTGGGGACATCCCCAGGCGGAAATGGGGGGACATGGGGGGCTCCATGTGACAATAAATGACATTGGGGACATCAAACCTCCACGGGTGGGGGGGAGCGGGTGGGAAATGAGGGGGACCCTGGTGACAAAGGGACACTTGGGTGGCCAAAGGGACACTTGGGTGGCCACAGGGACCCCCGAGTGACCGTGGGGACCCCCGGGCGCGCAGCCCCCGGTCCCGGGTAATCCCTGCCATGTCCCTCCGGGGGGGACATCCGGGAGCCCCCGGGGACTCCCGGTGCCACGGGGGGGACCCGGCGGTGTCGGTGACGTCGCTGTCGCCGCTGTCCCCCCGCCCCCGGTGCCCTTTGGCCCCGCTGGCGCCGGAGCCGCGGTCGCGCTGTGCGGAGCCGCACGTACGGCCTGGCAGGGGGCCCGTGTCACCTCCCGGGTCCCCCGTGTCACCTCCCGTGTCCCCCGTGTCCCCCCGCGCGGGGGTCCCCGGGGCCGCCCCCGGGGCCGCGGTGGCGCTGGGGACGGGGACAGTGACGGCGACAGTGACGCTGTCCCATTGTTCGGGGCTTCCGCCGCTCGAGGGATCCCGGGATCCCCCGGCCTGGCGCGGCCCGGTGGCCCCGTGCCGGTGTCACCGCGGTCCCACGGCCCCGCGCGGGGTGTCCCCGGGGCCGTCCCACGGCCGTGCGTGTCCCCGTCCCCGTGACAGTGTCACCGTGCGTGTCCCCGTCCGCGTCCCGGTGTCACTGTCCGTGTCCCCGTCCCCGTGTCGGTGTCCCCGTCCCCGTGCCGGTGTCACCGTCCGTGTCGCCCTCCCCGTCCCGGTGTCACCCCCGTGTCCCCGTCCCCGTCCCGGTGTCCCCCTCCCCGTGTCGGTGTCACCGTCCGTGTCCCCCTCCCCATCCCGGTGTCCCCCTCCCCGTGGCGGTGTCACCGTCTATGTCACCCCCTCCGTCCCGTTGTCCCCCTCCCCGTGTCGGTGTCACCGTCCGTGTCCCCCTCCCCATGACAGTGTCACCCCCGTGTCCCTCTCCCCGTGACGGTGTCACCGTCCGTGTCCCCTCCGTGTGCCCCATTCACCTGTCCCTGTGTCCCACCCGTGTCCCCGCACCCGTGTCCCGCTCCCCGTCCCCTGTCACCCGTTTTCCTGCCCGGTGTCCCCTCCGTGTCCCCCATTCCCCCATCCCCGTGTCCGTGTCCCCTCCGTGTCCCCCCCACGTTTCCCATTCCCCCATCACTGTGTCCCCCCGTGTCCTCTCTGTGTCCCCCATTCCCCCATCCCCGTGTCCCCCCGTGTCCCTTCGTGTCCCCTCCGTGTCCGTGTCCCCCCCCCCAAGTCCCCGTGTCCCCCCGTGTCCCCCATTCCCCCGTCCCCGTGTCGCCCCGGTGTCCCCTCCGTGTCCCTTCGTGTGCCCCCCGTGTCCGTGTCACCTCCGTGTGCCCCCCACGTTCCCCCGTCCCCGTGTCACCTCCGTGTCTCTCCCACGTGCCCCATTCCCCCATTTCCCGTGTCCCCTCCGTGTCCCCATTCCCCCGTCCCCGTGTCCCCGCCGTGTCCCCATCCCCGTGTCCCCCCGTGTCCGTGTTCCCCATTCCCCCGTCCCCGTGTCCCCTCCGTGTCGTCCCCGTGTCACCTCCGTGTTCCCCCCGTGTCCCCATTCCCCCATTTCCCGTGGCCCCTTCGTGTCCCCCCTCACGTTCCCGTGTCCCCTCCGTGTCCCCCATTCCCCATTTCTCGTGTCCCCCCGTGTCCCCATTCCCACGTCCCCGTGTCCCCCCGGTGTCCCCCTCGTGTCCGTGTCCCCTCCGTGTCCCTTCGTGTCCCCTTCGTGTCCCCATTTCCCCGTCCTTGTGTCCCCCCCCACGTCCCCGTGTCCCCCCGTGTGTCCCCGTGTCCGTGTCCCCCCCCCGTGTCCGTGTCGGTGTCCGTGTCCCCCCCGGTGTCCGTGCCCCCCCATCCCCGTGTCCCCCCCGTGTCCGTGCCCCCCCGGTGTCCCCCCCCGTGTCCGTGTCGGTGTCTGTGTCCCCCCGTGTCCATGTCCCCCCCCGTGTCCGTGCCCCCCCGTGTCGGTGTCGGTGTCCGTGTCCCCATTCCCCCATCCCCGTCCCCCCCACGTGTCCATGTCCCCGCCGTGCCCCCCCGTGTCCGTGTCGGTGTCCGTGCCCCCCCGTGTCGGTGTCGGTGTCCCCCCGTGTCGGTGTCCCCCCCATGCCCCCATCCCCGTGTCCCCCCCCGTGTCGGTGTCGCTGTCGGTGTCGGTGTCCCCCGCCGCGGCGGCGCCGTGCCCGGTGCGTGGGTGGCCCGGGGCCAGGGGCCGACGTGCCCCCCCGTGTCCGTGTCCCCCCCCGTGTCCGTGTCCCCCCCCGGTGTCCGTGTCCCCCCCGTGTCGGTGTCCCCCCCCCGTGTCGGTGCCGGTGTCGGTGTCCCCCGCCGCGGCGGCGCCGTGCCCGGTGCGTGGGTGGCCCGGGGCCAGGGGCCGACGTGCCGCGGCGGGCGCGGCCTTTTCCTCGAGGGGCCGTGGGGGGAGCGGATGGAAAACCCCCCCCCGAGGGCCCTTCCGGCCCCGCGGCCCCTCGGATCAAACATTAACCGGCACCGGGGCCGGGGGACGCGCCGCAGCCCCGGGGCCGCCACGGACCCCCGGGCCATGAGCAGCCGGCGATGGGGGCGGCGGGTGAGCGGGGGGACCCACGGGGGCGCGGGACACGCGTGGGTGGGAGCGGTGGGTGGGTATGTGTGTGTTTGTGGGGGTCCCCGGTGTCCCGGTGATCCCCGGTATCCCGGTGGTCTCCCGTGTCCCGGTGGTCCCCGGTATCCCGGTGGTCTCCAGTGTCCCGGGTGAGCGGGGGGGACCCACGGGGGCGCGGGACACGCGTGGGTGGGAGCGGTGTGTGTGTTTGTGGGGGTCTCCGGTGTCCCGGTGATCCCCGGTATCCCGGTGGTCCCCGGTGTCCCGGTGGTCTCCGGTGTCCCGGTGGTCTCCGGTGTCCCGGGTGATCGGGGACACCCACGGAGGTGCGGGACACGCGTGGGTGGGTGGGTCTGTGTGTGGGGGGGGGGTCCCCGGTATCCCGGGTGAGCGGGGCACCCACGGGGGAGCGGGACACGCGTGGGTGGGAGGGGTGGGTGTGTTTGTGGGGGTCTCCGGTATCCCGGTGGTCCCCGATGTCCCGGTGGTCCCCGGTGTCCCGGTGGTCTCCGGTGTCCCGGTGGTCCCCGGTGTCCCGGGTGAGCGGGGGCGCCCACGGGGGAGCGGGACACGCGTGGGTGCGAGGGGGGTGTGTGTGGGGGGGGGGTCCCCGGTGTCCCGGTGGTCCCCGGTGTCCCGGTGGTCTCCGATGTCCCGGGGGAGCGGGGGACCCACGGGGGCGCGGGACACGCGTGGGTGCGAGGGGTGGGTGGGTGTGTGTGTCCCGGTGGTCTCCGGTGTCCCGGGTGAGCGGGGGCGCCCACGGGGGCGCGGGACACGCGTGGGTGGGAGCGGTGGGTGTGTTTGTGGGGGTCCCCGGTGTCCCGGTGGTCCCCGGTGTCCCGGGTGGGCGGGGGAGTCCCGACATCCCGGGACATTCCCCGGGGGGTTCGGGGGTCCCGCGTGGTGATCCCCCACCCGTGACGCTCCCCACGCCCCCCAGGGCTGTGCGCGGCGCTGCTGCTGCTGCTGTTGGGGGTCCCGGGGCGCCCCCAGCCCCCCCCCGAGACCCCCCCCTCGCTCTGCGACCCCCGAGTGATCGAACGGTTCATCCTGGAGGCGCGGGAGGCCGAGCGGGGGGCGGTGAGGGACACCGGGGGATAACGGGGACACCGAGGGGACACCGGGGAGACACCGCGGGGACACCGGGGGGACAATGGGGGGACATCGGGGACACCGGGGGTGTGGGGTGCGTGGGGACATTGGGGACATTGGGGACATTGGGGGGCGTGGGGACACCGGGGGGACACCCGGGGGCAACGGGGGGACACCGGGGGGCATCGGGGGGACACCGGGGGGACACCGGGGGACACCGGGGGGCGGTGAGGGGACACCGGGACACCGGGGGGACACCGCGGGGACACCGGGGGACACCGGGGAGCTTGGGGACATCGGGGGGACATCGGGACACCGGGGGGACACCGGGGGGGCGGTGAGGGGACACCGGGACACCGGGGGGACACCGCGGGGATATCGGGGGGACACCGAGGGGCTGTGGGGACATCGGGGGGACTTGGGGACATCGGGGGTGTGGGGACATCGGGGGACACCGGGGGGACACCGGGGGGACACCGGGGGTGTGGGGACATCGGGGGGCGTGAGGACATCGGGGGGCGTGGGGACATTGGGGGGACGTGGGGACACCGTGGGGACACCGGGGGGACACCGGGGAGCTTGGGGACATCGGGGGGACACCGTGGGGACACCGGGGGGACACCGGGGGGACACCGGGGGGCGCGGGGACATCGGGGGTGTGGGGAGACGTGGGGACATCGGGGGGCTGTGGGGACATCGGGGGACACCGGGGGGACACCAGGGACACGGGGGGGACACCGGGGGGACACCGGGGGACATCGGGGGGACATCGGGGGCGTGGGGACACCGGGGGGCGTGGGGACATCGGGGGGCATCGGGGGGACACCGGGGGGACTTGGGGACATCGGGGGCACAACGGGGGGACATCAGGGGATATTGGGGGGCACGGGGACATCGGGGGGCGTGGGGGGACGTGGGGACACCGGGGGGACACCGGGGGGATACCGGGGGCGTGGGGACATCGGGGGTGAGGGGACACCGGGACACCGGGGGGACACCGGGGGGGACACCGGGGGGATACCGGGGGGACACCGGGGACACCGGGACACCGGGGGAACACCGGGGGGACACCGGGGGGCTTGGGGGCTACAGGGATACCGGGGACGTGGGGACACCGGGGGTCATCGGGGGGACATCGGGGAGACTTGGGGACATTGGAGGACGTGGGGGGTGCAGGGACACTGGGGGGACACCGGGGGGACACCGGGGGGACACCGGGGGGACACCGGGGAGACACCGGGGGGACACCGGGGAGACACCGGGGGGACTTGGGGACATCGGGGGCATGGGGACATCGGGGGGCGTGGGGGGTGCAGGGACACTGGGGGGACACCGGGGGGACTTGGGGACATCGGGGGGCGTGGGGGGGCACGGGGACCCCCGGTGGGGGGGGGGTCTCGGGGGTCGCGGCGGGGGTGTCACCGTGTCCCCCCCTCCCCCCCCAGGCCGGGTGTGGCCCCCACTGTGACCTCCCCGAGCCCGTGGCTGTCCCCGACCCCGGAGTCAACTTCAACTTCTGGCGGAGCCTCGACGTGAGTGGGAATGGGGCGAAATCCCGGGAAATCGGGAAAAACCGGGAGAAATCCCGGGAAACCGGGAAAAACCGGGAGAAACCGAGAGAAATCCCGGGAAACCGGGAAAAACCGGGAAAAACCGGGAAACCGGGAAAAACCGGGAGAAATCCCGGGAAAAACCGGGAAATCGGGAAAAACCGGGAGAAATCCCGGAAAACCGGGGAGAAATCCCGGGAAACCGGGGAGAAATCCCGGGAAATCGGGGAGAAATCCCAGGAAATCGGGGGGAAATCCCGGGAAATCGGGGAGAAATCCCGGGAAATCGGGAAAAACCGGGAAACCGGGAAAAACCGGGAGGGACCCGGGGGAACGGGGGGGAAATCCCGGGAAATCGGGAAAAAGCGGCAGCGACCCGGAGGAACGGGGCGAAATCCCGGGAAATGGGAAAAAAAACCCCACGGGAAATGGGGGAAAACCCCTGGGAAATAGGAAAAAATGGGGAGGGAAACCCAGGGAAATGGGGGAAAACTCATGGAAATGGGGAAAAATCCTGGGAAATAGGGAAAAATGGGGGGAAACTCTGGGAAATGGGGGAAACCCTGGGAAATGGGGAAAATCCCGGGAAATGGGGAAAACCGGGCTGAAATCTGAGGAAAACGGGCAGGAACCGGGAGAAACGGGACAAGCCGGGCTGAAATCGGGGAAAACGGGGAGAAATGGGACAAAGCGGGCTGAAACGTGGGGGAAACGGGACGAATTGGGCTGAAATGTGGGGGAAACGGGACAAATTGGGCTGAAATCGGGGAAAACGGGGCAAAACTCGCAGGAACGAAGAGAAGCGGGACGGGAACGGGGCAGACCCGCGGGAAAAGCGGGAGAACCGCGGGGAACGGGGGCCGGGCGCGGGGGCGGCGGTGCCGGTGGTGACCCCCGGTGACCCCCGGTGACCGCCGGTGTCCCGCCGGTGTCGCAGGCGCGGTCCCGGGCGCGGGAGGTGGCGGCGGGTCAGGCGGCGCTGGCGGCCGCGGTGCTGCGGGCGCGGGAGCAGCTCCGGGACCCGCGGGTGCGCCCGAGCCTGGACCGAGCGCACGGAGCGGCGCGGAGCCTGGCGCGGCTGCTGCGGGGGCTGGCGGCGCCGGTACCGGGGGGGTTTGGGGGGTTTGGGGGATTTGGGGGGATTTTGGGGGGTTTTGGGGGGTTTTGGTGCCGGGCGCGGCTGCTGCGGGGGCTGGCGGCGCCGGTACCGGGAGGATTCGGGGGGGTTTGGGGGGTTTTGGGGGGGATTCAGGGGGGATTTGGGGGGGGTTAGGGGGATGGAGAGGGGGTTTGGGGGGGATTTGGGGGGGATTTGGGGGGATTTAGGTTTTGGGGGGATTTGGGGGGGCTTAGGGGGGTTTTGGGGAATTGAGAGGGGTTTTGGGGGGATTTAGGGGGATTGAGGGAGGTTTTGGGGGGGTTTGGTGGGATATAGGGGGATTGAGAGGGGTTTGGGGGGATTTGGGGGATTCGGGGGGATTTGGGGGATTTAGGGGGGTTTTGGGGGGATTTAGGGGGGTTTTAGTACCGGGGGTAATTGGGGAAATTGGGGGGGTTTGGGGGGTCCGGTGGGGAGTTTTGGGGGGTCTTGGGGGAGTTTCGGGGTTTTTGGGGGGTCCGGCGAGAGTTGTTGGAGGTTTTTGGGCGGAGTTTTGGGTTTTTTGGGTGGTCCGGGGGAGTTTTGGGGCGGTTTAGGGGGTCCGGGGGGGATTTCGGGACTTTTGGGGGGGTGTGGGATTTTTGGGGTGTCCTGGGGGGCTTTGGGGATTTTGGGGGGGATTTCGGTGATTTTTGGGGGTCCGGGGCTGACCGTGACCCCGCCCCCCCGCAGGCCCCGCCCACGCCCCTCCCCCCCCCCGGCCCGGTGCGGGTCCGGAACGTTCCGCGGCTTTTGGGGGTCCTGAGCCGCTTCCTGCGGGGGAAGGTGCGGCTGTTCCTGACTGACAGCTGTCAATCAATCAATCACCGCTGACAGCTGTCAATCATCCGGCAAATATCACCGCTGACAGCTGTCAATCAATCAAATATCACAGCTGACAGCTGTCAATCATAACCGCTGACAGCTGTCAATCATCCGGCTGTTCCTGACTGACAGCTGTCAATCAATCAACCATCACCGCTGAGAGCTATCCATCAATCACCGCTGACAGCTGTCAATCAATCAATCAATCACCGCTGGCAGCTGTCAATCAATCAGCACTGACAGATGTTCGTCAATCAATTATCGCTGACAGTTGTCAATCATCACCACTGACAGCTGTCAATCATCCTCACAGAGCTGTCAATCACCATTGATCACCAGGACTGACAGCTGTCAATCAACACCACTGACAGCTGTCAATCATCACCACTAACAGCTGTCAATCAAACACCGCTGACAGCTATCAATCATCCGGCTATTCTTGACTGACAGCTGTCACTCATCCATCAAATATCGACACTGACAGCTGTCAATCATCATCACCAGCAGCTGCCAATCATCATCACAGAGCTGTCAATCACCGTGGATCGCCAGGAATGGCAGCTGTCAATCAGCACCACTGACAGCTGTCAATCATAAGTCGTCATCCCCCCGCCCCTCCCCCCGGCACGTTGCACGCGCCGGCAGGTGATTGACAGCTGTCAATCATCCCCCCAGCCTGGCCCGCCCGGGCCCCGCGGGTGATTGATTGACAGCTGTCACTCAGGGGAGACCCCGCCCCCAACCCCCCCCCATGTAACTTAATGCAAACACGAGAGTATTTATGTACCCCCAAAACGGGCTGATGTGTCGGGACCCCCAAATGGACCCCAAATTATCCCGGGACCCCAAAACCGGGACCCCAAAATATCCCGGGACCCCAAAGGGACCCCGAATTATCCCGAGACCCTCAAAGGGACCCCAAAATACCCCGGGACCCCCCAACGGGACCCCAAAATACCCCGGGACCCCCAAGGGGACCCAAAAATACCCCGGGACCCCCGAATGAGACCCCAAAATATCCCGGGACCCCCGAATGGGACCCAAAAATACCCCGGGACCCCAAAACCGGGACCCCAAATTGTCCCGGGACCCCCTAACGGGACCCCAAAACACCCCGGGACCCCAAAACCGGGACCCCAAATTATCCCGGGACCCCCTAACGGGACCCCAAAACACCCCGGGACCCCAAAACCGGGACCCCAAATTGTCCCGGGACCCCCGAACGGGACCCCAAATTATCCCGGGACCCCCGAACGGGACCCCAAAGTACCCCGGGACCCCAAAACCGGGACCCCTAAAGGGACCCCAAAACTGGGCGGCTGCGCCGGGACCCCCGAACGGGACCCCAAAATATCCCGGGACCCCAAACGGAGACCCCCAAAACTGGGACCCTCCCAAATCCCCCCAAATCCCCCCCAAAATCCCCCAAATCCCTCAAATCCCCCCCAAATCTCCCCAAATCCCCCCAGCCCCTCTGACCACGCCCCTTTCCACACAAGCCCCGCCCATCACAAGCCCCGCCCCCAGGCCCCGCCCCCTTTCCGGGCCCCGCCCCTTTTTCTCACCTCGGGGGCGGGGCCTGAGCGGCGGCCGCGGTGAGCGGAGCGGATTTTGGGGGAATTTCGCGGATTTTGGGGAATTTTGGGTTATTTTTGAATATTTAAGGGATTTGGGGGGGCTCAGGAGGGTTCAGGGGTCCCCACGGGGGTTCGGGGGTTGTGGGGGAGGCGGATTTGGGGTGGGGGAGGGGCAGAGTCCGCCCGGGGGCAAAGTCTAGTTTTTGGGGGGGGGGAGGGGAAACGCGGCCCGGGGGACCCCCGGACCCCCCCGGAGACCCCGAAACCCTCTGGGGACACCCCCCGACCCCACCGGGGGGGCGCGGAGACCCTCGGGACACACCGAGACCCCCCCCGGGACCCTCAGATGTGTCTGGGACCCCCCCAGGACCCTCTGAATCCCCCCCCAGGACCCCCAATTTCCCCCCCAGGACCCCCAATTTTCCCCCCAGGAGCCCCCGAGACTCCTGGAGACCCCCCGAGACCCCCCATATCCCATCAGAACCCCCCCAGGACCCCCAATTTCCCCCCCCATGAACCCCCTGAGACCCCCCCAGGAGCCCCCAAGACCCCTGGAGACCCCCCGAGACCCCCCCAATTTCGCCCCCAGGACCCCCAATTTCCCCCCCATGACCCCACGAGACCCCTGGAGACCCCCCAAGACCCCCCCAAAATCCCCCCAGGAGCCCCAGAACCCCCCCAGGACCCCCAATCTCCCCCCCCATGAACCCCCTGAGACCCCCCCAAAAATCCCCCAGGAGCCCCAGGACCCCCCGGGACCTCCGGATCTCCCCCCAGGACCCCTCAACTCCCTCCCCAGGACCCTTCTGAGCCCCCCAGGACCCCCCAGGACCCCCCAGCCATGGAGCCCCTCCTCCGGCGCTGCTTCCTCGGACGGGTAAAGCCCCTCCCCCCACTCCCGGAGCCCCCCCGGATTTTGGGGACCCCCCAAATCTCCCCAAATTCCCCCAAATCCCCCCCAAAACCCCCCAAATCCCCCCCAAATCCCCCCCAAACCCCCTGACGGCGGTCGCAGCCCCCCGTGGGGGGGGGTCCCGTCTCCTACTCGCGGCACAGGGACCCCCCCCGGGCGGGGGAGGGGCAGCAGGAGGAGGAGGAGGATGAGGATGAAGAAGGGGCGGAGCCAACGGTGCGGTTGCCCCGCCCCCGGCCCCGCCCCCAGCACAGGCCCCGCCCCCGGCTCCACCCCTGGGCGGCGCTGGGGCTGAGCTCGGCCGCCGCCTTCCTGCTGGGTACGTGACCTTTGACCCCTGACCCCTGCGTGACCTTTGATTGACCCCTGAGCGACCCCTGAGTGACCTCGGCCCCGCCCCCAGGGCTGCTGCTGGCTGCGATTGGCCGATCCCCGTGCGGGGGCGGGGCCGTGGGGGCGGGGCCTGTGCCCGGAGGCTCCGCCCCCGACGGGGTTTGGGGCGGGGCCAACGCCGAAGCTCCGCCCCCCCGGCCCCGCCTGCGGGAGCTGCTGCGGCGCCACCTGCGGGCGGAGAGGGTGGAGGCCTGGGTCAGGTGGGTGACCCCTGACCCCTGACCCCTGACCCCTGTGAGTGACCACTGACCTCTGACCCCTCTGAGTGACCACTGACCTCTGACCCCCACTGACCGCCTGCGGGCAGAGCGGGTGGAGGCCTGGGTCTGGTGGGTGACCTCTGACCCCTGACCCCTGACCCCTGAGTGACCACTGACCTCTGAGTGACCACTGACCTCTGACCCCTCTGAGTGACCACTGACCTCTGACCCCTGACCCCTGACCCTGACCCTGACCCCCCTGAGTGACCACTGACCCCTGGGAGTGAACCCTGACCCCTGAGTGACCCCTGACCCCTGAGTGACCACTGACCTCTGACCCCCCCTGCCCACCTGTGGAAGGAGCGGGTGGAGGCCTGGGTCAGGTGCGTGACCTCTGACCCCTGACCCCTGAGTGACCACTGACCTGTGAGTGACCACTGACCCCTGACCCCCACTGAATGTCAGCGGGCAGAGGTCTGGCTCAGACGAGTGACCCCTGACCCCTGACCTTTGCCCTCTGGCCGCAGGGAGGTCAGCGCGGGGCCGCACGGGGCGGGGTCGGGGCGTGGCCGCGCTCTCGCCCAATCGGTGCTCAGCGCCCTGGGGGGGGCGGGGCTGAGCCGGGCCTGGAGCCGCCCACAGCCCCTCCCCCTCCCGGTCAGGTAACGGGGTCACCGCGGGGTCACCGCGGGGTCAGCGCGGGGTCACCGCCGGGTCAACATTGGGGGGTCATTGGGGTGGGGGAGGGGTGATTTGGGAGGGGTCACTGAAGGTCCTGGGGGGTCATTGGGGGGGTTATAGTGGATTTGGGCTGACCCCTGACCTTTGACCTTTGCCCCCAGGGGGGAGGTGACCCTGAGCTGGGTGGGGCCGGGGGGGGAGGAGCTGGAGCGGCTCCCGCTGGACCCCGACGCCTTCTGCGCCTGGAGCGCCCCCGGCACCGCCACGGTCAGCGCCACCCCTGACCCCTGACCCCTGACCCCTGACCCCTGATCCCCGCCCGCAAACCCTGAACCCTGACCATGACCCCTGACCATGACCCCTGACCCCAATGACCCCCTGATGACCCCCCTGACCCCCTGCTGACCCCGCTGACCCCTGCTGACCCCTGATGACCCCTGATGACCCCTGCTGACCCCTGACCCCCGCCTGAAAACCCTGATCCCTGACCACGACCCCTGACCATGACCCCTGACCCCACTGCCCCCATTTCCCACTGCCCCCTGCTGACCCCTGATGACCCCTGATGACCCCTGCTGACCCCTGCTGACCCCCCGCTGACCCCGCTGACCCCTGACCTTTGCCCCTGCCAGGGGGGGTTGGTGTTCGGGCACTACGGGCGCCCCCAGGACCTGCAGCAGCTCCGGGCTCGGGGGGCGGCGCCGCGCGGGAACCTCGTCCTGCTGCGGCTCGGCCGGGGCGGCGCTGCCGAAAAGGTGAGGGGGCCGAAAATGGGGGGAGGAACAAAAAAATGGGGTCAGACACCCAAAAAATGGGTCTGGGACTGAAAAAACGGGGTGAGAAACTCCAAAAATGGGTCTGGGACACAAAACATGGGGTGAGAAACAGCAGAAATGGGGTCAGACACCCAAAAAATGGGTCTGGGAATGAAAAAACGGGGTGAGAAACTCCAAAAATGGGTCTGGGACACAAAACATGGGGTGAGAAACAGCAGAAATGGGGTCAGACACCCAAAAAATGGGACTGGGACCCAAAACATGGGGTGAGACACCCAAAGAATGGGGCGAGAAACGCCAGAAATGGGGTGAGACACCCAAAAATGGGTCTGGGACCGAAAAAATGGGGGGAGAAACAGCAAAAATGGGTCTGGGACACAAAACATGGGGGGAGACACCAAAAAAATGGGGTGAGACACCCAAAAATGGGGTGAGAAACACCAGAAATTGGTCTGGGACCCAAAAAATGGGATGAGACACCCTGAAAATGGGGTGAAACCCCCCAAAAATGGGGTGAGACCCTGAAAAATGGGGTTAGACACCTAAAAAATGGGGTGAGACACCTAAAAAATGGGGTGAGAAACTCCAGAAATGGGATTGGGAACCCAAAAAATGAGATAAAAACCCCCAAAATGGGATAGGGAACCCAAAAAATGGGGTAGGAACCCCAAAAATGGGATTGGGAACCCAAAACTGGGGTGAAACACCCCGAAAATGGGATTGAGAACCCAAAAATGGGGTGAGACATCCAAAAATGGGGTGAGAAACATCAAAAATGGGATAGGGAACCCAAAAATGGAGTGAGACACCCCAAAAATGGGATAGGGAACCCAAAAATGGGGTGAGACACCCCAAAAATGGGACAGGGACCCCAAAAACGGGGCTGGGGAAGGGGGTGGGGGAGGGGACCCCACCGGGAAGGTGAGACCCCCAGATTGGGGGCGGGGAGGGACCCCAGCCCGGATTTGGGGTCCGCAGGTGGCGGCGGCGGCGGCCGCGGGGGCCGTGGGGGTCCTCCTGTTCCCCGACCCCCGAGACAGCGCCGGGCCCGGGGGGGGCCCCGGCCTGGGGGGCAACACGGCCGTGACCCTCAGCGTGAGTGGGGGTCCCGGGGGGGGTTGGGGGGTCCTGGGGGGGTTTGGGGGGTCCTGGGGGATTTTGGGTGTTCCTGGGGGGCAGATCGGGGGTCCTGGGGGATTTGGGGGAAGATTGGGGGTCCTGGGGGGAGATTGGGGCACCCTGGGGGGAGATTGGGGGTCCTGGGGGGGAATTTGGGGGTTCTGGGGGGGATTTTGGGGGTCCTGGGGGGCTGGGGGCGTCTGAGGGTCTGGGGATATTTTGGGGAGGGGTCCGGGTGTATTTTTGGGGGATCAGGGTAATTTGGGGAGGGGTCTCACCGTGCCCCAGATGCAGGACGGCCCCGGGGGTATTTCGGGGGTATTTTGGGGAGGGGTCCGGGTGTATTTTGGGGGGGTCAGGGTAATTTGGGGAGGGGTCTCACCGTCCCCCCAGGTGCAGAACGGCCCCGGGGACCCGGGGGTATTTCGGGGATATTTTGGGGAGGGGTCCGGGTGTATCTTTGGGGGGGTCAGGGTAATTTGGGGAGGGGTCCGGGTGTATTTTTGGGGGGGTCAGGGTAATTTGGGGAGGGGTCTCACCGTCCCACAGGTGCAGGACGGCCCCGGGGACCCCTTCAGCCGCGGGTTCCCCTCCCTGGGGGGCCGCGCCCCCCCCGGGCCCCCCCCGGGGGTCCCCCCGATCCCGGCGCACCCCGTGAGCGCGGCCACGGCGGCGAGACTGCTCCGGTACGGGAGACCCCTCCCCAAATTCACCGGGACCCCTCCCCAAATTCACGGGGGGCCCAAATTACCCCGGGAACCCCAAATTCACCCGGGACCCCCAAATTAACCCGGGACCCCTCCCCAAATTCACGGGGGGCCCAAATTACCCCGGGAACCCCAAATTCACACGGGACCCCCAAATTAACCCAGGACCCCTCCCCAAATTCACCGGGGGGCCCCAAATTCCCCCGGGAACCCCAAATTCACCGGGACCCCCCCAAAAATTAACGCGGGACCCCTCCCCAAATTACCCCGGGAGCCCCAAATTACCCCGAGAACCCCAAATTCACCGGGAACCCCAAATGCACCCGGGAACCCCCCGCAAATTCACCCGGGACCCCTCCCCAAATTCACCCGGGACCCCTCCCCAAATTCACCCGGGACCCCTCCCCAAATTCACCTGGGAACCCCAAATTCACCTGGGACCCCCGCCCCAAATTCACCTCGGGCCCCTCCCCAAAACCTCGAACCCCTCCCCAAACCCTGACCCCGACCCAAGGGAGGGACCCTGACCCAAATTTGGGGTCCCAAACCCATCCCCCCTCCCCATTTCGGTTTTTTTGGGGGTCCCGAACCCCCCAAACCCATCCCCCCTCCCCATTTCAGAGTTTTTGGGGGTCCCGAACCCCCCCAAACCCATCCCCCCTCCCCATTTCAGGGTCCCTCCCCCCAAACCCCCCCGACCCCTCCCCATTTCAGGATCCTGGGGGTCCCAAACCCCCCAACCCATCCCCCCTCCCCATTTTGGGGTTTTTGGGGGTCCCAAACCCCACAAACCCCCCCGACCCCTCCCCATTTCGGGTTTTTGGGGGTCTCACCCCCCCTCCCCCCCGTTGCAGGTCGCTGGGCGCCCCCCGCGCCCCCCCGCACTGGGGGGTCCCGGGGGGGGCGCTGCGGTTCCGGCCCCGCCCGGGGGGGCGGCGGCTGCGGCTGCGCGTGGGGGGGGGGACGCGCCCCGGGACCCTCACCAGCGTCTTCGGGGCGCTGCGGGGGCGGCTGGAGCCCGGTGAGGGCGGGGCCAAAGGGGGGCGGGGCCGGGGGGGCGGGACCAGAGGGGGCGGGGCCGGGGGGCGGGGTCTGGGGCGGGACCACAGGGGGCGGGGCCGGGGGGCGGGGCCGGGGGCGGGACCAAAAGGGGAGGGGGCGGGGCCAGAGTGGGTGTGGTCAGAGTGGGTGTGGCCACATGAGGTGTGGGTGTGGCCTAAGTGGGTGGGATTTGGGTGTGGTTGGTGGGTGTAGTTAGAGTGGGCGGGGCTTGGTTTGGGTGTGGCCAAAGTGGGCGGAGTTTGGGTGTGGCCAGAGTGGGCGGGGTTTGGTTTGGGTGTGGTCAGTGGGTGTGGCCAAAGCAAGCAGGATTTGGGTGTGGTCGGTGGGTGTGGCCTAAGTGGGTGGGGGTTGGGTGTGGTCTGTGTGGGCGGGGTTTGGTTTGGGTGTGGTTGGTGGGTGTGGCCAAAGCGGGCAGGATTTGGGTGTGGCCAAGGTGGGCGTGGCCAAAGTGAACAGTTTTTGGGTGTGGCCGGAGTCGGCGGGATTTGATTTGGGTGTGGTCGGTGGGTGTGGCAAAAGTGGGCGGGGTTTGGTTTGGGTGTGGCCACAGCAGGCAGGAATTGGGTGTGGCCGAAGTGGGCGTGGCCATGAACTGTTTGGGTGTGGTCAGTGGGTGTGGTTAAATTGGGAGGTGCAAAATATGGGCGTGGTCAGTGGGGTGTGGCCAGTGGGGCGTGTTCTTTGGGGTGTGGTCAGTTGGGCGTGGTCAGTGGGTGTGGTCAGTGGGTGTGGTCAGTGGGTGTGGTCAGTGGGTGTGGTCAGTGGGTGTGGTCAGTGGGGTGTGGTCAGTGGGTGTGGTCAGTGGGGCGTGGCCACAAACGGGCGTGACCAATCGGGCTGGAGGGGGCGTGGCCTCGCTGACGTGGCCCCGCCCAGACTGTTACGTCATCGTGGGCGCCCAACGCGATTCGCTGGGCCCGGGGGCGGCGGCCTCGGGCGTGGGCACCGCCCTCCTGCTGGAGCTCGCCCGGTTCTTCGCCGCCATTGGCCGGGAGGGTGAGGGGCGGGGCCGGGGGCGGGGCCGGGGGCGGGGCCAGGGCGGGGCTGAAATTGGGGAAATTGGGGTTTTGACCCAAATTTATGGGGCGGATTCGGAGGGTGGAGGAGGGGCAAAACAGGGCGTGGCCAAGTGGGCGGTCCCAATTTGGGGAGGGGCTGAAATTGGGGAAATTCGGGGTTTTGACCCAAATTTAGGGCGGGGATTCGGAGGGTGGGGGAGGGGCGAGATGGGGCGTGGCCGGGTGGGCTGAAATTGGGGGAAATTCGGGGTTTTTGACCCAAATTTTGGGTGGGGATTTGGAGGGTGGGGGAGGGGCAAAACAGGGCGTGGCCGGGTGGGCGGTCCCAATTTGAGGAGGGGCTGAAATTGGGGAAATTTCGGGTTTTGACCCAAATTTTGGGGGCGGAATTTGGAGGGTGGGTGAGGGGCGTGGCCGGGTGGGCGGGGCCAATTTGGAGAGGGGCTGAAATTGGGGAAATTCAGGGTTTTGACCCAAATTGAGGAGGGGGTCAGAGGGTGGGGGAGGGGTCCCACACGGAGGAGGGGCAGTGGGGGGAGGGGCGGTCCTTGCCTTTCTCAGGTTCCGCCCACCTTTGGGGGGGTGACCCCCTCATTTTTGGGGTCTCCCCCACCTCGGGGGTCCCCCCCTCACCCGGGGGTCGCCCCCCAACCCCCCCCCAGGTTTCCAGCTCCGCCGGACCCTCCTCTTCGCCAGCTGGGACGGGGCCGAGTTCGGACATTTGGGGGCCACCGAGTGGCTGGAGGTGACCCCGTGACCCCTCCGCGACCCCTCCGTGACCCCGTGACCCCGCCGTGACCTTTCCCCTCCCCCCAGGGCTACCCCGGCCTGCTGCACACCAAAGTCGCCGCCTACATCAGCCTGGACCGCGCCGTGCTGGGTGCGCCCCTCCCCCACCCCCCACCCCTCCCCCACCCCCCGACCCCTCCCCCACCCCCTGACCCCTCCCCCACCCCGCAGGCGCAGAGCGGTTGGTGGTCAGGGCCAGCCCCACCCTGGGGACGCTGGTGGAGAGCGCGCTGGAGCAGGTGGGGGAGGGGCGAGGGGGGTGGGGGAGGGGAATTAGGGGTGGGGGAGGGGACAGGTGTCAGACCCCTCCCCAAAATTCAGGTGGAGAGTCCGAACGAGGGCGGGAAGAGCCTCCTGGAGCAGCTGAGGCAGCCGGGGCGGGGCTGGGAGAGCGACCTGTGAGTGGGGCACACCTGGGGGCACACCTGGGCACACCTGGGCACACCTGGGGCACACCTGGGCACACCTGGGATACACCTGGGGGCACCTGGACACACCTGGGATACACCTGGGCACACCTGGGATACACCTGGGATACACCTGGGCACACCTGGAATACACCTGGGATACACCTGAGCACACCTGGGCACACCTGGGCACACCTGGGGGCACCTGGGCACACCTGGGATACACCTGGGATACACCTGGGCACACCTAGGGCACACCTGGGGGCACCTGGGCACAGCTGGGCACACCTGGGATACACCTGGGCACACCTGGGGCACACCTGGGCACACCTGGGCACACCTGGGATACACCTGGGCACACCTGGGCACACCTGGGATATACCTGGGCACACCTGGGCACACCTGGGATACATCTGGGCACACCTGGGATACACCTGGGCACACCTGGGTACACCTGGGCACACCTGGGGGCACCTGGGCACACCTGGGGGCACCTGGGGCACACCTGAGATACACCTGGGATACACCTGGGCACACCTGGGCACACCTGGGCACACCTGGGCACACCTGGGCACACCTGGGATACACCTGGGCACACCTGGGCACACCTGGGATACACCTGGGATACACCTGGGGGCACACCTGGGCACAGCTGGGCACACCTGGGATACACCTGGGACACACCTGGGGCACACCTGGGACACACCTGGGCACACCTGGGCACACCTGGGCACACCTGGGGACACCTGGGGGCACACCTGGGTACACCTGGGCACACCTGGGCACACCTGGGTACACCTGGGCACACCTGGGATACACCTGGGTACACCTGGGATACACCTGGGCACACCTGGGCACACCTGGGCACACCTGGGTACACCTGGGCACACCTGGGCACACCTGGGTACACCTGGGGGCACACCTGGGTTACACCTGGGCACACCTGGGCGCACCTGGGATACACCTGGGCACACCTGGGGGCACACCTGGGCACACCTGGGCACACCTGGGATACACCTGGGCACACCTGGGCACACCTGGACACACCTGGGCACACCTGGGATACACCTGGGCACACCTGGGCACACCTGGGCACACCTGGGCACACCTGGGCGCACCTGGGCACACCTGTCCCCCCCGTGTCCCCCCCCAGGGTCCGGCCTCTCTCCCCCGAGGGCGGCGCTTTCCCCTTCACGGCGGCCGCCGGCGTCCCGGCCCTGGAGTTCAGCTTCGATGAGGTGGGACCCCAAATGTCCCCAAATGTCCCAAAAGTGACCCCAAAATGTCCCCAAAATGTCCCCAAAAGTGACCCCAAAATGTCCCCAAAAGTGACCCTGAAATGTCCCCAATATCCCCTAAAAGTGTCACCAAAAATGTAATCAAAAGTGTCCCCAAAAGTATCCCAAATGTCCCCAAAAAGTGTCCCAAATGTCCCCAAAAATGTCCCCAAAAGTGTCCCCAAAAGTGTCCCCAAAGTCCCTAAAAGTGTCACCAAATGTGTCGCCAATGTCCCCAAAAGTGTCATCAAAATTGACCCCCAAAATGTCCCCAAATGTCCCCAAAAATGTCCCCAAATGTGTCCCCAATGTCCCCAAAAGTGTCCCCAAAAATGTCCCTAAAGGTGCCCCCAAAAGTGTCCCCAATGTCCCCAAAAGTGACCTTAAAAGTGTCCCAAATTCCCCCAATCCCCCCAATCCCCTCACTGTCCCCAATGTCCCCAATGTCCCCAATCCCCCCAATGTCCCCAATGTCCCCAATCCCCCCAAATCCCCCCAATGTCCCCCAATGTCCCCAATGTCCCCAATGTCCCCAATGTCCCCAATGTCCCCAATGTCCCCCCAATGTCCCCAATCCCCCCAATGTCCCCAATGTCCCCAATGTCCCCAATCCCCCCGATGTCCCCAATGTCCCCAATGCCCCCAATGTCCCCCCAATGTCCCCCAATGCCCCCAATGTCCCCAACCCCCCCAATGTCCCCAATGCCCCCAATGTCCCCAATGTCCCCAATGTCCCCAATGTCCCCAAATGTCCCCAATGTCCCCAATGTCCCCAATGTCCCCAACGTCCCCGATGTCCCCAATGTCCCCAATGTCCCCAATGTCCCCAATGCCCCCGATGTCCCCCCAGCTGCCCGGCGGTGGCTCGGGCGCGGCGCTGGGCACGGCCGAGGACACTCTGCGCCGTCTCGGGGCGCGGCTGCGGGGGCGGCTGCCGGCGGTGGCCGAGGCCGCGGCGGCGGTGGCGGCACAGCTGCTGCTGCGCCTCGGCCACGAGCCCCGGCTGCCGCTGGACCCCGGCGCGCTCGGCGACGCGCTGGTGCGGCAGCTGGCCCCGCTGCAGGTGAGACCAGTAAAAACCAGTATAAACCAGTATAAACCAGTATAGACCAGTATAGACCAGTATGGACCAGTATAGACCAGTATAAACCAGTATAAACCAGTATAAACCAGTATAGACCAGTATAGACCTGTATAGACCAGTATAAACCAGTATAACCCAGTGTAACCCAGTGTAACCCAGTATAACCCAGTATAACCCAGTATAGCCCAGTATAACCCAGTATAACCCAGTATAACCAGTATTTCCCAGTATAACCCAGTATAACCCATCCTATCTCGGCCTATCTCAGCCTATCTCAGCCTATCTCAGCCTATCTCGGCCTATCCCGGCCTATCGCGGCCTATCGCGGCCTATCGCGGCCTATCGCGGCCTATCGCGGCCTATCGCGGCCTATATCGCGGCCTATCGTGGCCTATCGCGGCCTATCACGGCCTATCTCGGCCTATCGCGGCCTATATCGCGGCCTATCGTGGCCTATCGCGGCCTATCGCGGCCTATCGCGGCCTATCGCGGCCTATCGCGCCCCGCCCCGTGTGACCCTCCCCCGCAGGCGCGCGGGCTGTCCCTGCAGTGCCTCTCCTCGGCCAGAGGGGGCGTCGTGCGCGCGGCGGCGGCGCTGCGCCGCGACATGGCGGGAGCGGACGGCGGCAACGAGCGCCTCAACCGCGGCTTCAACGCGCGCCTCATGGCCGTGAGTGTCACCGGGGTCACCTGGGGGTCACCTGGGTGTCACCGGGGTCACCTGGGGTCACCTGTGTCACCTGGGGTCACCTGGGGGTCACCTGGTCACACCCCTGGGTGTCCCCTGGGTGTCCCCTGGTCACCTCTGGGTGTCCCCTTCGTGTCCTCTGGGTGTCCCTGGGTGTCCCCTGGGTGTCCCCTGGGTGTCTCTGGTCACCCCTGGGTGTCACCTGTATGCCCTTGGGTGTCCCCTGGGTGTCCCTGGGTGTCCCTGAGTGTCCCTGGGTGTCCCCTGGGTGTCCCTGAGTGCCCCTGGGTGTCCCTGGGTGTCCCCTGGTCTCCCCTGGGTGTCCCTGGTCACCCCTGGGTGTCCCCTGAGTGTCCCTGGGTGTCCCCTGGGTGTCCCTGGGTGTCCCTGGGTGTCCCCTGGGTGTCCCTGAGTGTCCCCTGGGTGTCCCTGAGTGTCCCCTGGGTGTCCCCTGGGTGTCCCTGGGTGTCCCCTGGGTGTCCCCTGGGTGTCCCTGGGTGTCCCTGGTCACCCCTGGGTGTCCCTGGGTGTCCCTGGGTGTCCCCTGAGTGTCCCTGGGTGTCCCCTGCGTGTCCCTGGGTGTCCCCTGGGTGTCCCTGGGTGTCCCTGGGTGTCCCCTGGGTGTCCCTGGGTGTCCCCTGGGTGTCCCTGGGTGCCCCTGGGTGACCCCTGACCCCGTCCCTGTCCCTGTCCCTGTCCCCTCTGACCCCTGACCCCGTCCCTGCCCCCTCCCTGTGCCCCTGGGTGACCCCTGACCCTGACCCCGTCCCTGTCCCTGTCCCCTCTGTCCCCTCTGACCCCTGACCCCGTCCCCGTCCCCCCAGGCCGAGGCGTCACTTCTGTCCCCGTTCGTGTCCCCTCTGGTCACCCCGTTCCGCCACGTCCTGCTGGGCCGCGGTGGCCACACGCTGCGGGCGCTGGTGGCCGAGCTGGGACACGGTGACACCGGCGGTGACATCGGTGACAGCGGCACCGCCCGCGGCCGCCTGCGGGTGGCGCTGCTGGCCTGGACCCTGCGCGGCACCGCGGGGGCGCTGGCGGGGGACAGCGGGGACCTCGGGGACATGGGGGGCGCCGGGGACAGCGGCGGCTGCGGCCACCTCGGGGACATCGGCGGGGACGGCCGGGGTGGCCTTGGGGACACCGGGGACATCGGGGGCCGAGGGGACACCGGGGGGATTGGGGACATTGGGGGTCATGGGGACAGTGGGGACATTGGGGGTCATGGGGACACCGGGGACACCGGGGGGATTGGGGACATTGGGGGTCATGGGGACAGTGGGGACATTGGGGGTCATGGGGACACCGGGGACACCGGGGGGATTGGGGACATTGGGGACATTGGGGGGATTGGGGGCATTGGGGACATTGGGGACATTGGGGACAGGGACATGTGGGGTGACGGGGACACCTGGCAGTGGGGTGACCCTGGGGACAGTGGGGACCCTGGGGACACTCAGGGTCGGGGTGGCCCTTGGTGACACTTGGGGACATTTAGTGACATTTGGGGACACTTGGAAACACCTTGGGGACACTTGGGGACATTTGGGGACACCTTGGGGACATTCGGGGATTCCTTGGTGACACTTGGGGCCACCTTGGGGGCATTTGGGGACACTTGGGGACACCTTGGGGGCACCTTGGGGACATTTGGGGACACGTTGGGGACACCTGGGGACATTTGGGGACACTTTGGGGACATTTGGTGACATTTGGGGACATTTTGGGACATTTGGGGACTTTTGGGGACATTTGGGGACATTTTGGGACCTCAGTGGTGGCCCCGGGGATACCTTGGGGCGCAGGCCCACCGTCCTCATTTGCATCCTCATTTGCATCCTCATTTGCATCCTCATTTGCATCCTCATTTGCATCAGCCGCGTTTATTGGCTGCGACCCTGAGCTGGGGAGAATAAAAGCAGCGGGAGCCACGCCCCCGTGGCCACGCCCACAAGGACACGCCCGTGTTGGCTCCGCCCACTTTTAGTCGGCCACTCCCATTGGTGGCCACGCCCTCACAGGCCCCGCCCATCGCATCGTTGGTGGGTGGAGCCATGTTGGATTGGCAGCCATATTGAACTGGCAGCCATGTTGGATTGGCAGCCATGTTGTATCGGTGGCCATGTTGGATTGGCAGCCATGTTGGATTGGTGGCCATATTGAACTGGCAGCCATATTGAAATGGGAGCCATGTTGTCCTAGCAGCCACGTTGGATCGGTGGCCATATTGAAATAGCAGCCATGTTTTCCTGGTGGCCATATTGGATTGGTGGCCATATTGAATCGGCAGCCATATTGTCCTGGTGGCCATGTTGTCCTGTCAACCATATTGTCCTGGTGGCCCTATTGGATCGGCAGCCATATTGAACTGGAAGCCATGTTGTCCTGGTGGCCATATTGGATCGGCAGCCATATTGGATTGACAGCCATATTGTCCTGGTGGCCATATTGGATCGACAACCATATTGAAATGGCAGCCATGTTGTCCTGTCGACCATATTGTCCTGGTGGCCATATTGGATCAGCAGCCATATTGGATTGACAGCCATGTTGTCCTGGTGGCCAAGTTGAATCGACAGCCATATTGGATCGGCAGCCATGTTGTCCTGGTGGCCATATTGGATCGGCAGCCATATTGTCCTGGCGGCCATGTTGGATCGGCAGCCATATTGTCCTGGCGGCCATATTGGATTGGTGGCCATCTTGTCCTGGTGGCCATGTTGTCCCAGCAGCCATCTTGTCCTGGCAGCCATCTTGTCCTGGTTGCCATATTGAATCGGCAGCCATCTTGTCCTGGCGGCCATGTTGTCCCAGCAGCCATCTTGCTCCTCCAGCCACCTCCTCCCCCAGCGCCGCTCCGCGGCGGCCATCTTGCCGTGGGCGGGGCCGGGGGCGGTGTCAGCACTGGGGGTCCCCTTTGGGGGGTCCGGGCGGGCTCTGGGCGCCCTCCAGGACCCGCGGCCGGCGCCCGCCCGGCGCCACGCCCATGTGCAGGAGGTCCCTGGGGAGGGGACACGGGGGTCACCGCGGGGTCACCGCGGGGTCACCGCGGGGTCACCGAGCCCCCCAAGCCCCCCCAAACCCCCCCGAGCCCCCCGAGCCCCCCAAACCCCCCGTACTCGCCGCGCAGCCGCGGCAGCAGCTCCAGCCCGGCGCCGCCCGAGGGCTCCTCGCACCTGCCCGGCTCCAGGTGGGACGGGGCGGGGCTGCGGGACAGAGGGGGGTGAGGGACAGCCCCCGAGACCCCTCCCCATAAATTCAGGTGCGCTGGGACCCCTCCCCATAAATTCAGGTGAGATGGGACCCCTCCCAAATAATTCAGGTGGTCTTGGACACCCCCAAATAATTCAGGTGTGATGGGACCCCTCCCCAAATGACTCAGGTGTGATGGGACCCCTCCCCAAATGACTCAGGTGTGATGGGACCCCTCCCCAAATGACTCAGGTGTGATGGGACCCCTCCCCAATGACTCAGGTGTGATGGGACCCCTCCCCAATGACTCAGGTGTGATGGGACCCCTCCCCATGAACTCAGGTGTGATGGGACCCCCTACCCAATGACTCAGGTGTGATGGGACCCCTCCCCATGAACTCAGATATGCTGGGACCCCTCCCCAAATAATTCAGGTGTGCTGGGACCCCTCCCCAAATGATTCAGGTGTGATGGGACCCCTCCCCAAATGACTCAGGTGTGATGGGACCCCCTACCCAAATGACTCAGGTGTGATGGGACCCCTCCCCATGAACTCAGGTGTGCTGGGACCCGTCCCCAAATGACTCAGGTGTGCTGAGACCCCTCCCCATGAACTCAGGTGTGCTGGGACCCCCTACCCAATGATTCAGGTGTGCTGAGACCCCTCCCCAAATAATTCAGGTGTGCTGGGACCCCTCCCCAAATGATTCAGGTGTGCTGGGACCCCTCCCCAATGACTCAGGTGTGATGGGACCCCTCCCCAAATGACTCAGGTGTGCTGGGACCCCCTACCCAATGACTCAGGTGTGATGGGACCCCTCCCCATGAACTCAGGTGTGATGGGACCCCTCCCCAAATGACTCAGGTGTGATGGGACCCCTCCCCATGAACTCAGGTGTGCTGAGACCCCTCCCCAAATGACTCAGGTGTGCTGAGACCCCTCCCCAAATGACTCAGGTGTGATGGGACCCCTCCCCATGAACTCAGGTGTGCTGAGACCCCTACCCAATGACTCAGGTGTGATGGGCCCCCCTACCCAAATGACTCAGGTGTGATGGGACCCCTCCTCATGAACTCAGGTGTGATGGGACCACTCCCCAAATGACTCAGGTGTGCTGAGACCCCCTCCCCAAATGACTCAGGTGTGATGGGCCCCCCTACCCAAATGATTCAGGTGTGCTGGGACACCCTCCCCATGAACTCAGGTGTGCTGAGACCCCTCCCCAAATGACTCAGGTGTGCTGAGACCCCTCCCCAAATGACTCAGGTGTGCTGGGACCCCTCCCCATGAACTCAGGTGTGATGGGACCCCCTACCCAATGACTCAGGTGTGCTGGGACCCCTCCCCATAAATTCAGGTGTGCTGGGACCCCTCCCAAAAAATTCTGGTGTTCTTGGACACCTCCAAATGACTCAGGTGTGATGGGACCCCCTACCCAAATGATTCAGGTGTGATGGGACCCCTCCCCATGAACTCAGGTGTGCTGAAACCCCCTCCCTGAATGACTCAGGTGTGATGGGACCCCTCCCCAAATGATTCAGGTGTGATGGGACCCCCTCCCCAAATGACTCAGGTGTGCTGAGACCCCTCCCCAATGACTCAGGTGTGCTGGGACCCCTCCCCATGAACTCAGGTGTGATGGGACCCCTCCCCATGAACTCAGGTGTGCTGGGACCCCTCCCCATGAACTCAGGTGTGATGGGACCCCTCCCCATGAACTCAGGTGTGCTGGGACCCCTCCCCATGAACTCAGGTGTGCTCAGACCCCTCCCCAAATGCGTTCAGGTGCTCTGAGCCCCCCCCAAACGCCGCTGGCACCTGCGGGGGTCCGCGGCGGGCGGGCGCAGGGTCTCGGGGCGCCGGATCAGGTGGTCCAGGGCGCGCAGCAGGTGCGGGAAGGTGGGGCGGGCGCCGCGCTGGCGCTGCCAGCACTGCAGCATCAGCCGGTGCAGCGGCGCCGGGCAGCGCGGCGGCGGCGGCAGGCGGTAGTCCTGCTCCACCGCGTTGATCACCTGGGCAGGGGAGGGGACAGGTGAGGGGACAGGTGAGGATTTCGGGGGGTTTTGGAGGGGGTTCTGGGGGGTTTTTGTGGATCTGGGGTTTTTTGGTGTGTTTTTTGGGTTTTTTGTGGGGATTTTTTTTTGGTTTTTGTAATTTTGGGGTATTTTGGTGCGTTTTTTGGGGGTTTTTGGGGTTTCTGTGGCTCTGGGGCCCTGGCCTTGAGTGACTCATGTCCTGGTTGGACATGGACATCTCCCAGTACTCATGGTTGTACATCTCCCAGTAGTCATGGTTGGATGTGTCCCATACTCATGGTTGGACATGAACATGTCCCATACTCATGGTTGGATGTGTCCCAGTACTCATGGTGGGACATGTCCCATACTCACGGTTGGACATGAACATGTCCCATACTCATGGTTGGACACGTCCCGGTACTCATGGTTGGACATGGACATCTCCCGGTACTCACGTCCTGGTTGGACATGTCCCAGGATTCATGGTGGGACATCTCCCAGTACTCATGGTTGGACGTGTCCCATACTCATGGTGGGACGTGTCCCATTACTCATGGTTGGACATGGACATCTCCCAGTACTCATGGTTGGACATCTCTCAGTACTCATGGTGGGACATGTCCCATACTCATGGTTGGACACATCTTGGTTGGACATGGACATGTCCCAGTACTCATGGTGGGACATCTCCCCATACTTATGATGGGACATCTCCCAGTACTCATGGTTGGACATGTCCCAGTACTCATGTCCTGGTTGGACGTGTCCCATACTCATGGTTGGACACGTCCTGGTTGGACATCTCCCAGTACTCATGGTGGGACATGTCCCATACTCATGGTTGGACATCTCCCAGCAGTCATGGTTGGACATCTCTCAGTACTCATGGTGGGACATGTGCCATACTCATGGTTGGACACATCTTGGTTGGACATGGACATGTCCCAGTACTCATGGTGGGACATGGCCCAGTACTCATGGTTGGACAAGGACATCTCCCAGTACTCATGGTTGGACATCTCCCAGTACTCATGGTGGGACATGGACATCTCCCAGTACTCACGTCCCAGTTGGACGTGTCCCATACTCGTGGTTGGACACGTCCTGGTTGGACATCTCCCAGTACTCATGGTTGGACGTGTCCCATACTCATGGTTGGACACGTCCTGGTTGAACATGGACATGGCCCAGTACTCATGGTGGGACGTGTCCCATACTCATGGTTGGACATGGACATCTCCCAGTACTCATGGTTGGACGTCTCCTAGTACTCACACCCCAGTTGGACGTGTCCCATACTCATGGTTGGACACGTCCCGGTTGGACATGGACGTGTCCCATACTCATGGTTGGATGTGTCCCATACTCGTGGTTGGACATGGACATGTCCCAGTGCTCATGGTTGGACATGTCCCGTACTCATGGTTGGACATCTCCCAGTACCCATGTCCCGGTGGGACATGGACATCTCTCAGTACTCATGGCTGGACATGTCCCAGTACTCACGTCCTGGTTGGACATGTCCTGGTTGGACATCTCCCAGTACTCATGGTGGGACATCTCCCAGTACTCATGTCCTGGTTGGACATGGACATCTCCCAGTACTCATGGTGGGACGTGTCCCATACTCATGGTTGGACATCTCCCGGTACTCATGACTGGACAATCTCCCAGTACTCACGTCCTGGTTGGACATGTCCCATACTCATGGTGGGACGTGTCCCATACTCATGGTTGGACACGTCCCGGTTGGACATGGACATGGCCCAGTACTCATGGTTGGACATGTCCCAGTACTCATGGTTGGACATGTCCCAGTACTCATGGTTGGACATGGACATGGCCCAGTACTCATGGTTGGACATCTCCCAGTACTCATGTACTGGTTGGACATGTCCCAGTACTCATGGTGGGACATGGACATGTCCCAGTACTCATGGTTGGATGTGTCCCATACTCATGGTTGGATGTGTCCCATACTCATGGTTGGACATGTCCCAGTACTCACGTCCTGGTTGGACATGTCCCAGTACTCACGTCCCAGTAGGACGTGTCCCATACTCATGGTTGGACATGTCCCGGTTGGACATGGACATGTCCCGGTACTCACGTCCTGGTTGGACATGTCCCAGTAGTCATGGTGGGACATCTCCAATTACTCATGGTTGGACATCTCCCGGTACTCATGGTGGGACAATCTCCCGGTACTCACGTCCTGGTTGGACATGTCCCAGTACTCATGGTGGGACATGTCCCATACTCATGGTTGGACATGTCCCATACTCACGTCCTGGTTGGACATGTCCCAGTACTCATGGTGGGACATGTCCCATACTCATGGTTGGACATGTCCCATACTCACGTCCTGGTTGGACATGTCCCAGTAGGGTCTCTCGCCGAAGCTCAGCACCTCCCACATGACGATGCCGAAGCTCCAGACGTCGCTGGCCGAGGTGAAGGTGCGGAAGGCGATGGCCTCGGGCGCCGTCCAGCGGATCGGGATCTTCCCGCCCTGCCGGGGGGCGCGGGCGGTCAGGGGGACCCCGAAACCCACCGGGAAACACAAAAAAGCACCAGGAAACCACAAAAACCACCAGGAAACCACAAAAAAACACCAGGAAACCACAAAAACCACCGGGAAACCCCAAAAAACCACCGGGAAACCAAAAAAACCACCAGGAAACCAAAAAAAACCACCGGGAAACCCAAAAAAAACCACCGGGAAACCACAAAAACCACCGGGAAACCCAAAAAACCACCGGGAAACACAAAAAAAACACCGGGAAACTCAAAAAAAACCACCAGGAAACCCAAAAAACCACCGGGAAACCCAAAAAAACCACCGGGAAACCACAAAAAACCACCGGGAAACCACAAAAACCACCGGGAAACCCCAAAAAAAGCACCGGGAAACCCAAAAACCACTGGGAAACCCAGAAAAACCACCGGGAAACCCCAAAAAAACCACCGGGAAACCACAAAAACCACCGGGAAACCAAAAAAACCAAGAAACCACAAAAACCACCCGGAAACCAAAAAAACCAAGAAACCACAAAAACCACTGGGAAACCACAAAAAACCACCAGGAAACAAAAAAAAAACCACTAGGGAGCCCAAAAAAACCACCGGGAAACCACAAAAACCACCGGGAAACCCAAAAAAAGCACCGGGAAACCCAAAAAAACCACCGGGAAACCACAAAAACCACCGGGAAACCCAAACCCCCCCAAATCCCCCAAAATCCCTCCAAACCCCCCCAAATCCCCCCCTAGTCCCCCCAAACCCCCCAAATTCCCCCAGAATCCCCCCAAACCCCCCCTGAGTCCCCACAACCCCCCCAGATCCCCCCCAAACTCCCCAAACCCCCTGAATCCCCCCAAAATCACCCCTGAATCCCCCCAAGCCCCCCCAATCCCCCCAAACCCCCTGATTACCCCCCAACCCCCCCGAATCCCCCCAAACCCCCCAAATCCCCCGAGTCCCCCCAAATACCCCCTGAGTCCCCCAAATCCCCCTCAAACCCCCTGAGTCCCCCCCGAATCCCCCCCAGATCTCCCCCAAACCCCCCCAAACCCCACCAAACCCCCCCAGATCCCCCCTGAATCCCCCCCAGACCCCCCCAGATCCCCCCAAACACCCCCAGATCCGCCCCAAACCCCCGTACCCCCCTGAATTCTCCCCAAATTCCCCCCGAAATCCCCCCAAACCCTCTGAGCCCCCCAAATCCCCCCCGAATTCCCCTCAAACCCTCTGAAATCCCCCCAAATCCCCCCCAAACCCCCTGAATCCTCCCCAAATCCCCCCAAAATCCCAATGAATCTCCCCAAATTCACCCCAAACCCCCTGAATCCTCCCCAAATCCCCCCTGAGTCCTCCCCAAACCCCCCAAATCCCCCCAAATCCCCCCCAAACCCCCTGAATCCCCCTCAACCCCCCCAGATCCCCCCAAACCCCCCCAGACCCCCTGAATCCCTCCCAAATCCCCCAGATTCCCCCCCAAACCCCCTGATTGCCCCCCAAATCCCCCCGAGTTCCCCCCAAACCCCCCCAGACCCCCTGAATCCCCCCCAAACCCCCCCAAACCCCCCAGCCCCCCTCTGCCCCCTGTCCGGGGGTCCCACCAGGGAGCTGGTGTAGGTGGGGTCGCTGTCGCGGGCGCCGCCGAGGGCGCGGGAGAGGCCGAAGTCGGAGACTTTGCAGACCAGGTGGGCGTCCACCAGAACGTTCCGCGCCGCCAGGTCCCGGTGCACGAAGCCGGCCTCGGCCAGGTAACGCATGCCGGCGGCGATGCCGCGCAGCATGGCCACCAGCTGCAGCGTGGGCAGGGTCCCCTCGCGGCCCTGGGACACAGCACGGTGTCACCGGTGTCACCGGTGTCACCAGATTGTCATTGGTGTCCCCAAAGTGTCACCAGTGTCCCCAAATCCCCAGGTAACGCATGCCGGCGGCGATGCCGCGCAGCATGGCCACCAGCTGCAGCGTGGGCAGGGTCCCCTCCCGGCCCTGGGACACGTGTCACAGTGTCACCGGTGTCACCAATGTCCCCAAAGTGTCACCAGTGTCCCCAAATTGTCACCAGTGTCCCCAAATCCCCGGGTAACGCATGCCGGCGGCGATGCCGCGCAGCATGGCCACCAGCTGCAGCGTGGGCAGCGTCCCCTCCCGGCCCTGGGGCACGGCACGGTGTCACTAGTGTCCCCAAATTGTCACCGGTGTCCCCAGATTGTCACCGGTGTCCCCAAATTGTCACCAGTGACACCAGATTGTCACCGGTGTCCCCAAATCCCCTCGGTGTTCCAAGATCACCTCAATGGCCCAAATCAACTCAATGTCACTGCATCCCCACAATGTCCCCAATGTCCCCAAATCCCCCCAATGTCCTTGATGTCCCCATTGTCCTTGATGCCCCCAATGTCCCCAAATGTCCCCAAATGTCCCCAAATCCCCTCGGTGTTCCAAAAGCACCTCAATAGCCCAAAATCAACTCAATGTCACCAAATCCTCACAATGTCCCCACTGTCCCCAATGTCCCCAATGTCCCCAATGTCCCCCAATGTCCCCAATATCCTCAACCCCCCCAATGTCCCCAATGTCCCCAATCCCCCCAATGTCCCCGATGTCCCCAATGTCCCCAATGTCCCCAAATGTCCCCAATGTCCCCAATGTCCCCAATGTCCCCAAATCCCCTCAATGTCCCCAAAATCTCCCCAATGTCCCCAATGTCCCCATCCCCCCAGTGTCCCCAAATCCCCCAACCCCCCCATTGTCCCCAATGTCCCCAATGTCCCCGATGTCCCCAATGTCCCCAATGTCCCCAATGTCCCCAATGTCCCCAAATGTCCCCAGTGTCCCCAACATCCCCAATGTCCCCAATGTCCCCAATGTCCCCAATCCCCCCAACGTCCCCAATGTCCCCAAGGTCCCCAATGTCCCCAATGTCCCCAATGTCCCCAACCCCCCCAATGTCCCCAATGTCCCCCAATGTCCCCAATGTCCCCAAACGTCCCCAATGTCCCCAATGTCCCCAATGTCCTGAACCCCCCCAATGTCCCCAATCCCCCCCAATGTCCCCAATGTGTCCCCAATGTCCCCAATGTCCCCAATGTGTCCCCAATGTCCCCAACCCCTCGGTCCCACCCTGAGGAAGGCGTCGAGGGCGCCGTGCAGCAGGAACTCGGTGACGATCATGGCGGGGGGCCCGGCGGTGCTGACGACGCCGCGCAGCCGCACCACGTTGGGGTGCCGGAACTGCCCCATGCGCGCGGCCTCGCGCAGGAACTCCCGGCGCTGCCGCTCGCCCGCGCCGCCCTTGAGCGTCTTCACCGCCACCTCGGCCTCGGGCTGGCCCGGCAGCGCCAGCCGCCCGCGCCACACCTCGCCGAACTCGCCTGCGGGGGAAATCGGGGGGAATCTACACAAAAAACCAAAATCTACCCAAAAAACAGCCAAAATCTGCATAAATCTACCCAAAACCAGCCAAAATCGGGGTAAATCCACCCAAAAAACGGCCAAAATCCAAATAAATCCACCCAAAACCCAACCACACCTCACCGAATTCGCCTGCGGGGGAAATCGGGGTAAATCCAACCAAAACCAGCCAAAATCTACCCAAAATCAGCAGAAATCTGGGTAAATCCACCCAAAACCAGACAAAATCTACCCAAAAAACAGCCAAAATCCAACTAAATCCACCCAAAATCCAAATAAATCCACCCAAAATCCAACCACACCTCGCCGAACTCGCCTGCGGGGGAAATCGGGGTGAATCTGCCCAAAAAACCAAAATCTACCCAAAAAACGGCCAAAATCCACGTAAATCCACCCAAAACCTGCCAAAATCAGGGTAAATCTACACAGAAAACGGCCAAAATCCGGGTAAATCCACCCAAAACCAGACAAAATCCAAATAAATCCACCCAAAATCCAAATAAATCCACCCAAAACCCAACCACACCTCGCCGAACTCGCCTGCGGAGGGAAATCGGGGTGAATCTGCCCGAAAAACGGCCAAAATCCGGGTAAATCTACCCAAAACCAGCCAAAATCCACCCAAAAAACGGCCAAAATCCAGGTAAATCTACCCAAAATCCAAATAAATCCACCCAAAATCCAACCACACCTCGCCAAACTCGCCTGCGGAGGAAATCGGGGTGAATCTGCCCGAAAACGGCCAAAATCCACATAAATCCACCCAAAATCCAAATAAATCCACCCAAAATCCAACCACACCTCGCCGAACTCGCCTGGGGAGGGAAATCGGGGTGAATCTACACAAAACCGGCCAAAATCCACCCAAAAAACGGCCAAAATCCACATAAATCCACCCAAAACCTGCCAAAATCAGGGTAAATCTACCCAAAAATCTGCCAAAATGTGGAAAAATCCACCCAAAACCCAACCACACCTCGCCGAACTCGCCTGCGGGGGAAATCGGGGTGAATCTGCCCAAAAAACCAAAATCTACCCAAAAAACAGCCAAAATCCGGGTAAATCCACCCAAAATCCAAATAAATCCACCCAAAACCCAACCACACCTCGCCGAACTCGCCTGCGGAGGGAATCGGGGGGAATCTGCGCGAAAAACGGCCAAAATCCACCCAAAAACGGCCAAAATCCGGGTAAATCTACCCAAAATCCAAATAAATCCACCCGAAAAACAGCCAAAATCCAAATAAATCTACCCAAAACCCAACCACACCTCGCCGAACTCGTCTGCGGAGGGAAATCGGGGTGAATCTGCCCGAAAAACGGCCAAAATCCAAATAAATCCACCCAAAACCGGCCAAAATCCAGGTAAATCTACCCAAAATCCAAATAAATCCACCCAAAACCCAACCACACCTCGCCGAACTCGCCTGCGGGGGAATCGGGGTGAATCTACCCAAAAACGGCCAAAATCCACCCAAAAAACAGCCAAAATCCAACCACACCTCGCCGAACTCGCCTGCGGGGGAATCGGGGTGAATCTACCCAAAAACGGCCAAAATCCACCCAAAAAACGGCCAAAATCCAAATAAATCCACCCAAAACCCAACCACACCTCGCCAAACTCGCCTGCGGAGGAAATCGGGGTGAATCTACACAGAAAACGGCCAAAATCCGGGTAAATCCACCCAAAACCTGCCAAAATCTACCCAAAATCCAACCACACCTCGCCGAACTCGCCTGCATTGGGAAATTGGGATAAATCCACCCAAAACCAGCCAAAATCTACCCAAAAAACTGCCAAAGTCCAGATAAATCCACCCAAAACCAACCACACCTCGCTGAACTCGCCTGCGGAGGGAATCGGGGGGAATGTGCCCAAAACCAGCCAAAATCCACCCCAAAAAACGGCCAAAATCCGGGTAAATCCACCCAAAATCCAAATAAATCCACCCAAAATCCAACCACACCTCGCCAAACTCGCCTGGGGAGGGAAATCGGGGTGAATCTGCCCAAAAAACGGCCAAAATCCAAATAAATCCACCCAAAACCCAACCACACCTTGCCAAACTCACCTGCGTTGGGAAATTGGGGTAAATCCACCCAAAAATAACCAAAACCCAACAAAATCCACCCAAAATCCACCCACATCTGACCCCAAATCTTCAGACCTGCCCCGATGACCTCGTGGATGGTGACGTGGGCGGCGTCGATCTCCCCGAAATGACCCAAAATGACCCAAAATGACCCAAAATGACCCAAAATGCGGCACCTGCCCCGATGACCTCGGGGATGGTGACGTGGGCGGCGTCGATCTCCCCGAAATGACCCAAAATGACCCAAAATGACCCAAAATGACCCAAAATGCCCCAAAATCCGGTACCTGCCCCGATGACCTCGTGGATGGTGACGTGGGCGGCGTCGATCTCCCCGAAATGACCCAAAATGACCCAAAATGACCCAAAATGACCCAAAATCCGGTACCTGCCCCGATGACCTCGTGGATGGTGACGTGGGTGGCGTCGATCTCCCCGAAATGACCCAAAATGACCCAAAATGACCCAAAATGACCCAAAAATCCCCAAAATGACCCCAAAATTCGGTACCTGCCCCGATGACCTCGTGGATGGTGACGTGGGCGGCATCGATCTCCCCGAAATGACCCAAAATGACCCGAAATGACCCAAAATGACCCAAAATGACCCGAAATCCGGTACCTGCCCCGATGACCTCGTGGATGGTGACGTGGGCCGCGTCGATCTCGGTGGCGAAGTCCCTCAGGGCCCCCTCGGGCTCCTCGTAGCTCAGGGGGTCAATGTAGAGTTTCCTGCCTGGGGGAGGGGCGTGGGGTCACCCCGGGGTCACCCTGGGGTCACTCGGGGTCATTTGGGGTCACCCCGGGGTCATTTGGGGTCACTCAGGGCCACCCTGGGGTCATTTGGGGACACTTCTGGGATGTTTTTTGGGAATTTCTTTGGGGGTATTTGGGGGCGTTTTTGAGGAGATTTTTTGGGAGATTTGGGGACTTTTTTGGGGAAACTTTGAGGATATTTTTGGGAATTTTTGGGGATTTTTTTTGGGATTTCTTTGGGGGTATTTGGGGACGTTTTTGAGAATATTTTTGGGGACTTTCTGGGAACGTTTTTGGGGGATAGTTTTAGGATATTCATGGACATTTTTAGGGAGAGTTGGGTACTTTTTGGGACATTTTGAGGGATATTTTTCAGGATATTTTTGGGACATTTTTGGGGGACATTTTTGGGGGATAATTTTAGGACGTTCGTGGGCATTTTTAGGGAGAGTTGGGTACTTTTTGGGACATTTTGGGGGATATTTTTGGAGATATTTTTGGGGCATTTTTGGGACATTTTTGAGGACATTTTTGGGACATTTTTGAGGATATTTTTGGGGACATTTGGGGGAAGTTTTGGGGTCCCCCTTACCGAGCCCCCCGGGGCGACGTCGCTGCTTCTCCACCCGGAGCCGCCAGCGCCTGTGGGGATGGGGGGGCACGGGGGTGGAGACCCCCCCAAAATAACCCAAATCCTCCCCAAAATAACCCAAATCCACCCGAAACACCCCGAATTCACCCAAAATCCACCCCAAAATAACCCCAAAACACCCCAAAATAACACAAATCCACCCAAAACACCCCAGAATAACCCAAATCCACCCATAACACCCCGAATTCACCCAAAATCCTCCCCAAAATAACCCAAATCCACCCCAAAATAACCCCAAACACCCCAGAATAACCCAAATCCACCCCAAATCCTCCCCATATCCCTCAGGAACCCCAAAACAACCCAAATTCACCCAAATCCACCCGAAAATAACCCAAAATCCACCCAAACCCTCCCCAGACCACTCAGGGAACCCAAATCCACCCCGATCATCCCAAATCCCCCCAAATACCCCCAAACTGCCTCCAAATCTCCCAAAATTGCCCCAAATCCCCCAATTCCCCCCAAACCCCCACAATTTTCCCCAGATCACCCCCAAAATCCCCCAAATCCCCCAAATCCCCCCAAATCCCCCCAAATCCCCCCAAATCCCCCCAAACCCCCCTCACCTGCGGCAGGCCAGGGCCCCCCCCCAGCAGCGCCAGCACCAGGAGCCCCCCGAGGATGGCGGCGCCCGCCACGACCCCCCCGGGACCCCCCCGGGACCCCTCTGGGGAAAATGGGGAAAAAAGGGAATTTGGGGGGTTTGGTGGATTTGGGGAGGAATTTGGGGAGATTTGGGTGGGTTTAGGGGGATTTGGGAGGGATTTGGGGGGATTTGGGGAAATTTGGGGGGATTTGGGTGGGTTTAGGGGGATTTGGGGAGATTTTGGGGAGGTTTGGGTGGATTTAAGGGGATTTGGGGGATTTGGGGAAATTTGGGGGGATTTAGGGGGATTTGGGTGGGTTTAAGGGGATTTGGGGAAATTTGGGGGGATTTAGGGGGGTTTGGGGTGATTTGGGGGGATTTGGGTGGGTTTAGGGGGATTTGGAGGGATTTGGGGAAATTTGGGGGTATTTAGGGAGATTTGGGTGGGTTTAGGGGGATTTGGAGCAAATTGGGGGGATTTGGGGTGTTTTTGGGGTGTTTTTGGGGTATTTCAGGGCAGTTTTGGGGTATTTCGGGGTGTTTTTGGGATATTTTTGGGGCATTTCGGGGTCCCACCGCTGCCCGGCGCGCTGACCGTGGTCTCGGGGGTTACAGGGTGGGTTTTGGGGTATTTCAGGGTGTTTTTGGGGTATTTCAGGGTGTTTTTGGGTGGTTTTGGGGTATTTCAGGGTGTTTTTGGGGTATTTCAGGGCAGTTTTGGGATATTTTTGGGGTATTTTGGGGTCTCACCGCTGCCCGGCGCGCTGACCGTGGTCTCGGGGGTTACAGGGCGGGTTTTGGGGGATTTCAGGGTGTTTTTGGGGTGTTTTTGGTGTATTTCAGGGTGGTTTTGGGGTGTTTTTGGTGTATTTCAGGGTGTTTTCTGGGTATTTCAGGTGTTTTTGGGGTATTTCAGGGTGTTTTTGGGGTATTTCAGGGTGTTTTTGAAGCGTTTTTGGGGTATTTCAGGGCAGTTTTGGGGTATTTCAGGGTGTTTTGGGGTCTCACCACTGCCCGTTGCGCTGACCGTGGTCTCGGGGGTTACAGGGTGGTTTTTGGGGTGTTTTTGGGTGTTTTTGGGGCGTTTTTGGGCGTTTTGGGGTATTTCAGTGCAGTTTTGGGGTATTTCAGGGTGTTTTTGGGGTATTTCAGGGTGTTTTTGGGGCGTTTTTAGGTATTTTTGGGCGTTTTTGGGGGTCTCACCGCTGCCCGTTGCGCTGACCGTGGTCTCGGGCCCGAAGTCTCCGTAGCCGCCCTCGGAGCGCGCCCGGACCCGCACCCCATAGAGGCCCCCCCGGCGCAGCCCCCCGAGCTCCGCCCGCGGCCGCGGCACCTTCAGGAACTGGGGGGGCCCCTCCCCGCCCCCCAGCTGCGGGGGTCAGGCACCCCAAAAACACCCAAAACACCCCAAAAATACCCCAAAACCAACCCAAAATACCCCCTCCCCCAGCTGCGGGGGTCAGGCACCCCGAAAACACCCGAAACACCCCAAAAACATCCCAAAAACACCCCAAAATACCCCAAAAACACCCCAAAAACACCCCAAAATAACCCCCCCCCCAGCTGCGGGGGTCAGGCACCCCGAAACCAGCCAAAACACCCCAAAACCAGCCAAAACACCCCAAAACCACCCAAAAACATCCCAAAAACACCCCAAAATACCCCCCCCCAGCTGCGGGGGTCAGGCACCCCGAAAAGAGCCAAAAACACCCCAAAATAACCCCCCCAGCTGCGGGGGTCAGGCACCCCGAAAACACCCGAGAATCGCCCCAAAAACACCTCGAAAATACCCCAAATCCACCCCAAAAACAAATCCCCCCAATTTCTCCCCTAAATCTCTCCCAACCCCCCCAAATTCCCCCAAACCCCCCCAAATCCCCTCAAATCCCCCCAAATCCCCTCAAATCCCCCCCAAAACTCCCCCAAACCCCTCTGTATCCCCCAAACCCCTCCAAAATCCCCCCCAATTTCTCCCCAAATCCCCCCATATCCCCCCAAATCCCCCCCAATTCCCCCCAACCCCCCCAAAGCCCCCATTTTCTCCCCCAAATTCCCCAATTTCCCCCCAAACCCCCCCAAATCCCCCCAAATCCCCCCCCAAATCCCCCCAGAACCCCCCAAATCCCCCCAAACCCCCCCCAAAAACCCCCCAAACCCGCCATATTCCCCAAAACCCCCCAAATCCCCACCAATTTCTCCCCAAATCCCCCCCCAAATTCCCCAAATCCCCCCCAAACCCCCCCAAAATCCCCCCAACCTCTCCCAATTCCCCCCCAAACCCCCAATTTCTCCCCAAATTCCCCCCAAACCCCCCAAACCCCCCCCAACCCCCCCTGTGCCCCCTCCCCACCTTCTCGTAGAACTTGACCTCGTAGTCCAGCACGGGGGGCCCGGGGGGGCCCTGGGGGGGGCTGGGCCAGGCCAGGGTGACCCCCCCGGGACCCCCCCCCACCCGCACCACGTCGGACACGGGGGGCGGCACTGGGGGGCAGAGGGGTCAGGGGGTCCCCGGGGGGTTTGGGGGGTTTGGGCTTTTTTTGGGGTTTTTTGGGTGGGTTTGGGGAGTTTTGGGCTTTTTTTGGGGTTTTTTTGGGGTGGGTCAGGGGGTCCCCAGGGGGGTTTGGGGGGGTTGGGGGGTTTTTTGGGGTTTTTTTGGGGCGGGTTTGGGAGTTTTGGGCTTTTTTTGGAGTTTTTTGGGGCAGGTTCGGGGGTCCCGAGGGGGTTTTTGGGGAGTTTTGGGCTTTTTTTGGGGCGGGTTTGGGGGTCCCCAGAGGGTTTTTGGGGAGTTTTTGGCGTTTTCTGGGGTGGGTTTGGGGGTCCCCAGGGGGGTTTTGGGGTTTTTTTGGGGAGGGTTTGGGGGTCCCGAGAGGGTTTTTGGGGGGTTTTGGGGTTTTTTTGGGGAGGGTTTGGGGGTCCCGAGAGGGTTTTTGGGGAGTTTTGGGGTTTTTTTGGGGTTTTATTGGGGCGGGTTTGGAGGTCCCAAGAGGGTTTTGGGGGCCCCAGAGGGAGGGAGTCCGTGGGTTTTGAGGGGGTTTTTTTTGGAGTGGTTTTGGGGATTTTTGGGCTATTTTAGGTGATTTCGGTCTGTTTTAGGTGGTTTTGGGACATTTTTAGTGGGTTTGGGCCGTTTTGGGCCGGTTTTGGGCAGTTTTCGGTGGTTTTTGGGCCGTTTTTGAGCCGTTTTTGCCCGGTTTTGGGGTCTCACCGTCAGCCCCCGCGGTGACGTTGATCTCGGCCGCGGGGGGCTCCGGGGGGGGTTTTGGGGCAGTTTTTGGGCTGTTTTAGGTGATTTTGGGGCCATTTTTGGGCAGTTTTGGGTGGGTTTTGGGCTGGTTTTTGGCCGTTTTTGGGCCGTTTTTGGGGTCTCACCGTCAGCCCCAGCAGTGACGTTGATCTCGGCGGCGGGGGGCTCCGGGGGGGGTTTTGGGGCCGTTTGGGGGTGTTTTTGGGCTGTTTTGGCTGGTTTTTGGGCCGTTTTTGCCCGTTTTTGGGCTCTCACCGTCTGCCCCCGCGGTGACGTTGATCTCGGCGGCGGGGGGCTCCGGGGGGGTTTTTGGGGTGGTTTTTGGGCGGTTTTGGGCCGTTTTTGGGCTGGTTTTGGGCCATTTTTGGCCGTTTTTGGGCCGTTTTTGGCCGTTTTTGTCCGTTTTTGGGGTCTCACCGTCCGCCCCCGCGGTGACGTTGATCTCGGCGGCGGGGGGCTCCGGGGGGGTTTTTGGGATGGTTTTTGGGCTATTTTTGGTGATTTTGGGGCCATTTTTGGGCCGTTTTTGGCCATTTTTGGGCCGTTTTTGGCCAGTTTTGGGTTGTTTTTGGTGATTTTGGGGCCGTTTTTGTGCCATTTTTGGGCCGTTTTTGGGGTCTCACCGTCAGCCCCAGCAGTGACGTTGATCTCGGCGGCGGGGGGCTCCGGGGGGGGTTTTGGGGCCGTTTTTGGGACGTTTTTGGCCGTTTTTGGGCGGTTTTGGGCGGTTTTGGGCCGTTTTTGGGTGATTTTGGGGCTGTTTTTGGGCCGTTTTTGGGGTCTCACCGTCAGCCCCAGCAGTGACGTTGATCTCGGCGGCGGGGGGCTCCGGGGGGGGTTTTGGGCTGTTTTAGGTGATTTTGGGGCCGTTTTTGGCCGTTTTGGGGTGTTTTTGGGCCGTTTTGGGCGTTTTTTGGGCGTTTTTTGGCCGTTTTTGGGGTCTCACCGTCAGCCCCCGCGGTGACGTTGATCTCGGCGGCGGGGGGCTCCGGGGGGGTTTTTGGGATGGTTTTTGGGCCGTTTTTGGCCGTTTTTGGGCTGTTTAGGGTGGTTTTTGATGATTTTGGGGCCGTTTTTGGCCGTTTTGGGGTCTCACCGTCAGCCCCAGCAGTGACGTTGATCTCGGCGGCGGGGGGCTCCGGGGGTCCCGGGGGGCTGACCCCGCTGCGGGCGCTGACCCTGAAGCTGTAGGTGACGCGGGGCCGCAGTCCGGCCGCGCTGACCGCGGGGGTCCGCAGCCCCTGGGGGGGGGGCGCCCAGGCCAGGGGCTCGCAGGGGCCGCACTCGGGGGGCGCCCCACGGGCCGGGGGGCACGCCCGGCACCCCACGCTGTAGCGCAGGTCCGGCCGCTCGGCCCCGGCCCGCGGGGGGCTCCAGGACAGACGGACCACCGACCCGTTCAGCCGCGCCGACAGCGCCCGCGGCGCCGAGGGGGGGGCTGCGGGCACGGGGGGGTCAGGGGGGACCCTCGGAGGGTCTCCGTGGGGGGAAACCCACCCGGGAGCCCACCCGGAATGTCCCCATGGAGGGAAACCCACCCGGGACCCCCCCCCGGAGGGTCCCCATGGAGGGAAACCCACCCAGGACCCCCCAAATTCTCCCCCCAGACACCCAAATCCCACCCAGGACCCCCACCCGGAATGCCCCCGTGGGGGGAAACCCACCCGGGACACCCCCAAATCCCCTCCAAGATACCCAAATCCCACCCAGGACACCCCCCGGAGGGTCCTCATAGGGGGAAACCCACCCGGGACCCACCCCCGGAGGGTCTCCATGGGGGGAAACCCACCCGGGAGACCCCCAGGACACCCAAATTCCACCCAGGACCCCCCCAAATCCCCCCCAAGGCACCCAAAACCCACCCAGGACCCCCCAAATTCTCCCCCAGGGCACCCAAATTCCCCCCAGGACCCCCCAAATCCCCCCCCAGGAAACCCAAATCCCACCCAGGACCCCCCAAATTCTCCCCCTGGACACCTAAAACCCAACCAGGACCACCCCCAAATTATTCCCATGGAGGGAAACCCACCCAGGACCCCCCCAAATCCCCTCCAAGATACCCAAAACCCAACCAGGACCCCCCAAATCCCCCCCAAGATACCCAAAACCCACCCAGGACCCCCCCAAATTATCCCCATGGACACCCAAAACCCACCCAGGACCCCCCCAAAACCCACCCAGGGCACCCAAAACCCACCCAGGACCCCCCAAATCTCCTCCAGGATGCCCAAATCCCACCCAGGACCCCCCAAATCCCACCCAGGACACCCAAAACCCACCCAGGACCACCCCCAAATTATCCCCATGGAGAGGAACCCACCCAGGACCCCCCCGGGACACCCAAAACCCACCCAGGACACCCAAATCCCACCCAAAACCCCCCCAAATCCCCTCCAAGATACCCAAAACCCACCCAGGACACCCGAAACCCACCCAGGACACCCAAAACCCATCCATAACCCCCCAAATTCTCTCCCAGGACACCCAAATCCCCCCCAGGACAACCAAAACCCACCCAGGACCACCCCAAATCCCACCCAGAACACCCAAAATGCTCCCCCAGGACCCCTCAAATCCTCCCCAAGACCCGCCCCACCCTGAAGACCCCAAACCCCATCCAGGACTCCCCAAATTCCCCCAAGTTCCCCCCAATAAAAAATCCCCAAATCCCGTTGGGTTCCCTCCTCAAAACACCCCAAAATTCCCCCCGAGAAGCCCAAAAAAAGCCCCGAAATGCCCCGAAATGCCCCGAAATTGTCACCGGAGCAGCGTTCCGGGGGTCCCTCGCCGGGGGCGCGGAAGAACCCGGGGCGGCAGCGGCAGGAGGGGGCGCCGGGGGAGGGGGCTTCGCTCTGGGGGGGGCAGGGCCGGCAGCGACCCCCCCCCGCCTCCGCCTTGAACGTTTCGGGGGGACAGGCTGGGGGGGGGGGCATGGGGGGGTCAGGGACCCCCTCGGACCCCAAAACACCCCCCAAAAAAACAGGATGAAAGCAACGCTAAGCAACCCAAAAATAACCCAAAAACGTCACGAAATAACCCCCAAAACAACCAAAAAGTCCTAAAATCACCCCAAAACACCCAAAAATACCCCAAAACACACCAAAAATGTCCTAAAATCACCCCAAAACACCAAAAAATACCCCAAAACACCCCAAAACACCCAAAACCACCCCGAAAGACCCCAAAACACACCAAAATGCCCTCAAACACCCCGAGCCACCCCAAAAATACCCAAAACCAACCCAAAAATACCCCAACACACCAAAACCAATCACAAATCCACTCAAACACCACAAAACACCCCAAACCACAACGAAAACCCATCAAAAACCCCAAAACCAACCCAAAAACACTGCAAACACCACAAACCACCCGAAAACGACCCAACAACGATCCGAAAACACCCCAAATCCACTCAAACACCCAAAACCCACCCAAATCCCACCAAACTCACGCCGACACCCCGTTCCCTCGCCCGGCTCCATGCCCGGCCCGCAGACGCAGCCCAGCGCCCCAAACACACACCCCAAACACCCAAAACACCCCAAAATCCCCCCAAACTCACGCCGACACCCCGTCCCCTCGCCTGGCTCCATGCCCGGCCCACACACGCAGCCCAGTGCCCCAAACACACACCCAAAACAGCCAAAAACACCCAAAAACACCTCGAAAACCCCCAAAACCCACCCAACAATGATCAAAAAACACCCCAAATCCACTTAAATACCCCAAAACCCACCCAAATCCCCCCAAACTCACGCCGGCACCCCGTCCCGTCTCCTGGCTCCATGCCCGGCCCGCAGACGCAGCCCAGCGCCCCAAACACACACCCCAAACACCCAAAAACACCCCAAAACACCCCAAAATCCACTCATACATCACCAAACCGTCCAAAACCACCCCAAATCCACTCAAACATCCCAGAACACCCCAAACCATAACCAAAACCCATCAAAAAGCCCAAAACCTACCCAAAACCACTGCAAACACCACAAAACACCCCAAAACACCCAAAAAACAGCCAACAATGATCCAGAAACACCCCAAATCCACTCAAACACCCCAAAACCCACCCAAATTCCCCCAAACTCACGCCGACACCCCGTCCCCTCGCCCGGCTCCATCCCCGGCCCGCAGACGCAGCCCAGCGCCCCAAAAACACCCCAAAAACACCCAAAACACCCCAAAAATACCCAAAAACACCCCAAAATCCCCCCAAACTCACGCCGACACCCCGTCCCCTCACCCGGCTCCATGCCCGGCCCGCAGACGCAGCCCAGCGCCCCAAAGAAACACCCCAAACCACCCAAAAACACCCCAAAAACCACTGAAATCCCCTCAAACACCCCAAAACCACCCCAAAAACCACAAAACCACCCCAAACTCACGCCGACACCCCGTCCCCTCGCCCGGCTCCATGCCCGGCCCGCAGACGCAGCCCAGCGCCCCAAACACACACCCCAAACACCCCAAAACACCCAAAAACACCCCAAAACCACCCCAAAACCACTGAAATCCCCCCAAACACCCCCAAAACACCCCAAAACACCCCAAATCCACTCAAACACCCCAAAAAACACCCAAATCCCCCCAAACTCACGCCGACACCCTGTCCCGTTGCCCGGCTCCATCCCCGGCCCGCAGACGCAGCCCAGCGCCCCAAACACACACCCCAAACACCCCAAAAAACACCCCAAAACACCCAAAAAACACCCAAAAACACCCAAAACACCCCCCAAAACACCCAAAAACACCCCAAAAACCACCCAAAATGCCAAACTCACGCCGACAGCCCGTCCCCTCGCCCGGCTCCATGCCCGGCCCGCAGACGCAGCCCAGCGCCCCAAACACACACCCCAAACACCCCAAAAAACACCCCAAAACACCCAAAAAACACCCAAAAACACCCAAAACACCCCCAAAACACCCAAAACCACCCAAAACCCACCGAAATCCCCCCAAACTCACGCCGACACCCCGTCCCCTCGCCCGGCTCCATGCCCGGCCCGCAGACGCAGCCCAGCGCCCCAAACACCCCCCAAACACCCTGAAACACCCAAAAACACCCAAAACCACCCAAAACCCACCCAACAATGATCAAAAAACACCCCAAATCCACTCAAACACCCCAAAACACCCCAAATCCCCCCAAACTCACGCCGGCACCCCATCCCATCACCGGGCTCCATCCCCGGCCCGCAGACGCAGCCCAGCGCCCCAAAAACACCCCAAAAACACCCAAAACACCCAAAAACACCCCAAACTCACGCCGACACCCCGTCCCCTCGCCCGGCTCCATGCCCGGCCCGCAGACGCAGCCCAGCGCCGGCGGCTCGGCCCAGCGCCCGTCCTCGCGGCAGTACATCAGCGGCTCGCCCTCGCCGGCCGGCACGGCGCCCGGCACGCACACGCCGGGCACCGGCGCCACCAGCTCGGCGGGCACGGTGGCCGGGAAGCGCGCCAGGCGCGCGGTGGCGGCGGGGCAGCGGCGGAAGAAGAGGCGCACCGAGAGCAGCGCCATGCAGGCGCCCAGGTCCTGGAAGGCCAGGTAGAACCCGGCGCGGCTCAACGGGCCCAACCGCAGCACCTTGCGGTTGACGCGGCCCCGCGGAGCCCCGGCGCCGCCGCCGGGACGGCGCGTCAGGTGCTCGGCCGCCACCGTGTCCACCTTGACGTAGGGGTTCTCCATCCAGGGCGGCGAGGTGGCCGTGGCCGTGTCGGCGTCCGACTCGTGGTAGAACACCGAGAAGGTCTCCTTGCAGGTGCGCGCGGCGGCGCGGCGGCGGCGGCCACGCGGGGGGGGCGGGGCGGGGTCGGGGTCGTTTATGGAGAAATTGAGCGGTTTTGGGTCATCGCCATGGAGATCGATGGGTTTGGGGTTGTTTCTGGAGAAATTGAGCGGTTTTGGGTCGTTTCCATGGAGATCGATGTATTTGGGGTCGTTTCTGGAGAAATGGAGCAGTTTTGGGTCGTCGCCATGGAGATCGATGGGTTTGGGGTCGTTTCTGGAGAAATGGAGCAGTTTTGGGTCATTTCCATGGAGATCGATGGGTTTGGGGTCGTTTCTGGAGAAACTGAGCAGTTTTGGGTCTTCGCCATGGAGATCGATGGGTTTGGGGTCATTTCCATAGAAATTTAGGGTTTTGGGGTTGTTGCCATGGAGATCAAAGTCTTCAGGGTTGTTGCCATGGAGATCGATGGGTTTGGGGTCGTTTCCATAGAAATTGAGGTTATTGGGCTTGTTGCCATGGAGATCAATGGGTTTGGGGTTGTTTCCATGGAGATCGATGGGTTTGGGGTCGTTTCTGGAGAAATTGAGCAGTTTTGGGTCATCGCCATGGAGATTGATGTATTTGGGGTTGTTTCTGGAGAAATGGAGCAGTTTTGGGTCTTCGCCATGGAGATCGATGGGTTTGGCATAATTTCCATGGAGATTGATGAGTTTGGGGTCATTTCCATAGAAATTGAGGTTTTTGGGGTTGTTGCCATGGAGATTGATGGGTTTGGTGTCATTTCCATAGAAATTGAGATTTTTGGGGTCGTTGCCATGGAGATCAATGGGTTTGGGGTCGTTTCCATGGAAATTGGTCGGTTTGGGGTTGTTTCCATGGAGATTGACAAGTTCAGGGTTGTTTCCATGGAAATTGATGGGTTTGGGGTCATTTCCATAAAGATCGACGGGTTTGGGGTCGTTTCCATAGAAACTGAGCGGTTTGGGGTCGTTTCCATGGAGATTGACGGGTTTGGGGTCGTGTCCAGGTGTGTCCCCAGGTGTGTCCCCAGGTGTGTCCCCAGGTGTGTCCCCAGGTGTGTCCCTGGGCATCTCCCCAGGTGTGTCGGGCGCCCCCCGCGCCCCCCGCGCCCCCCTTGTCCCCCCGTGCCCATCGCACGCCATGACGGTGAATCGGATCTCGGCCATGACCGTGGTGGCGGCGCCGCGCCGGACCCACCGCGAGCGCAGCCAGCTGTTCTGGGCGGGGCTCCAGCTGTTCTGGGCGGGGCTCCAGCTGTTCTGGGCGGGGCTCCAGCTGTTCTGGGCGGGGCTCCAGCTGTTCTGGGCGGAGCTAAATCCATTCTGGGCGGGGCTAAATCCATTCTGGGCGGAGCTAAAGCCATTCTGGGCGGGGTTTCGGCTGTTGTGGGCGGGGTTTCGGCTGTTGTGGGCGGGGTTTGGGCTGTTGTGGGCGGGGTTTCGGCTGTTGTGGGCGGGGTTTGGGCTGTTGTGGGCGGGGTTTGGGCCCCGCCCCGAGCACACCTCGAAGGTGCGCACGGCCGCGCCCAGCTCGGCGTCCAGCGCGCTCAGCTCCTCCCACTGCCGGACAGACGGACGGACGTGAGGGGTGTCACCTGTCACAGGTGTGTCACCTGTCCCCAAAGTGTCTCACCTGTCTCACCTGTCCCACCTGTCCCACCTGTCTCACCTGTCTCACCTGTCCCTGTCCCTGTCCCAGGTGTCTCACCTGTCCCTGTCATACCTGTCCCAGGTGCCCCAGGTTTCCCTGTCCCTGTCTCAGGTGTCCCACCTGTCCCTGTACCTGTCTCACCTGTCCCAGGTGTCCCTGTCCCTGTCCCTGTCCCTGTCCCAGGTGTCCCCGTACCTGTCCCACCTGTCCCACCTGTCCCACCTGTCCCACCTGTCCCAGGTGTCTCACCTGTCCCTGTCCCTGTCCCTGTCATACCTGTCCCAGGTGTCCCAGGTGTCCCCGTACCTGTCCCAGGTGTCCCAGGTGTCCCAGGTGTCCCAGGTGTCCCTGTCCCAGGTGTGTCTCACCTGTCCCTGTCCCTGTCCCAGGTGTCCCTGTCCCACCTGTCCCTGTCCCTGTCCCAGGTGTCCCTGTCATACCTGTCCCAGGTGTCCCTGTCCCTGTCCCTGTCCCAGGTGTCCCCGTACCTGTCCCAGGTGTCCCTGTACCTGTCCCAGGTGTCTCAGGTGTCTCACCTGTCCCCGTACCTGTCCCTGTCCCACCTGTCCCAGGTGTCCCTGTCCCACCTGTTCCACCTGTCCCTGTCTCACCTGTCTCACCTGTCCCCCAGGTGTCTCACCTGTCTCACCTGTCCCTGTCTCACCTGTCCCAGGTGTCCCCGTACCTGTCCCAGGTGTGTCTCACCTGTCGCTGTACCTGTCCCAGCTGTCCCTTTACCTGTCCCAGGTGTCCCAGGTGTGTCTCACCTGTCCCTGTCCCTGTCCCAGGTGTCTCACCTGTCCCTCCCCCTCGGGGTGCACGGTCCAGCGCAGTTCACTCGTCTCCAGCCGCGTGTCCAGCAGCGTCTCTGGGGGGGGAGGGTCAGTCCCAAAAATGCCAAATTCCACCCCAAAAACATCCCGAAACAAAAAATCCAACCTAAAACCACAAATTCCACCCCAAAACCATCCCAAAATCTCCAAATTCCACCCCAAATCCACACCAAAAACCTCAAATCCACCCCAAAAAACTCCAAATCCACCCCAAATCTACACCAAAAAACCCCAAATTCACCCCAAAAACCCCAAATCCACCCCAAAAATCCCAAATTCCACCCCAAAAACATCCCAAAACCAAAAATCCACCCCAAAAACCCCAAATCCACCCCAAAACCCCAAATCCACCCCAAATTCTATCCTAAAAACCCCAAATCCACCCCCAATTCTATCCCAAAAACCCCAAATCCCCCCAAAACCCCTCACATTCCACCTCAAAAACCCCAAATTCACCCCAAAAACCCCAAATCCCATCCCAAAACCAGAAAGTCCACCCTAAAAACCCCAAATTCCAACCCAAAACCACAAATCCACCCCAAAACCTCCAAATCCGTCCTAAATCCCCAAAACCCACCCTAAAACCATCCCAAAACCCCCAAATCCACCACAGAAACCCAAAATGCCGCCCCAAAAAACCCAAATTCCACCCCAAAAAACCCCAAAACCATCCCCAAAACCCCCAAATTCACCCCAAAACCGTCCCAAACCCCCCAAATACGTCCCAAAACCCCCAAATTAATCCCAGAAACCTCAAATCCACCCCAAAACCCCCAAATTCCACCCCAAAAACCCCAAATTTGGGGGGTCCGGGGGTTTTTGGGGGGTCACGGGGGTTTTGGGGGGTCCCGGAGGTTTTTGGGGTTTTTGGGCGGTTTTGGGGGGGTTTTGGGGATTTTGGGGGGCCCAGGGGGTTTTGGGGGTTTTGGGGGTCCTGGTGGTTTTTGGGGTTTTTGGGGGATTTCGTTGTTTTTTGGGTTGTTTTGGGGCGTTTTTGGGGGGGGGTTTGGGGGGTCCTCGTGGTTTTTGGGTTTTTTTGGGATTTCGGGGTTTTTGGGGGGTTTTTGGAGGGTTTTTGGGGTTTTTTGGGTGGTTTTGGGGCGTTTTTGGGGGGGGGTTTGGGGGGTCCTGCTGGTTTTTGGGGTTTTTGGGGTTTTTGGGGATTTCGGGGGTTTTGGGCTATTTTGGGGGGGCTTTGGGGGGTCCTGGTGGTTTTGGGGGTTTTGGGGGATTTTGGGGTTTTTGGAGGGTTTTTGTGAGGGTTTTGGGGGTTTTTGGGGGGGTTTGGGGAGTTTTGGAGGGGTTTTGGGGATTTCAGGGTTTTTGGGGTCTTCGGAGGGATTTTTGGGTGGTTTTTGGGGGGTTTTTTGGGGTTTTTTGGGGTCACTCACCCTCCTCCGCCAGCCCCAGGGGGACCCAGAGCCAGAGGAGCCAAAGCGCCATGGCGGGGGGGGTCCCCAAAATCCGGGGAGGGTCCCCAAAATCCGGGGGGGGGTCCCCAAAATCCGGGGGGGGTCCCAAAATCCGGGGGGGTCCCAAAATCCGGGGGGGTCCCAAAATCCGGGGGGGTCCCAAAAAATCCGGGGGGGTCCCCAAAATCCGGGGGGGGGTCCCAAAATCCGGGGGGGGTCCCAAAATCCGGGGGGGGTCCCAAAAACTCCGGGGGGGTCCCAAAAAATCCGGGGGGTCCCAAAATCTCCTGGGGGGGTCCCCAAAATCTCTTCGGAGGGTCCCAAAAAATCCGGGGGGGGTCCCAAAATCTTCTTGGGGGGTCCCAAAATCTCCTCGGGGGGTCCCAAAAAATCCGGGGGGGTCCCAAAATCTCTTCAGGGGGTCCCAAAATCTTCTTGGAGGGTCCCAAAATCTCCTCGGGGGGTCCCAAAAAATCCGGGGGGGTCCCAAAATCTCCTCGGGGGGTCCCAAAATTTCTTCGGAGGGTCCCAAAATCTCTTCGGGGGGTCCCAAAATCTCCTCGGGGGGTCCCAAAATCTCCTCGGGGGGTCCCGGCGGCGCTTTTGGGGCGATTCGGGCGCGTTTTGGGGGTCGTGGGCCCCCCACAGGAAAGGGGGGGAGGGGCGGAAGGGCCCCCGCCCCCCCCCACAGGAAAAGCGGCTTTGTGCCACTTCCCGAGGGACTGGGAGGGACTGGGACAAACTGGGAGGGACTGGGACGGACTGGGAGGGACTGGGAGGGGGCTGGGGGGGCTTTAAATGGGACTGGGGGGGACTGGGGGGGACTGGGAGGGACTGGGGGGACTGGGGGGGACTGGGGGGGACTGGGAGGGACTGGGGGGGGGACTGGGAGGGACTGGGATGGACTGGGGGGACCTAAAATGGGACTGGGGGGACTGGGAGGGAACTGGTGGGGACTGGGAGGGCCTAAAATGGGACTGGGGGGGACTGGGACAAACTGGGAGGGGCTGGGGGGGACTGGGACAGACTGGGATAAACTGGGAGGGACTGGGGGGGCTAAAATGGGACTGGGGGGGGGACTGGGATAAACTGGGAGGGACTGGGGGGGCACTGGGAGGGACTGGGAGCAACTGGGAGGGCTGAAAATGGAACTGGGGGGGCTGAAAATGGGACTGGGGGGGACTGGGGGGGACTGGGACAGACTGGGAGGGACTGGGAGGGACTGGGGGGGACTGGGGGGGACTGGGAGGGACTAAAATGGGACTGGGGGGGACTGGGACAAACTGGGAGGGAACTGGGGGGGCCTAAAATGGGACTGGGGGGGACTGGGAGGGACTGGGACAAACTGGGAGGGACTGGGAGGGACTGGGGGGGGACTGGGAGGGACTGGGGGGGCCTAAAATGGAACTGGGGGGGACTGGGACAAACTGGGAGGAGGAAGAGAGACACTGGGAGGGACTGAAAATGGAACTGGGAGGGACTGGGGGGGACTGGGAGGGACTGGGACAAACTGGAGGGGACTGGGAGGGGACTGGGGGGGCTTTAAATGGGACTGGGAGGGACTATGAGGGAACTGGGACAAACTGGGAGGGACTGGGACAAACTGGGAGGGACTGGGGGGGACTGGGGGGGCTTTAAATGGGACTGGGGGGGCTGAAAATGGGACTGGGACAAACTGGGATAAACTGGGAGGGACTGGGGGGGCTTTAAATGGGACTGGGGGGTCTAAAATGGGACTGGGAGGGACTGGGACAAACTGGGAGGGACTGGGAGGGGACCAGGGACCAGTACAGACCAGTACAGACCAGTTCGGGCCTGTACAGACCAGTGCAAACCAGTAAAGGACCAGTACAAACCAGTAGCAGAGCAGCCCAAGTGTGCTGGGAGCACTGGGAGGGACTGGGAGGGCACTGGGAGGGCACTGGGGCTATACTGGGCTGTACTGGGAGCACTGGGAGGGCACTGGGAGCACTGGGAGGGCACTGGGGCTATACTGGGGCTATACTGGGAGCACTGGGAGGGCACTGGGAGGGCACTGGGGCTATACTGGGCTGTACTGGGAGCACTGGGAGGGCACTGGGAGCACTGGGAGGGCACTGGGGCTATACTGGGGCTATACTGGGAGCACTGGGAGGGCACTGGGAGGGCACTGGGAGGGACTGGGAGCACTGGGAGGGCACTGGGGCTATACTGGGTTATACTGGGAACACTGGGAGGGCACTGGGGCTATACTGGTCTGTACTGGGAGCACTGGGAGGGCACTGGGAGGGCACTGGGATAGCATTGAGGCTATACTGGGAGCACTGGGGCTATACTGGGCTGTACTGGGAGCACTGGGAAGGCACTGGGAGGGCACTGGGGCTATACTGGGCTATACTGGGAGCACTGGGAGGGCACTGGGACAGCATTTGGGCTATACTGGGCTGTACTGGGAGCACTGGGGCCATACTGGGCTGTACTGGGAGCACTGGGAGGGCACTGGGATGGCACTGGGAGGGCACTGGGGCTGTACTGGGCTATACTGGGAGCACTGGGAGGGCACTGGGGCTATACTGGGAGCACTGGGAGGGCACTGGGAGGGCACTGGGAGCACTGGGAGGGCATTGAGGCTATACTGGGAGCACTGGGGCTGTACTGGTCTGTACTGGGAGCACTGGGAGGGCACTGGGAGGGCACTGGGAGGGCACTGGGGCTGTACTGGGCTATACTGGGAGCACTGGGATGGCACTGGGATAGCATTGGGGCTATACTGGTCTGTACTGGGAGCACTGGGAGGGCACTGGGAAGGCACTGGGGCTATACTGGGTTATACTGGGTTATACTGGGAGCACTGGGAGGGCACTTGGAGGGCACTGGGATAGCACTGAGGCTATACTGGGAGCACTGGGGCTGTACTGGTCTGTACTGGGAGCACTGGGAGGGCACTGGGAGGGCACTGGGGCTATACTGGGCTATACTGGGAGCACTGGGAGGGCACTGGGAGGGACTGGGAGCACTGGGAGGGCACTGGGGCTGTACTGGGCTGTACTGGTCTGTACTGGGAGCACTGGGAGCGCTGTGGGGAGTGTGGGCAGCCCAGCCAAGATGGCGCCTCCCTCCTCGGCCTCACCCGCCGCTTCTGCGCCTGCGCGGATCCCGCCGGGACAAAATGGCGGCGGCGGCGCCGTCACGTGACGCGCGAAGAGAAGATGGCGGCGCCGCGGGGGGGCGGGGCTGGGGGAAGAGAAGGGGGCGTGGCCTCCCGCGCGCGCGGGAGCGGCGGCAGCCAATGGGAGCGCGGCGGCGGCGCGGCCGCGCATGCGCAGTGCGGGTTTCCCCCTCGCCGCCGCCATTGCCGGGAGCGCGGCCCGCACCGGCCCCGCCGCCGCCTCGGAGCGCCCCGAGCGGCCCCAGCGCCGCCGCCGCCGCTTCCGCCGCCGGTGCTGCGGGTGAGGAGCCCCCGGTGGGCTCGGGGGAGGCGGGCGGGGGGCGCGGATCGGCGCTGCCGCCGCTTCTCGGCGCTTTTTTTTTTCCCCCCCCCCTTTCCTTTCCCCGTCCCTCCTCCTTCCCCCGGCGGCGCCATTTCGGTGACGTCACTTCCGGGCCGGAAGCGAGCGGGGAGCGGCGCGCGCGGGGCCCTCGCGGGCAGGTCCGGCCTGGGGGGGCGTTTGTGACGTCACGGAGGGGGCGCGTGACGTCACGGAGGGGGTGGGTGACGTCACGGGGCACGAGGGTGAGGGGGGGTCCCGGTTTGGGGGGGGGGAGGGGGTCCCGGGGGTCTGGGGGAGGCCGCAAAGCATCACGGGAGGGGGTCCGGGGGGCGCGGGGGGTGATGGGAACGGGAATTGGGGGGGGCGGGGGGGTCCTGGGGGTCACTGGGGGGGTCAGGGGTCACTCTGGGGGTCATTTTGTGGGTCTGGGGTCACTCTGGGGGTCACTCTGAGGGGGTCAGGGGTCACTTTGGGGGTCTTTTTGTGGGTCTGGGGGTCATTGGGGGTGTCCTGGAGGTCACTGGGGGGGTCTGGGGTCACTCTGGGGGTCACTTTGGGGGTCAGGGGTGTCCTGGGGGCCACTCTGGGGGTCTGGTGGTCACTCTGGGGGTCCCTTTGTGGGTCTGGGGTCACTCTGGGGGTCACTCAGGGGGTCACTCTGGTGGTCATTTTGTGGGTCAGGGGTCACTCTGGGGGTCCTGGGGGGGCAGGGGTCACTCTGGGGGTCACTGGGGGTGTTCTGGGGGTCATTTTGTGGGTCTGGGGGTCCCTTGGTGGGTCTGGGGTCACTCTGGGGGTCACTCTGTGGGTCTGGGGTCACTCTGGGGGTCACTCTGGGGGTCACTGGGGGGGTCAGGGGTCACTTTCGGAGTCCCTTGGTGGGTCAGGGGTCACTCTGTGGGTCAGGGGTCACTCTGTGGGTCAGGGGTCACTCCGGGGGTCCCTTTATGTGACTCGGTGCCCCTGCAGTGACCTCGGTGATCCCGTGACCCTTGGCTGACCCTTGGCTGACCCCAGTGACCCCCGGTGACCCTTGGCTGACCCTTGGCTGACCCGGGATGGGCGACAGCGACGATGAGTACGACCGGCGGCGACGGGACAAATTCCGGCGGGAGCGGAGCGACTACGAACGGACCCGGGACAGGGAGGAGAGACGGCGGGAGGAGTGGAGTGACCGGTGAGTGACCACTGAGTGACCAATGAGTGACCCTGAGTGACCCCTGAGTGACCAATGAGTGACCCGAGTGACCCTGAGTGACCCTGAGTGACCAATGAGTGACCCCTGAGTGACCCGAGTGACACTGAGTGACCAATGAGTGACCCTGAGTGACCCGAGTGACACTGAGTGATCTGAGTGACCAATGAGTGACCCGAGTGACCCTGAGTGACCACTGAGTGACCAATGAGTGACCCTGAGTGACCAATGAGTGACCCTGAGTGACCAATGAGTGACCACTGAGTGACCACTGAGTGATCAGAGTGACCCTGAGTGACCCTGAGTGACTAATGAGTGACCCTGAGTGACCCCGAGTGACCCCAGAGTGACCCTGAGTGACCCCTGAGTGACCACTGACCCCTGAGTGACCACAGTGACCGGTCAGTGACCAATGAGTAACCACTGAGTGACCAATGAGTGACCCCTGAGTGACCCTGAGTGACCCTGAGTGACCAGTGAGGGACTGGGAGAACTGGGAGGGGTCCCTGGCTCCCAGTTCCTCCCAGTTAATCCCAGTTCAGGCCCTTGGGGGGGTTCCCAGTTGCTCCCAGTCCCTCCCAGTGTCTCCCAGTCTGTCCCAGTCCCTCCCAGTGCAGCCCCTGGGGGTTCCCAGTCTGTCCCAGTGTCTCCCAGTGTCTCCCAGTTTGGCCCCAGTCCGTCCCAGTTTGGCCCCGGGGGTTCCCAGTCCGTCCCAGTTTGGCCCAGTGTCTCTCAGTGTCTCCCAGTTTGGTCCCAGTCCCTCCCAGTGTCTCCCAGTTTGGTCCCAGTGTCTCCCAGTCCCTCCCAGTGTCTCCCAGTTTGGCCCCGGGGGTTCCCAGTCCGTCCCAGTGCAGCCCTGGGGGGTTCCCAGTCTGTCCCAGTCCCTCCCAGTTCAGCCCCGGGGGTTCCCAGTCCGTCCCAGTTCAGCCCCGGGGGTTCCCAGTCCCTCCCAGTGCAGCCCTGGGGGGTTCCCAGTCCGTCCCAGTTCAGCCCCGGGGGTTCCCAGTCCATCCCAGTCGGTCCCAGTTCAGCCCCGGGGGGTTCCCAGTCCGTCCCAGTGTCCCCAGTTTGGTCCCAGTTTGGCCCCGGGGGTTCCCAGTCCCTCCCAGTCCGTCCCAGTTTGGCCCCGGGGGTTCCCAGTCCGTCCCAGTGCACCCGCGGGGGTTCCCAGTCCGTCCCAGTTTGGCCCCGGGGGGTTCCCAGTCCCTCCCAGTCCCTCGCAGTTGCTCCCAGTCCGTCCCAGTTTGGCCCCGGGGGTTCCCAGTTTGGCCCCGGGGGGTTCCCAGACCATCCCAGTCCCTCCCAGTTTGGCCCGGGGGGTTCCCAGTCCGTCCCAGTGTCTCCCAGTTTGGTCCCAGTGTCTCCCAGTTTGGCCCCGGGGGTTCCCAGTCCCTCCCAGTTTGGCCCCGGGGGTTCCCAGTCCCTCCCAGTTTGGCCCCGGGGGTTCCCAGTCTGTCCCAGTCCCTCCCAGTGTCTCCCAGTTTGGTCCCAGTGTGTCCCAGTGTCTCCCAGTTTGGTCCCAGTTTGGCCCCGGGGGTTCCCAGTCCGTCCCAGTCCGTCCCAGTGTCTCCCAGTTTGGTCCCAGTGTCTTCCAGTTTGTTCCCAATCCCTCCCAGTGTCTCCCAATCCCTCCCAGTGTCTCCCAGTCCCTCCCAGTTTGGCCCCGGGGGTTCCCAGTCCCTCCCAGTGTCCCCCAGTTTGGTCCCAATCCCTCCCAGTTGTGTCCCAGTGTCTCCCAGTCCCTCCCAGTTTGGCCCCGGGGGTTCCCAGTCCCTCCCAGTTCAGCCCTGGGGGGTTCCCAGTCCCTCCCAGTCCGTCCCAGTTTGGCCCCGGGGGTTCCCAGTCCATCCCAGTTTGGCCCCGGGGGTTCCCAGTGTCTCCCAGTTTGCTCCCAGTCCGTCCCAGTGCAGCCCGGGGGGTTCCCAGTCCCTCCCAGTTCACCCCCAGGGGTTCCCAGTCCGTCCCAGTATCCCCAGTACGCGCTGTCACAGGGACTGGGAGCGGGGCCGGGAGCGGCGCAGTCGGGACTATCGGGACTACGAGCGGAGCCGGCGGGAGCGATTCTCCCCACCCCGGCACGAGCTGAGCCCGCCCCAGAAACGGCTGAGACGGGACTGGTGAGTGCCCCAAAATCCCTGAAATTCACCCCAAAACAGCCCCAAACACAGCCCCAAACCCGCCCCAAAAACGGCTGAGACGGGACTGGTGAGTGCCCCAAAACCGCCCAAATTCACCCCAAAACAGCCCCAGACACAGCCCCAAACCCGCCCCACAAACGGCTCCAATGGGGCTGGTGAGTGCCCCAAAATCCCTGAAATTCACCCCAAAACAGCCCCAAACACAGCCCCAAACCCGCCCCACAAACGGCTCCAATGGGGCTGGTGAGTGCCCCAAAATCCCTGAAATTCACCCCAAAACAGCCCCAAACACAGCCCCAAACCCGCCCCAGAAACGGCTGAGACGGGACTGGTGAGTGCCCCAAAATCCCCCAAATTCACCCCAAAACAGCCCCAAACACAGCCCCAAACCCGCCCCACAAACGGCTCCAATGGGGCTGGTGAGTGCCCCAAAATCCCTGAAATTCACCCCAAAACAGCCCCAAACACAGCCCCAAACCCGCCCCACAAACGGCTCCAATGGGGCTGGTGAGTGCCCCAAAACCGCCCAAATTCACCCCAAAACAGCCCCAGACACAGCCCCAAACCCGCCCCAAAAACGGCTGAGACGGGACTGGTGAGTGCCCCAAAACTGCCCAAATTCACCCCAAAACAGCCCCAAACACAGCCCCAAACCCGCCCCACAAACGGCTCCAATGGGGCTGGTGAGTGCCCCAAAATCCCTGAAATTCACCCCAAAACAGCCCCAAACACAGCCCCAAACCCGCCCCACAAACGGCTCCAATGGGGCTGGTGAGTGCCCCAAAATCGCCCAAATTCACCCCAAAACAGCCCCAGACACAGCCCCAAACCCGCCCCAAAAACGGCTGAGACGGGACTGGTGAGTGCCCCAAAACTGCCCAAATTCACCCCAAAACAGCCCCAAACACAGCCCCAAACCCGCCCCACAAACGGCTCCAATGGGGCTGGTGAGTGCCCCAAAATCCCTGAAATTCACCCCAAAACAGCCCCAAACACAGCCCCAAACCCGCCCCACAAACGGCTCCAATGGGGCTGGTGAGTGCCCCAAAATCGCCCAAATTCACCCCAAAACAGCCCCAGACACAGCCCCAAACCCGCCCCAAAAACGGCTGAGACGGGACTGGTGAGTGCCCCAAAACTGCCCAAATTCACCCCAAAACAGCCCCAAACACAGCCCCAAACCTGCCCCACAAACGGCTCCAATGGGGCTGGTGAGTGCCCCAAAATCCCTGAAATTCACCCCAAAACAGCCCCAAACACAGCCCCAAACCCGCCCCACAAACGGCTCCAATGGGGCTGGTGAGTGCCCCAAAATCCCCCAAATTCACCCCAAAACAGCCCCAAACACAGCCCCAAACCCGCCCCACAAACGGCTGAGACGGGACTGGTGAGTGCCCCAAAATCCCTGAAATTCACCCCAAAACAGCCCCAAACCCGCCCCACAAACGGCTCCAATGGGGCTGGTGAGTGCCCCAAAATCCCCCAAATTCACCCCAAAACAGCCCCAAACACAGCCCCAAACCCGCCCCACAAACGGCTCCAATGGGGCTGGTGAGTGCCCCAAAATCCCTGAAATTCACCCCAAAACAGCCCCAAACACAGCCCCAAACCCGCCCCACAAACGGCTCCCATGGGGCTGGTGAGTGCCCCAAAATCCCTGAAATTCACCCCAAAACAGCCCCAAACACAGCCCCAAACCCGCCCCACAAACGGCTCCAATGGGGCTGGTGAGTGCCCCAAAATCCCTGAAATTCACCCCAAAACAGCCCCAGACACAGCCCCAAACCCGCCCCACAAACGGCTCCAATGGAGCTGGTGAGTGCCCCAAAATCCCCCAAATTCACCCCAAAACAGCCCCAAACACAGCCCCAAACCCGCCCCAAAAACGGCTGAGACGGGACTGGTGAGTGCCCCAAAATCCCTGAAATTCACCCCAAAACAGCCCCAGACACAGCCCCAAACCCGCCCCACAAACGGCTGAGACGGGACTGGTGAGTGCCCCAAAATCCCCCAAATTCACCCCAAAACAGCCCCAAACACAGCCCCAAACCCGCCCCACAAACGGCTCCGGAGGGACTGGTGAGTGCCCCAAAATCCCTGAAATTCACCCCAAAACAGCCCCAAACACAGCCCCAAACCCGCCCCCACAAACGGCTCCAATGGGGCTGGTGAGTGCCCCAAAACCGCCCAAATTCACCCCAAAACAGCCCCAAACACAGCCCCAAACCCGCCCCACAAACGGCTCCAATGGGGCTGGTGAGTGCCCCAAAATCCCTGAAATTCACCCCAAAACAGCCCCAAACACAGCCCCAAACCCGCCCCACAAACGGCTCCAATGGGGCTGGTGAGTGCCCCAAAACCGCCCAAATTCACCCCAAAACAGCCCCAAACACAGCCCCAAACCCGCCCCACAAACGGCTCCAATGGGGCTGGTGAGTGCCCCAAAATCCCCCAAATTCACCCCAAAACAGCCCCAAACACAGCCCCAAACCCGCCCCAAAAACGGCTGAGACGGGACTGGTGAGTGCCCCAAAATCCCTGAAATTCACCCCAAAACAGCCCCAAACACAGCCCCAAACCCGCCCCACAAACGGCTCCAATGGGGCTGGTGAGTGCCCCAAAATCCCTGAAATTCACCCCAAAACAGCCCCAAACACAGCCCCAAACCCGCCCCACAAACGGCTCCAATGGGGCTGGTGAGTGCCCCAAAATCCCCCAAATTCACCCCAAAACAGCCCCAAACACAGCCCCAAACCCGCCCCACAAACGGCTCCAATGGGGCTGGTGAGTGCCCCAAAATCCCCCAAATTCACCCCAAAACAGCCCCAAACACAGCCCCAAACCCGCCCCAAACACGGCTCCAATGGGGCTGGTGAGTGCCCCAAAATCCCCCAAATTCACCCCAAAACAGCCCCAGACACAGCCCCAAACCCGCCCCACAAACGGCTCCGGAGGGACTGGTGAGTGCCCCAAAATCCCTGAAATTCACCCCAAAACAGCCCCAAACACAGCCCCAAACCCGCCCCACAAACGGCTCCAATGGGGCTGGTGAGTGCCCCAAAATCCCCGAAATTCACCCCAAAACTGCCCCAAACACAGCCCCAAACCCGCCCCAGAAACGGCTCCAATGGGACTGGTGAGTGCCCCAAAATCCCCCAAATTCACCCCAAAACAGCCCCAAACACAGCCCCAAACCCGCCCCACAAACGGCTGAGACGGGACTGGTGAGTGCCCCAAAATCCCTGAAATTCACCCCAAAACAGCCCCAAACACAGCCCCAAACCCGCCCCACAAACGGCTCCAATGGGGCTGGTGAGTGCCCCAAAATCCCCGAAATTCACCCCAAAACAGCCCCAAACACAGCCCCAAACCCGCCCCACAAACGGCTCCAATGGGGCTGGTGAGTGCCCCCAAATCCCCCAAATTCACCCCAAAACAGCCCCAAACACAGCCCCAAACCCGCCCCACAAACGGCTCCAATGGGGCTGGTGAGTGCCCCAAAATCCCTGAAATTCACCCCAAAACAGCCCCAAAACAGCCCCAAACCCGCCCCACAAACGGCTCCAATGGGGCTGGTGAGTGCCCCAAAATCCCTGAAATTCACCCCAAAACAGCCCCAAACACAGCCCCAAACCCGCCCCACAAACGGCTCCAATGGAGCTGGTGAGTGCCCCAAAATCCCCGAAATTCACCCCAAAACAGCCCCAAACACAGCCCCAAACCCGCCCCACAAACGGCTGAGACGGGACTGGTGAGTGCCCCAAAATCCCCCAAATTCACCCCAAAATGCTCGAGCTGAGCCCGCCCCACAAACGGCTCCAATGGGACAGGTGAGTGCCCCAAAATCCCTGAAATTCACCCCAAAACAGCCCCAAACACAGCCCCAAACCCGCCCCACAAACGGCTGAGACGGGACTGGTGAGTGCCCCAAAATCCCTGAAATTCACCCCAAAACAGCCCAAACACAGCCCCAAACCCGCCCCACAAACGGCTCCAATGGGGCTGGTGAGTGCCCCAAAATCCCTGAAATTCACCCCAAAACAGCCCCAAACACAGCCCCAAACCCGCCCCACAAACGGCTGAGACGGGACTGGTGAGTGCCCCAAAATCCCTGAAATTCACCCCAAAACAGCCCCAAACACAGCCCCAAACCCGCCCCACAAACGGCTCCAATGGGGCTGGTGAGTGCCCCAAAATCCCCCAAATTCACCCCAAAACAGCCCAAACACAGCCCCAAACCCGCCCCACAAACGGCCCCAATGGGGCTGGTGAGTGCCCCAAAATCCCTGAAATTCACCCCAAAACAGCCCCAAACACAGCCCCAAACCCGCCCCACAAACGGCTCCAATGGGGCTGGTGAGTGCCCCAAAATCCCCCAAATTCACCCCAAAACAGCCCCAAACACAGCCCCAAACCCGCCCCACAAACGGCTCCAATGGGGCTGGTGAGTGCCCCAAAATCCCTGAAATTCACCCCAAAACAGCCCCAAACACAGCCCCAAACCCGCCCCACAAACGGCTCCAATGGGGCTGGTGAGTGCCCCAAAACCGCCCAAATTCACCCCAAAATAGAGCCCAAAATTATCCAAAATGTTGCCCCAAAAATGGCTCAGACAGGACCGGTGGGTGACCCAAAATCACCGAAATTTACCCCAAAATGCTCGAGCTGAGCCCGCCCCAAAAACGGCTCAGACAGGACCGGTGAGTGCCCCAAAATCGCCCAAATTCACCCCAAAATTTTCCCAAAATTCCCCAAATTCACCCCAAAATCCGTCTGGTTTTTTCTCAGAGGTGAACACGGAGTGACCTCTGACCCCTGAGTGACCCTGACTGACCCCCACTGACCCTGAGTGACCAGTGTCCACTCTCCGGCCGCAGGGATGACCACGCTGACCCTGACTGACCCCACTGACCCCACTGACCCCTGAGTGACCCTGAGTGACCCTGACTGACCCCTGAGTGACCACTGTCCACTCTGGCCGCAGGGATGACCACGCTGACCCTGACTGACCCTGACTGACCCTGACTGACCCTGACTGACCCCTGAGTGACCAGTGTCCACTCTCTGGCCGCAGGGATGACCACGCTGACCCCTGACTGACCCTGACTGACCCCACTGACCCCCACTGACCCCCACTGACCCTGACTGACCCTGACTGACCCCTGACTGACCCTGACTGACCCTGACTGACCCCCACTGACCCCTGAGTGACCCCACTGACCCCCACTGACCCTGACTGACCCCTGAGTGACCACTGTCCACTCTCCGGCCGCAGGGATGACCACGCTGACCCTGACTGACCCCACTGACCCCACTGACCCCTGAGTGACCAGTGTCCACTCTGGCCGCAGGGATGACCACGCTGACCCTGACTGACCCCTGACTGACCTGACTGACCCCTGGAGTGACCACTGTCCACTCTGGCCGCAGGGATGACCACGCTGACCCTGACTGACCCTGACTGACCCTGAGTGACCCCCACTGACCACTGTCCACTCTGGCCGCAGGGATGACCACGCTGACCCTGACTGACCCCACTGACCCCTGACTGACCCCACTGACCCCCACTGACCCCTGAGTGACCACTGTCCACTCTGGCCGCAGGGATGACCACGCTGACCCGTACCACGCCGGTTACGAGCTGCCCTACGGGGGTGGGGGAGGGGCCGGCCCCACCTACGGCCCCCCCCAGGCGCCGTGGGGCCCCCACGAGGTGCAGCACCAACTGCTGCAGCACCAGCTGCTGCCCATCCAGGCCAGGTGAGCCAAAATCCCCCGAATTCACCCCAAAAAACTGACCCGGGATCCCCCAAAACCCCCCCGGAAATCCTGAACCGCTCTGAGAAATCCCGATCCCAAACGGCCCCAAAATCACCCCAAAACCGCCCCCAAACCCTGCGGGTGCAGCACCAGCTGCTGCCCATCCAGGCCAGGTGAGCCAAAATCCCCCGAATTCACCCCAAAAAATGGCCCGAACTGCCCCAAAAAACCCACAGAAATCCCGGTCCCAAACGGCCCCAAAATCACCCCAAAATCACCCCCAAACCCTGCGGGTGCAGCACCAACTGCTGCAGCACCAGCTGCTGCCCATCCAGGCCAGGTGAGCCAAAATCCCCCGAATTCACCCCAAAAAATGGCCCCAACCGCCCCGAAAAACCCCCGGAAATCCCGGTCCCAAACGGCCCCAAAATCACCCCAAACGGCCCCAAAATCACCCCAAAATCACCCAAAACTGCCCAAAAACCTCCCCAAAACCGCCCCCAAACCCTGCGGGTGCAGCACCAGCTGCTGCCCATCCAGGCCAGGTGAGCCAAAATCCCCCAAATTCACCCCAAAAAATGGCCCGAACCGCCCCGAAAATCCCCCGGAAATCCCGGCCCCAAACGGCCCCAAAATCACCCAAAACTGCCCAAAAACCTCCCCAAAACCGCCCCCAAACCCTGCGGGTGCAGCACCAGCTGCTGCCCATCCAGGCCAGGTGAGCCAAAATCCCCCGAATTCACCCCAAAAAATGGCCCGAACCCCCCCGAAAATCCCCCGGAAATCCTGAACCTCTCTGAGAAATCCCGATCCCAAACGGCCCCAAAACCGCCCCAAAATCACCCCAAAACCGCCCCAAAATCACCCCAAAACCGCCCCAAAAATGATGCAAACCACCCCCAAAAATCCTGATCCCAAACAGCCCCAAAATCCCCAGAATTCACCCCAAAAAATGGCCCAAACCGCCCCGAAAAACCCCCGGAAATCCCGGTCCCAAACGGCCCCAAAATCACCCCAAAATCACCCCAAAATCACCCCAAACCCTGCGGGTGCAGCACCAGCTGCTGCCCATCCAGGCCAGGTGAGCCAAAATCCCCCGAATTCACCCCAAAAAATGGCCCGAACCGCCCCGAAAATCCCCCGGAAATCCCGGTCCCAAACGGCCCCAAAATCACCCAAAAAACACCCCAAACGGCCCCAAAATCACCCCAAAACCGCCCCAAACCCTGCGGCTGCAGCACCAGCTGCTGCCCATCCAGGCCAGGTGAGCCAAAATCCCCAGAATTCACCCCAAAAAACTGACCCGGGATCCCCAAAACCCCCCCGGAAATCCTGAACCGCTCTGAGAAATCCCGATCCCAAACGGCCCCAAAATCACCCCAAAATCTCCCCCAAACCCTGCGGGTGCAGCACCAGCTGCTGCCCATCCAGGCCAGGTGAGCCAAAATCCCCCGAATTCACCCCAAAAAACGGCCCGAACCGCCCCGAAAAACCCCCAGAAAAACGGCCCCAAAATCACCCAAAAACCACCCCAAAATCACCCCAAATCACCCCAAAATCACCCCAAACGGCCCCAAAATCACCCCAAAATCACCCCAAAATCACCCTAAAAACCGCCCCAAAAAGTGACACAAACCACCCCAAAAATTCGGAACCCAAATGGCCCCAAAATCCCCCAAATTCACCCCAAAAAATGGCCCAAACCCCCCCGCAAAACCCCCGGAAATCCCGATCCCAAACGGCCCCAAAATCACCCAAAATCACCCCAAAATCACCCCAAACCGCCCCAAAATCACCCCAAAACCACCCCCAAACCCTGCGGGTGCAGCACCAGCTGCTGCCCATCCAGGCCAGGTGAGCCAAAATCCCCCGAATTCACCCCAAAAAATGGCCCGAACCGCCCCGAAAAACCCCCGGAAATCCCGGTCCCAAACGGCCCCAAAATCACCCCAAAATCGCCCCAAAATCGCCCCAAAAACAGCCCCAAAAAATGACACAAACCACCCCCAAAAATCCTGATCCCAAACGGCCCCAAAATACCCCAAATTCACCCCAAAAAATGGCCCAAATACCCCCAAAAAACCCCTGAAAATCCGGAACCCAAACAGCCCCAAAATCCCCCAAATTCACCCCAAAAAATGATCCAAACCCCCGATATTGATCCCAAACCCCCCAATATCGATCCCAAACCCCCAATATTGATCCCTAACTCCCAATATCAATCCCAAACCCACCAATATTGATCCCAAACCCCCAATATCGATCCCAAACCCCTGATATCGATCCCAAACCCCCAATATTGATCCCAAACCCCCGATATCCATCCCAAACCCCCTAATATTGATCCTAAATCCCCCGATATCGATTCCAAACACCCCAAACCCTGCAATATTGATCCCAAACCCACCAATATTGATCCCAAACACCCCAAACCCTGCGATATCGATCCCAAACCCCCCGATATCGATCCCAAACACCCTAAACCCTGCAGTATCGATCCCAAACCCCCTGATATTGATCCCAAATCCCCTGATATTGATCCCAAACCCCCGATATCGATCCCAAACACCCTAAACCCTGCAGTATCGATCCCAAACCCCCGATATTGATCCTAAACCCCCCGATATCAATCTGAAACCCCCCGATATTGGTACCAAACACCCCAAACCCTGTGATATCAATCCCAAACCCCCCAATATCGATCCCAAACTCCCCAATATTGATCCTAATACCCCCAATATCGATCCCAAACCCTGTGATATCGATCCCAAACCCCCAAACTCCGCGATATCGATCCCGAACCCCCAATATCGATCCCAAACCTTGCGATATCGATCCCGAACCCTGTGATATTGATCTGAAACCCAACAATATCGATCCCAAACACCCCAAACCTTGCGATATCGATCCGAAACCCCCCAATATCGATCCCAAACACCTCAAACCCTGTGATATCAATACCAAACCCCCGATATTGATCCGAAACCCCCCAATATCGATCCCAAACTCCCTGATATTGATCCTAAACCCCCCGATATAAATCCGAAACCCCCCAATATCAATCCCAAATCCCCCGATATCGATCCCAAACCCTTCGATATCGATCCCAAACCCCCCGATGTCGATCCCAAACACCCCAAACCTTTTGATATCGATCCCAAACTCCCCGATATTGATCCAAAACCCCCCAATATCGATCTGAAACCCCCCGATACCGATCCCAAATACCTCAAACTCCGCAATATCGATCCCAAACCCCCAATATCGATCCCAAACCTTTTGATATCGCTTCCGAACCCCCGATATTGATCGGGTATGGCCCCAGGCTGGGCAGCATCGCGGAGGTGGAGCTGGGCGCGGCGCCGCCGGTGCTGAAGAGCTTCAAGGAGTTCCTGCTGTCGCTGGACGACGCCGTGGACGAGACGGAGGCGGTCAAGCGCTACAACGACTACAAGCTGGACTTCCGGCGGCAGCAGCTGCAGGACTTCTTCCTGGCCCACAAGGACGAGGAGTGGTACGGGCACGGCGGAAATCGGGGGGTTTCTGGGAAAAAATGGGGGTTTTGGTTAAAAAATGGGGGTTTTGGGAAAAAAAATGGGGTTTTTGGGAAGAGAAATGAGGGTTTTGGGAAGAAAAATGGGGGTATTGGGAAGAAAAACGGGGTTTCTGGGAAAAAAAAATGGGGTTTTGGGAAGAAAAATGGTTTTGGTAAAAAGAATGGGGGTTTTGGTAAGAAAAATGGGTGTTTTCGAAAGAAAAAATTGGGGTTTTTGTAAAAATGTGGGGCTTTTGGTAAGAAAAAATGGGGTTTTGGTAAGAAAAAAGGGGGTTTTTGGTAAGAAAAATGGGGGTTTTGGGAAGATAAAGGGGGGTTTGGTAAGAAAATGGGGGTTATGTAAGAAAAATGGGGGTTTTGTTAAGAAAATTGGGTTTTTAGTAAAAAAACAAGGGTTTTTGTAAAAAAAATGGGGTTTTTGGGAAAAAAAATGGGGTTTTTGTAAGAAAAATGGGGTTTTGGTAGGAAAAAATGGAGGTTTGGGAAGAAAATATGGGGTTTTGGTAAAGAAAAATGGGGTTTTGGGAAGAAAATATGGGGTTTTGGTAAGAAAAATGGGGTTTTGGTGAAAAAAAATGGGGTTTTTGGGAAGAAAAATGGGGTTTTGGGAAGAAAAATGGGGTTTTGGTGAAAAAAACAAGGGGTTTGGTAAAGAAAATGGGTGTTTTTGTTAAAAATGTGGGGTTTTGGTAAGAAAAAATGGGGTTTTTTGGAAGAAAAATGGGGGGTTTGGGAAAAAAAATGGGGGAAGAAAAATGGGGGTTTGGTAAGAAAAATGGGGGTTTTGGTAAAAAAAATGGCGGTTTTGGTAAGAAAAAATGGGGGTTTTCCAAAAGTTATGGGGTTTTTTAAGAAAAAAATGGAATGGGGGTTTTTCCTAGAAATGAGGGTGCTTTTATAAAAAAAGCGGTTTTTTTAAAAAAACAATGGGGTTTTTCCTAAAAAATGGGGGTGTTGGTAGAAAAAATGGGGGTGTTGATAGAAAAAATGTTGTTTTTTTAAAAAAACTGGGTTTTTCCCAAAAAATATGGGGGATTGGTGAGACAATGGTTTTTTTTTTTGTTTGTTTTTTAAATGGGAATTTTTCCCAAAAATAAGGGGGTGTGGTGAGAAAATGGGGTTCTTTTTTTAAAAATTGGTTGTTTTCCCCAAAAATATGGGGGTATTGGTGAAAAAATGGGGATTTTGGTAGAAAAAAATAGGGTTTTTTAAAAAAATGGGGCTTTTTCCCAAAAATAATGGGGGTGTTGGTGAGAAAATTGTCTCACACCCCCCAGGGCTGGATTTTGGGTGATTTTTGGGTGGATTTGGGATCTCTGCAGGTTTAACATTTCCATTGTCTCTCAGCCCCTCGGGGCTGATTTTTGGGATGGATTTGGGGTGGATTTTGGGATTTCTGCAGCTTTAACATTTCCATTGTCTCTCAGCCCCTCGGGGCTGGTTTTTGGGGTGGATTTGGGGTGGATTTGGGTATTTCTGCAGCTTTAACATTTCCATTGTCTCTCAGCCCATCGGGGCTGGTTTTTGGGGTGGATTTAGGTTGAATTTTGGGTGGATTTGGGGTGGATTTGGGGCTCTCTGCAGGTTTAACATTTCCATTGTCTCGCAGCCCCTCGGGGCTGATTTTTGGGGTGGATTTAGGTTGAATTTTGGGTGGATTTGGGGTGGATTTGGGATTTCTGCAGCTTTAACGTTTCCATTGTCTCTCAGCCCTCGGGGCTGGATTTTGGGGTGGATTTGGGGTGGATTTGGGTATTTCTGCAGGTTCAATGTTTCCATTGTCTCTCAGCCCCTCGGGGCTGGTTTTTGGGGTGGATTTGGGGTGGATTTTTGGGGTGGATTCTGCAGCTTTAACGTTTCCATTGTCTCTCAGCCCCTCGGGGCTGGATTTTGGGGGGGATTTGGGGTGAATTTTGGGTGGATTTTGGGGTGGATTTGGGGTGGATTTCGGGATTTCTGCAGGTTTAACATTTCCATTGTCTCTCAGCCCCTCGGGGCTGGTTTTTGGGGTGGGTTTGGGGTGGATTTTGCAGCTTTATCATTTCCATTGTCTCTCAGCCCCTCGGGGCTGGTTTTTGGGGTGGATTTGGGGTGGATTTTCGGGATTTCTGCAGGATGAATGTTTCCACTGTCTCTCAGCCCCTCGGGGCTGGATTTTGGGGTGGATTTGGGGTGGATTCTGCAGCTTTAACGCTTCCCTTCTCCCCCAGCGCCCTCGGGAGCCGCGGAGCCGCCGGGCGGGGCAGGCAGAGAGGGCGGGGCCGCGCACAATGCGGCGAGGTCACAGTGCAGGAAACAGTCAGGGACCTTTGTTGTTTTATTTTTGGGGGGGTTTGTGCCAAAAAAAGCAAAAAAAAAAAAGCGGCGGGGACGGGGTTTTAAAAACGCCGCAGTTGTCGGGGCCCGGCGGACGGCGACGCTCGAGGCGAGTGTAGGTATGACCCTGAACCCCCCACGGGACACCTGGAACACCTGGAAACGGCTCAGACCGCCCCAAAACTGTCCAGAAATCCCAGAACTGCCCCAAAACCACCCGTAAACCCCTCAGGGAGCCCAGAAACGGCTCAGAACTGCCCCAAAACTGTCCAGAAATCCCAAAAATGGCTCAGACCGCCCCAAAACCATCCAGAGAGCCCTCAGGGAGCCCAGAAACGGCTCAGAACTGCCCCAAAACCATCCAGAGAGCCCAGAACCGCCCCAAAACTGTCCAGAAATCCCAAAAATGGCTCAAAACCGCCCAAAAACCACCCATAAACCCCTCAGGGAGCCCAGAAATGGCTCAGAACCGCCCCAAAACCATCCAGAAATCCCAGAAACGCCTCAGAACAGCCCCAAAACCATCCAGAGAGCCTTTAAAAACCCCAGAAATGGCTCAGAACCGCCCCAAAACCATCCAGAAATCCCAAAACTGCCCCAAAACCACCCGTAAACCTCTCAGAGAGCCCAGAAACGGCTCAGACTGCCCCAAAACTGTCCAGAAATCCCAAAAACGGCTCAGAACTGGCCAAAACCACCCATAAACCCCTCAGGGAGCCCAGAAATGGCTCAAAACCGCCCCAAAACCATCCAGAAATCCCAGAAACGGCTCAGAACCGCCCCAAAACCATCCAGAGATCCCAGAACTGCCCCAAAACCATCCAGAAATCCCAGAAATGGCTCAAAACCGCCCCAAAGCCATCCATAAACCTGTCAGAGAGCTCAGAACCGCCCCAAAACCATCCAGAGAGCCCTTAAAAAATCCCAGAAATGGCTCAGAACTGCCCCAAAACCATCCAGAAATCCCAGAAACGGCTCAGAACTGCCCCAAAACCTTCCAGAGACCCCTTAAAAAACCCCAGAAACGGCTCAGACCGCCCCAAAACTATCCAGAGAGCCCAGAACCACCCCAAAACCATCCAGAAATCCCTTAAAAAACCCCAGAAATGGCTCAAAACTGCCACAAAACCATCCAGAAATCCCAGAAACGGCTCAGAACCGCCCCAAAACCATCCAGAGAGCCCAGAACTGCCCCAAAACCATCCAGAAATCCCAGAAATGGCTCAGAACCGCCCCAAAACCATCCAGAAATCCCTTAAAAAACCCCGGAAATGGCTCAGAACCGCCCCTAAACCATCCAGAAATCCCAGAAATGTCTCAAAACCAGCCCAAAACTATCCAGAAATCCCAGAACTGCCCTAAAACCGCCCAGAAACCCCAGAAATGGCTCAGAACTGGCCAAAACCATCCAAAAATCCCAGAAACGGCTCAGAACCACCCCTAAACCATCCAGAAATCCCAGAAATGGCTCAGAACCAGCCCAAAACCATCCAGAGACCCCTTAAAAAACCCCAGAAATGGCTCAGAACCACCCCAAAACCATCCAGAAATCCCTCAGAGAGCCCAAAAATGGCTCAGAACTGGCCCAAAACCATCCAAAGAGCCCAGAAATGGCTCAGAACCGCCCCAAAACCATCCAAAAACCCCTCAAGACGCGCCTCAAGGTGCTCCAGAACCCACCAAAAAACGCTCTTGAAAAAGCACCCCCCGAACCGCATCAAAAACGTGGCAAAACGCCCCAAAAGCGCTCTGAAAGGAGCCCCAAAATGGTGTAAAACACCCCAAAATGTACCTAAAAACAACCACAAACCCCTTTGCGGGTGTTTTCCACCCTCGCATTTAATACTTGTCTAAAAACGCCCCCAAAAATGGAAACATTGATCCTAAAAAAATCCAGAAAATGTCTCAAACCGCCCCAAAAGCGCTCTCAGAAGAGCCTCAAAACCAGCCCGGACCGCACCAAAAATCTGAAATTCCCACAAAATCCCACCTGAGACGTTCCCGAGAGCCAAAAAACTTCCCAAAGGTCCCAGCAAACATCCCAAAACACCCCTGAAACCAACATGGAACACCCCCAAAACGCACCAAAACCCCCCCAAAACACCCCAAAAACGCCTCAAAACGCCAGAAATGCCCCAAAACCCAAACCCCTCTGTTTTAGGGGACACTGGGGGGTCCTGTCTGTAAAAAATGGGGATTTTCCCATCCAAATTAGACCCAATTCGGGGTTCCCCCATAAATTTGGGGTGTCCCCCTCCCCAATTTACGGATTTTGGCATCCCCAGCTCCACTTGTGTCAGACCAAATCTTCCCTTTCCCTCCCAAAAACTCCAGTTAGGAGCTCCCCACTCCCAATCACAGAAAATTTGGGGCTCCCCGAATTCTCCAAAATTAAATTTGGGACCCCCCCCATCCCATTTCCCAAACTCTCCAAACTGGGCTCCCCCTCCCCATAAAAAAACCCAAAAAAACCCCCAAAAAACCCAAATTTGGGGCTCCCCTCCAGCACCACGGGGGTGTGGAGCGGCGCCCTGAGCCCAGCCCCGTTTTTCCTCTTTTTTCCCCCAAAACCCGCCCAGGTTCCGCTCCAAGTACCACCCGGACGAGGCGGGGAAGCGGCAGCAGGAGGCGCAGGCGGCGCTCAGGAACCGCCTGAGCGTCTTCCTCTACCTGTGGGAGCACGGCTGGTTCGACAACCTGCTGCTGGACATCGAGCGCGCGCCGCAGATCGTCAAAACGCTGGACGCAGGTACCCAAAACCATCAAAATACACCAAAATCCCCAAAATCCTGGATGCAGGTACCCCAAAATCCCCAAAATCCTGGATGCAGGTACCCCAAAACCATCAAAACCCCAAAAATCATCAAAAATCTGGAGGCATGTACCCCAAAAGTATCAAAATCCTGGACGCAGGTACCCCAAAATCATCAAAATACACCAAAATTATCAAAACGCTGGACGCAGGTACCCCAAAATCATCAAAACCCCAGAAAATCATCAAAACCCCCCAGAAAATCATCAAAACCCCCCAAAATCCCCAAAACGCTGGACGCAGGTACCCCAAATCATCAAAACCCCCCAAAATCATCAAAAATCTGGAGGCATGTACCCCAAAAGCATCAAAATCCTGGATGCAGGTACCCCAAAACCATCAAAATACACCAAAATTATCAAAACGCTGGACGCAGGTACCCCAAAATCATCAAAACCCCGAAAATCATCAAAAATCTGGAGGCATGTACCCCAAAACCATCAAAATCCTGGATGCAGGTACCCCAGAATCATCAAAACCCCAGAAAATCCTCAAAACCCCCCAAAATGCTGGATGCAGTTACCCCAAAATCATCAAAATACACCAAAATTATCAAAACGCTGGACGCAAGTACCCCAAACCATCAAAATACACCAAAATCCCCAAAATCCTGGATGCAGGTACCCAAAACCATCAAAACACCCCAAAAATCATCAAAACCCCCCAGAAAATCATCAAAACCCCCCAAAATGCTCAAAACGCTGGATGCAGGTACCCAGAATCATCAAAAACCCCCAAAATCCTGAAAACGCTGGACGCAGGTACCCCAGAACCATCAAAACACCCCAAAAATCATCAAAACCCCCAGAAAATCATCAAAACCCCCCAAAATCCCCAAAACGCTGGACGCAGGTACCCCAAAACCATCAAAACACCCCAAAAATCATCAAAACCCCCCAGAAAATCATCAAAACCCCCCGAAATCCCCAAAACGCTGGACGCAGGTACCCCAAAACCATCAAAACACCCCAAAAATCATCAAAACCCCCCTGAAAATCATCAAAACCCCCAAAATCCCCAAAACGCTGGACGCAGGTACCCCTAAATCATCAAAATCCCAGATGCAGGTACCCCAAAGCCATCAAAACCCCCAAAATCCCCAAAACGCTGGACGCAGGTACCCCAAAAGCATCAAAACCCCAGAAAATAATCAAAACCCCCCAGAAAATCATCAAACCCCCCAAAATCCCCAAAACGCTGGATGCAGGTACCCCAAATCATCAAAAGCCCCCAAAATCCTGAAAACGCTGGACGCAGGTATCCAAAATCATCAAAACCCCAGAAAATCATCAAAACCCCCAAAATCATCAAAAATCTGGAGGCATGTACCCCAAAATCCCCAAAATCCTGGAGGCAGGTACCCCAGAATCATCAAAACCCCGAAAATCATCAAAAATCTGGAGGCATGTACCCCAAAAGCATCAAAATCCTGGATGCAGGTACCCCCAAATCATCAAAATACACCAAAATTATCAAAACGCTGGACGCAGGTACCCCAAAATCATCAAAATACACCAAAATAATCAAAATGCTGGATGCAGGTACCCCAAAATCATCAAAATACACCAAAATTATCAAAACGCTGGACGCAGGTACCCCAAAACCATCAAAACCCCAAAAATCATCCAAAATCTGGAGGCATGTACCCCAAAAGCATCAAAATCCTGGATGCAGGCACCCCAGAATCATCAAAACCCCAGAAAATCATCAAAACCCCCCAAAATCCTCAAAACGCTGGACGCAGGTACCCCAAAATCATCAAAACACCCAAAATCATCGAAACGCTGGACGCAGGTTCCCAAAATCATCAAAACCCAGAATATCATCAAAACCCCCCAAAATCCTCAAAACGCTGGACGCAGGTACCCCAAAATCATCAAAACATCCCAAAATCCCCTCCCTGACGCACCAAAAACATCCCAAAAACATCCCAAAATCCCCTCCCTGCACCCTTCCTGATGCACCAAAACTTACCAAAAATTCTCCCTGTCGTTCCTGAAAAATCTTTATATTTCCTTAAAATCCTTCCTTGAATTCTCCCTGATCACCAGAAATGTTCCAGAGCTTTGCTTCGGGGTTTCGGGGTGATTTTGGGGTGTTTCTGCCCCATTTCTGAGTTTTCCTCAAAGTTTTGGGTGTTTTTAATTGGTTCTCCTGAGTTTTGAAGTTTTTTTTGGGTGGTTTTGGTTCTTTTTGGAGAGTTCTTGAAGGCAGGAACGGCGAGGGAAGGAAAATGGCGGGAAAGTGTGAGGGGAGGAAAAAGGCGGGAAAGTGTGAGGGAAGGAAAATGGCGGGAAAGTGTGAGGGGAAAAAAAAGCAGGAAATTGTGAGGGGAGAAAACCGCAGAAAAATGTGAGAAGAGGAAAAAAATGGGAATTGTGAGGGCAGAAAAAAGTAGGAACTGTGAAACTGTGAGGAGAGAAAGGTGGGGAATTGTGAGGGGAGGAAAATGTGAGGGGAAAAAAAAGCAGGAAAGTGTGAGGGGAGAAAAAGACAGGAAAGTGTGAGGGGAGGAAAATGTAATGAGAAAAAATGCAGAAAGTGTGAGGGGAAAAAGGTGGGGAATTGTGAGAAGAGAAAAAGGGAGAAAAATGTGTGGAGAGGAAAAAGATGGGGAATTGTGAGGGAAGAAGAAGGCGAGAAAGTGTGAGAGGAGAAAAAGGGAGGAAAATGTGAGGGGGGGAAAAAGGCGGGAAAGTGTGAGGAGAGATAAAATGCATAAAGTGTGAGGGGAAAAAAACTGGGGAATTGTGAGTGGAAAAAGGCAGGAAAGTGGAGCAAAAAGGAAAGTGTGAGGGGAGGAAAAAGGTGGGGAATTGTGAGGGCAGGAAAAAGTAGGAACTGTGAAACTGTGAGGAGGAAAAGGTGGGGAATTGTGAGGGGAGGAAAATGTGAAGGAAAAAATAGCAGGAAAGTGTGAGGAGAGGAAAAATGCAGAAAGTGTGAGGAGAGGAAAAGGGGGGAATTGTGAGGGGAAGAAATGGCGGGAAAGTGTGAGGGGAAAAAAGGCGGGAAAGTGTGAGGGGAGAAAAAGGCGGGAAAGTGTGAGGAGAGGAAAAGGCGGGAAAATGTGAGGGAGAAAAAGCGGGAAATTGTGAGGAGGAAGAAGATGGGAGTTGCAAGAGGAAAAAGGTAGAAAAGTGTGAGGGGAGAAAAAAGCAGGGAATTGGGAAAAAACAGGAAATTGTTAAGAGAGGAAAAAGGGGGGGAAATGTGAGGGGAAAAAAAAGCAGGAAAGTGTGAGTGGAATAAAAGACAGGAAAGTGTGAGGGGAGAAAAAGGGAGAAAAGTGGAAGGAAGGGAAGGAAAAGGCAGGAAAGTGTGAGGAGAGGAAAAATGCAGAAAATGTGAGGGGAAAAAATGGTGGGGAATTGTGAGGGAGAAAAAGAGAGTAAATGTGAGGGGAGAAAAAGGAGTAAACTGTGAGGCAAGGTGTGGAGGGAAGTCATGAGGGGACACCCATTTCAAAGCGTTTCTGACTCCCATTTCCAAAGGTTATTTCATCCAATTTTGGTTGGTTTTTTTTTTTTTCCCCTCAATTTTAACATTTTGGTAATTTCTAGCAGCAATTAGTATGAAGAGGAAAAGGATTCCTCAATTTCTAATCCTCGTTTCAGGAAAAGGATTCCTCTCCTCAATTTTTAATCCTCGTTTCAGGAATTTCATTTTAGCTGGTTTAACCCATTTTGGCTGTTTCTGACCCAATCTTTGCCCTTTTTTCCAGAAATTTCACTTTTATCTGTTTGTAACCCATTTTATGGTTGTTTCTGACCCAATCTTGCCGTTTTTTTCAGGAATTTCATTCTTAGCTGTTTGTAACCTATTTTATGGTTGTTTCTGACCCAATCTTTGCCCTTTTTTCAGGAATTTCATTATTATCTGTTTGTAACCCATTTCTGGCTGTTTCTGACCCAATCTTTGCCCTTTTTTCAGGAATTTCATTGTTATCTGTCTGTAACCCATTTTTGGCTGTTTCTGACCCAATCTTTGCCGTTTTTTCAGGAATCTCATTTTCAGCTGTTTCTAACCCATTTTGGCTGTTTCTGACCCAATCTTTGCCCTTTTTTCAGAAATTTCATTGTTATCTGTTTGTAACCATTTTTGGGTGTTTCTGACCCAATCTTACCCTTTTTTCAGGAATTTCATTGTTATCTGTTTGTAACCCATTTTATGGTTGTTTCTGACCCAATCTTTGCCCTTTTTTCAGGAATTTCATTTTTATCTGTTTGTAACCCATTTTTGGTTGTTTCTGACCCAATCTTTGCCCTTTTTTTCAGAATTTTAATTTTACCTGTATGTAACCCATTTTTGGCTGTTTCTGACCCAATCTTTGCCCTTTTTTCAGGACCTTCAATTTAAGGTGTTTTTAACCCATATTTGGTTGTTTTTTGACCCAATCTTTGCCGTTTTTTCAGGAATTTCAATTTTATCTGTTTGTAACCCATTTTGCCTGTTTCTGACCAATCTTTGCCCTTTTTTCAGGAATTTCACTTTTATCTGTATGTAACCCATTTTGTGGCTATTTCTGACCCAATCTTTGCCCTTTTTTCAGGAATTTCAATTTTATCTGTTTGTAACCCATTTTGGCTGTTTCTGACCCAATCTTTGCCGTTTTTTCAGGAATCTCATTTTCAGCTGTTTCTAAACCCATTTTGGCTGTTTCTGACCCAATCTTTGCCCTTTTTTCCCCGTTTTTTCCCCGTTTCCAGCCGTGATTAAGATGGAGGGGGGCACGGAGCACGACCTGCGCATCCTGGAGCAGGAGGAGGAGGAGGAGCGGGCGGAGAAGGCCGAAGGCCCCAAGAAGGAGGAGCCGCGGCCGCCGGAGCCGCCCGGGAAGGCTCGGCCGAGCCCCGACGGCGACGGCGGCGCCAAAGGTCGGGGTCACCCCCGGAATTCGGGGTCCCTCCCGCGGGGGCTGCTGTAGCGTTATTTGGGGTTATTTGGGTTTTTGGGGTTTATTTTGGGTTTTGGGGTTTTTTTGGGAGGGTTTATGTAGTTTATTTGGTTTTTTGGGTTTATTTTGGTTTTCTGGGGGGTATTTTGGGTTTTTGGGGTTTTTTGGGGGGGTTTTATTTAGTTTATTTTTGGTTTTTTTGGGTTTTTTGGGTTTTTTGGGTTTTTCTGGGGGTATTTTGGGTTTTTTAGGGTTTTAGGTTTTTTTGTTTTTTTGTTTTGTTTTTGGGTTTTTTGAGTTTATTCTTGGGTTTTTGGGGGTTTTAGTTTTTTTTTAATTTATTTTGAGGTTCTTCGGGTTTATTTGGGATTTTTGGGGTTTTTGAGTTTTAGTTTGTTTTTTTGGGTGGTTTTTTGGGGTTTTTTGGTTTATTTTGAGTTTTAGGGTTTTTTGGGTTTTTGGGATTTTTTAGTTTATTTTTGGGTTTTTTTGGGGTTTGTATTTTCTGGGGGTATTTCGGTTTTTTTTTTTTTTTTTTTTTTTTTTTTTTTTTTTTTTTTTTTGTTTTTTGGGGTTTTTTTTTTTGAGTTTATTCGGGCTTTTTGTTTATTTTGGTTTTTTGGAGGTTTATTTTAGTTTATTTTGGGTTTTTGGGGTTTTTTCAAGTTTATTTTGATTTTTTGGGTTTATTTTTGGGTTTATTTTTGGTTTTTAGGGTTTTTTGAGTTTATTTTGGTTTCTTTTGTTTTCTTTTTCCCTTTTTTTTGAGTTTATTTCATTTTTTTGGGTTTTTTTTTGCGTTTATGTTGGGTTTTTTTGGTTTTTTTGTTGCTTTTTTTTGTTTTTTTGAATCTCAGGGTTTCTTTAAGCTCACCTTGGGACCACCACACTTTAAGTCCCTCCGGGGTTATTTTGGGGTCCCTTTTCCCCCTGGGGTGTTTTTGGGGTCCCCTTTGACTCCCCCTCCCCCACAGGCCGAAGGGGCGGAGGGGGCGGAGCCTGCGGCGGGGGCGGGGCCAGAGGAGGAGGGGGCGGGGCCAGACAAGGCGCCCAAAACTGAGGACGGCGACAAGGAGGGCGGGGCCAAGGTGGGTGGACACGCCCCTTCTGACCACGCCCCTTTCTCACAAACCACACCCCCTTTAAACAAACCACACCCATTTTCTAATAAACCACACCCCCTTTTAAAATAAACCACACCCACTTTCTAATAAGCCACACCCCTTTTTAAATAAACCACACCCAATTTCTGATAAGCCACACCCCTTTTAAAATAAACCACACCCAATTTCTAATAAGCCACACCCCTTTTTAAATAAACCACACCCAATTTCTGATAAGCCACACCCCTTTTAAAATAAACCACACCCAATTTCTAATAAGCCACACCCCTTTTTAAAGGAACCACACCTTTTTTAAAAGAAACCTCGCCCCTTTCTCTTAGCCACGCCCCTTTCTCACAAACCACACCCCCTTTTAAACAAGCCACACCCATTTCCTAATAAACCACCCCCCCTTTTTAAAGGAACCACACCCAATTTCTAATAAGCCACACCCCTTTTTAAAGGAACCACACCTTTTTAAAAAGAAACCACACCCCTTTTTGTTAAGCCACACCCCCAAGAGCCCCTCCCATGTAAGCCCCGCCCCTCTCCACAAGCCACACCCTTTTATTGGCTCCTCCCACCCTCATTAAACCACTCCAAGCCCCTCCCCTCCCTCATTTCCCGCCAAATTTCAGCCCCGCCCCTTTACCCCAAGCCCCGCCCCTTTCCCCCAAGCCCCGCCCCTTTCCCCCAAGCCCCGCCCCCTGACGCCCCCCCCCCCATTTGGTGCGCCCCCTGCAGGCGCGGCCGCGCCAGCGCAGCCGGGACAGCGAGGAGGGGGACAGCGACAGCGGGGACAGCGAGGGGGGGGCGCGGAGACCCCCCGGCAAGGACGGTGAGGGGTCCTGGGGGGTCCTGGGGGTCCTGAGGGGTTTTGGGGGGTCCTGGGGGGTCCTGGGGGGTCTTGGGGGGTCCTGAGGGGTTTTGGGGGGTCCTGGGGGGCCTGGAAGGTTCTGGTGGGGTCCTGGGGGTACTGGGGGGTTTTGGGAGGGTCCTGAGGGGTCCTGGAGGGTCCTGAGGGGTATTTGGGGTCTCTGGGGGGGTTCTGGGGGTTCCTGGGGGATCCTGAGGGGATCCTGGGGGGTCCTGAGGGGTCCTGGGGGGTCCTGAGGGGGTCCTGGGGGGTCCTGAGGGGTCCTGAGGGGGTCCTTGGGGGTCCTGGAGGGTACTGAGGGGTCCTGAGGGGGTCCTGGAGGGTCCTGAGGGGTCCTGGAGGGGTCTTGAGGGGTCCGGGGGGGGTCCTGAGAGGGTCCTTGGGGTCCTGGAGGGTACTGAGGGGTCCTGAGGGGTCCTGAAGGGTCCTGAGGGGTCCTGGGAGGGTTATGAGGGGTCCTGGGGGGCTCCTAAAGGGTCTTGGGGGGGCCTATAGGGGTCCTGGGGGGTCCTGGGGGGGTCCTGGGGGTTTTGGGGGGTCCTGAGGGGGTCCCAAGGGGTTTTGGGGGTCCTGGGGGGTCCTGAGGGGTCCTGTAGGGGTCCTTAGGGGGTCCTGGGGGATCCTGGGGGGGTATTTGGGGTCTCTGGGGGGGTGTTTGGGGTCTCTGGGGGGGTATTTGGGGTCTCTGAGGGGTCCTGGTGGGTCCTGGGGTGTCTTGGAGGGTCTTGAGGGGTCCTGGGGGGGTCCTGGAAGGTTCTGGAGGGGTCCTGGAGGGTTCTGAGGGGTCCTGAGGGGGTCCTGGAGGGGTCCTGGGTGGGGGATTTGGGCGATTTGGGGTCTCTGGGGGGATATTTGGGGTCTCTGGGGGGTATTTGGGTCTCTGGGGGGTATTTGGGGTCTCTGGGGGGGTATTTGGGGTCTCTGGGGGGTATTTGGGGTCTCTGGGGGGTATTTGGGGTCTCTGGGGGGTATTTGGGGTCTCTGGGGGGTGTTTGGGGTCTCTGGGGGGGTATTTGGGGTCTCTGGGGGGTATTTGGGGTATTTGGGGGGTATTTGGGGTCTCTGGGGGGGTATTTGGGGTCTCTGGGGGGTATTTGGGGTCTCTGGGGGGGTATTTGGGGTTTTTGGGGGGTATTTGGGGTCTCTGGGGGGTATTTGGGGTCTCTGGGGGGTATTTGGGGTATTTGGGGGGTATTTGGGGTCTCTGGGGGTATTTGGGGTCTCTGGGGGGGTATTTGGGTATCTGGGGGGTATTTGGGGTCTCTGGGGGGTGTTTCGGGGGCCCCGACCCCTGCAGGTTTTGGGGCGCCCCCTGACCCCTGACCTTTGCCCCCAGAGGAGCCGAAGGAGGACAAAGGCGCCGGGGGGGCGCCGGGGCCGGGACCCCTCCCCTTGGGGACGCCCCCTCCCCCCAAGGGCCGGGAGGGGGTCCCGGGGGGGTCCCCGAGGCGCGGCCGCGGGCGCTGCACAAAACCTGCTCCCTGTTCATGCGCAACATCGCGCCCAACATCGCCCAGGCCGAGATCGTGGCGGTGAGAGCGGACACGGGGATTGCCAAATTACACTGAAATACCCAAAAATTACACTGGAATAGACAAAAATCACCCGGAATAGCCCAGAATTACCCGGGGATTGCCAAAATCACACGGGAATACCCAAAAATCGCCATGAAATAGCTCAGAATTACCCGGGAATTGCCAAAAATCACATGGGATTGCCAAAAATCACACGGGAATAGACAAAAATCACACGGGAATAGACAAAAATTACCCGGGAATAGCCAAAATCACATGGGAATAGACAAAAATTGATCGGGAATACAAAAAATCACCCAGGAATACAAAAAATCACCATGAAATACCCCAAAATCGCCATGGAATAGGCAAAAATCACCTGGGATTAGCCAAAAATCACACGGGAATTGCCAAAAATTACACGGGAATTGACAAAATTCACCCGGGAATAGACAAAAATCACACGGGAATAGACAAAAATCACCTGGGAATAGACAAAAATCACACAGGAATAGACAAAAATCTCCATGAAATAGCCAAAAATTGCCCTGGAATACAAAAAAATCACCCTGAAATAGCCAAAAATCACCCTGAAATACCCAAAAATCACACGGGAATAGACAAAAATCACACGGGGATAGCCAAAAATTACCCTGAAATAGCCAAAAATCGCCCTGGAATAGACAAAAATTACCCGGGAATAGCCAAAAATCACCCGGGAGTAGCCAAAAATTACCCGGGAATAGCCAAAAGTTACCCTGGAATAGACAAATATTGCCCTGGAATACAAAAAATCACCCGGGAATAGCCAAAAATCACCTGGGATTAGCCAAAAATCACCATGAAATAGGCAAAAATCACACGGGAATAGTCAAAAATTACCCGGAATACAAAAAATCACCCGGGAATAGCCAAAAGTTACCCTGGAATACAAAATATCACCTGGGAATAGCCAAAAATTAACCTGAAATAGCCAAAAATTACCCTGGGAGCACAAAAATTACTCTGAAATACCCTGAAATACCCCAAAATCACTCTGGGAGTGCAAAATTTACCCTGAAATACCCCAAAATCACCCTGGGAGACCCAGAAATTACCCTGAAATAGCCAAAAATTACCCTGGGAACCCAAAAATTACCCAAAAATCACCCTGGGAGCACAAAAATCACCCTGAAATAACCCCCAAATCACCCTGAATTAGCCAAATTTACCCTGAAATACCCCAAAATCACCCTGGGAGACCCAGAAATTACCCTGAAATACCCAAAAATGACCCTGAAATACCCAAAAATTATCCTGGGTGCCCAAAAATCAGCCTGGGAGCCCCAAAAATTACCCAAAAATCACCCTGGTAGCCCCAAAAATCTCCCTGGGACCCCCCCAAAAATTACCCGAAAACCCCCCAAAATCACCCCAGAGCCCCAAAACCCCCGAATTTCCCCCAAAAACCGCTGCCCCCCCCCGTTCCGCAGCTGTGCAAGCGCTACCCCGGGTTCATGCGCGTGGCGCTGTCCGAGCCCCAGCCCGAGAGGAGGTGAGGAATTGGGGCATTTTGGGGTTTTTGGGGGATTTCGGGGATTTGGGGGGGATTTTGGGGTTTTTTGGGGGTTTTGGGGGGAATTTGGGATTTTTCGGGGGGGGATTTTAGGGGAATTCAGGGGGAGTTTGGGATTTTTCGGGGGGGGATTCGGGGATTTGGGGGAATTTGGGGTTTTGGGAGGAATTCAGGGGGGGTTTGGGATTTTTCAGGGGGAGATTTTGGGGTTTTTGGGGGGAATTCGGGGTTTTGGGGGGAATTTTGGGGGATTTGGGGGGAATTCAGGGGCGGTTTGGGATTTTTCAGGGGGGGATTTTGGGGGATTTGGGGAAATTCAGGGGGTTTTGGAAGGCTTTGGGGGAATTGGGGGAAATTCGGGGTTTTTTGGCTGTTTTGGGGGGATTTTGGGGTTTTTGGGGGGAATTCGGGGTTTTGGGGAGAATTTTGGGGGATTTAGGGGAAATTTGGGGGTTTTGGGGGAGTATGGGATTTTTCAGGGGAAAATTTGGGGGGTTTTGGGGGGAATTTGGGGGGTTTGAAATTTTCGAGGGGTTTTTGAGGGAATTTGGGGGGATTTGGGGGAAATTCAGGGTTTTTTGGGGAAATTCGGGACCTTTAGGGACTTTCAGGAGCATTTTGGAGGAAATTCAGGGGTTTTGGGGAAATTTGGGGGATTTGGGGGGATTTGGGGGAAATTAGAGGGGTTTTGGTATTTTTGGGAGGTTTTGGAGGATTTCTAGGGGTTTTGGGATTTTTGGGTGGAAATTTGGGGTTTTTGGGACTCACAGTGAGGTTTTCCCCTCAGGTTCTTCAGGAGGGGCTGGGTGGGATTTTGGGCGGAATTTTGGGTGGAATTTGGGGGTTTTTGGGGCTCACAGAGAAGTTTTTCCCCTCAGGTTTTTCAGGAGGGGGTGGTTGGATTTTGGGTGGGATTTTGGGTAGAATTTGGGGGATTTTGGGGCTCACAGAGACGTTTTTCCCCTCAGGTTCTTCAGGAGGGGCTGGGTGGAATTTTGGGTGGGATTTTGGGTGGAATTTTGGGTGGAATTTTGGGGTTTTTGGGGCTCACAGAGACGTTTTTCCCTCAGATTCTTCAGGAGGGGGTGGGTGACCTTCGACCGCAGCGTGAACATCAAGGAGATCTGCTGGAGCCTGCAGAACATCCGGGTGCGTTTTGGGGCAAAAACAGCCGGGTTTGGGGCTGGGGCAGGTTTGGTCAGTTTTGGGGTCATTTTCTGCAATTTAGCGTGGTTTTGGTGGATTTTGGGGTGGTTTTAAGGCGATTTTGACATTTTTTTCTTGCCCAGCTGCGTGAGTGCAAGCTGAGCCCCGGCGTGACCCGGGTTGGGTTTTGGGGTGATTTTAAGTCAATTTTGATGAATTTTAGGGTGATTTTAAGTGGATTTTGATGAATTTTGGGCTGATTTTGATGAATTTTGGGCTGTTTTTTGTCCCCCAGCTGCGGGAGTGCGAGCTGAGCCCCGGCGTGACCCGGGCTGGGTTTGGGGTGTTTTTAAGGTGATTTTGATGAATTTTGGGGTGTTTTTGGTGGTTTTTGTGGTGATTTTGGTGGTCTTTAGGTGTTTTTAAGTCGATTTTGATGGATTTTGGGGTGATTTTGGCTGTTTTTGGGGTCACCAGCTGCGTGAGTGCGAGCTGAGCCCCGGCGTGACCCGGGCTGGGTTTTGGGTTATTTTTGATGGTTTTTGAGGCGATTTTGGGCTGATTTTGATGGATTTTGGGGTGTATTTTTCTCCCCCAGCTGCGGGAGTGCGAGCTGAAGCCCCGGCGTGAACCGGGCTGGGTTTTGGGGTGTTTTTAAGTGGATTTTGATGAATTTTGGGCTGATTTTGACATTTTTTGGGGTACATTTCTCTCCCCCAGCTGCGGGAGTGCGAGCTGAGCCCCGGCGTGACCCGGGCTGGGTTTTGGGCTGGTTTTGATGGATTTTGGGTGTTTTTAAGGCGAATTTGATGGTTTTTAAGGTGATTTTGATGGTTTTTGAGGCGATTTTGGGCTGATTTTAATGAATTTTGGGCTGTTTTTGGGGTCCCCAGCTGCGGGAGTGCGAGCTGAGCCCTGTGCTGGGTTTTGGGGTGATTTTAAGTCGATTTTGATGAATTTTGGGCTGTTTTTAAGGTGATTTTGATGGTTTTTGAGGCGATTTTGGGTTGATTTTGATGAATTTTTGGCTTTTTTGGGGTTCCCAGCTGCGGGAGTGCGAGCTGAGCCCTGGCGTGACCCGGGCTGGTTTTTAAGGCGATTTTGATGAATTTTGGGATGGTTTTAAGGCTGATTTTGACGTTTTTTCTCTCCCCCAGCTGCGTGAGTGCGAGCTGAGCCCCGGCGTGACCCGGGCTGGGTTTGGGGGTGATTTTGATGAATTTTGGGGTGATTTTGATGAATTTTGGGCTGATTTTGATGAATTTTGGGCTGTTTTTTCTCTCCCCCAGCTGCGTGAGTGCGAGCTGAGCCCCGGCGTGACCCGGGCTGGGTTTTGGGGTGATTTTGAGAGGATTTTGATGAATTTCGGGGTGTTTTTAAGGCGGTTTTGATGGTTTTTAAGGTGATTTTGATGGTTTTTGGGGTGGTTTTGGGGTGATTTTGGCTGTTTTTTGTCCCCCAGCTGCGTGAGTGCGAGCTGAGCCCCGGCGTGACCCGGGCTGGTTTTTAAGGCGATTTTGATGAATTTTTGGGTTAATTTTGGGCTGATTTTGGCTGTTTTTTCTCTCCCCCAGCTGCGTGAGTGCGAGCTGAGCCCCGGCGTGACCCGGGCTGGGTTTTGGGTTAATTTTAAGTCGATTTTAATGAATTTTGGGCTGTTTTTGGGGTTCCCAGCTGCGTGAGTGCGAGCTGAGCCCCGGCGTGACCCGGGCTGGGTTTTGGGTTAATTTTGATGGTTTTTGGGGTGATTTTAATGAATTTTGGGCTGTTTTTTCTCCCCCAGCTGCGGGAGTGCGAGCTGAGCCCCGGCGTGACCCGGGCTGGGTTTTGGGGTGATTTTGATGAATTTTGGGCTGATTTTGATGAATTTTGGGCTGATTTTGACGTTTTTTGGGCTGTTTTTTCTCCCCCAGCTGCGCGAGTGCGAGCTGAGCCCCGGCGTGAACCGGGCTGGGTTTTGGGGTAGTTGTGCTGGATTTTGGGTGTTTTTAAGGCGATTTTGATGGTTTTTAAGGTGATTTTGATGGTTTTTGGGGTGATTTTGGGCTGATTTTGGGGTGAATTTGACATTTTTTGGGCTGTTTTTCTCCCCAGCTGCGTGAGTGCGAGCTGAGCCCCGGCGTGACCCGGGGTGGGTTTTGGGGTAATTTTGGGCTGATTTTGACATTTTTTGGGGTACATTTCTCTGTCCCAGCTGCGGGAGTGCGAGCTGAGCCCCGGCGTGACCCGGGCTGGGTTTTGGGGTGATTTTGATGAATTTTGGGATGGTTTTTGGGATAATTTTGCTGTTTTTCTCCCCCCCAGCTGCGCGAGTGCGAGCTGAGCCCCGGCGTGAACCGGGACCTGACGCGGCGCGTGCGGAACGTCTCGGGGCTGACGCAGCACCGGCCGGTCGTGCGCCACGACATCAAGCTGGCCGCGCGCCTGGTGCAGGCGCTGGACGCCCGCGCCCGCCTCTGGAGCCCCCCGGGCACCGCTGGGGACGGGACCCCCGGGGATGGAACCGGGGATGGGACCCCCGGGGACGGGACCGGGACGGCCGAACCGCCGCCGCCCGCGCAGCCCGGGGTGAGACACCGAAACCGGGGGTTTTGGGGAGTTTGGGGGGTTCTGGGGGGTCATTGGGGGTCACCAAGGGGTTTTGGGGGATCATCAGAGGGTCATAGGGGAGTCCTGGGGGGTCACCGAGGGGTTTTGGGGGGTCCTGAGAGGGTGTCAGAGGGTCATTGGGGGGTTCTGGGGGGTCCTAGGGGGTTTAAGAGGGTCACCAAGGGGTCCTGGGGGGTCACCAGGGGTCTTTGGGGGGTCCTGGAGGGTCATTGGGGGGTCATTGGGGGTCACCAAGGGGTCCTGGGGGGGTCCTGGGGGTGTTACCGGGGGTAATTGGGGGGTCCTGGGGGGTCATCGGGGTCATTGGGGGTTCCCAGGGGATCATTGGGGGGTCCTGGGGGATCATTGGGGGGGCCTGGGGGATCACTGGGGATCATTGGGGGGTCCTGGGGGGTCCTGGGGGTCATCAGAGGGTCATTGGGGGAGTCATAGGGGGTCATTGGGGGTCACCGAGGGGTTTTGGGGGGTCATTGGGAGGTTCTGGGGGGTTTTAGGGGGTCCTGGAGGGTCACCGGGGCTCATCGGGGCATCACCGGGGGTCATCGAGGGGTTTTGGGGGGTCCTGGGGGGTCACTGAGGGTCATAGGGGGATCGTGGGGGGTCATCAGAGGGTTATAGGGGGGTCCTGGGGGGTTCTCAAGGGGTCCTAAGGGGTCCTGGGGGTCACCAAGGGGTTTTGGGGGGGCATTGGGGGGTCACCAGGGGTCACCAGGGGGTTCTCAGGGGTCATCAGTGGGTCCTGGGGGGTTCTCAGGGGGTCCTGGAGGGTCATCAGGAGGTTCTCAGGGGTCATTGGGGGGTCCTGGGGGATCATCGGAGGTCACCAAGGGTCACCAGGGGTCATCGAGGGGTCCTGGGGGGTCATCGGGAGGTTCTGGGGGTTCATCAGAGTGTTATAGGGAGGTCCTGGGTGGTCCTGGGGGGTCATCGAGGGGTTCTCAGGGGTCATTGGGGGGTCCTGGAGGGTCATTGGGGATCATCAGAGGGTTCTCAGGGGTCATCGGGGTCCTTGGGGGGTCACCAAGGGGTTTTGGGGGGTCCTGGGGGGTCATCAGGGGGGACTGGAGGGTCATTGAGGGGTCCTGGAGGTCACCAATGGGTCCTAGGGGGTCATTGGGGGGTTTTGGGGGGTCTTCAGAGGGTCATTGGGGGGTCTTGGGGGGTCTTGGGGGGTCTTCAGAGGGTCATTGGGGGGTCCTGAGGGGTCATTGGGGGTCACCAAGGGGTTTTGGGGGGTCCTGGAGGGTCATTGGAGGGTTCTCAGGGGGTCACTGGGGGTCATCAGGGGTCCTGGGGGGTTTTGGGGGGTCCTGGGGGGTCATCAGAGGGTTATAGGGGGGTCCTGGAGGGTCATTGGGGGGTCCTGGGGGGTCACCAAGGAGTTTTGGGGGGTCACCGGGGGGTCATTGGGGGTCCTTGGGGGGTCATTGGGGGGTTCTCAGGGGGTCACTGGGGGTCATTGGGGGGTCCTGGGGGGTCATTGGGGGGTCACCAACGGGTCCTGGGGGTCCTGGGGGTTCTCAGGGGGTCCTGGGGGGTCCTGGGAGTTCTATGGGGGGTGACCTGGGGGGTTATTGGGGGTCCTGGGGGGTCACCAAGAGGTCCTCAGGGGTTCTGGGGGGTCATCAGAGGGTCATAGGGGGTCACCAAGGGGTTTTGGGGGTCATTGGGGGGTCACCAACGGGTCCTGGGGGGTCACCGGGGGTGACTGGGGGTCATCAGGGGGTTCTGGGGGGTCATTGGGGGATCATCAAAGGGTCCTGGGGGGGCCTGGGTGGTCACTGGGGGTCATTGGGGGATCCTGGGGGGTCATCGGGGGGTTCTGGAGGGTCATTAGAGGGTTCTGGAGGGTCATTGGGGGGTTTTGGGGGTCCTGGAGGGTCATCAGGGGGTTACTGGGGTTCTTGGGGGGTCCTGGGAGGTTGTCAGGGGGTCATTGGGGGGTCCTGGGGGGGTCACCGAGGGGTTTTGGGGGGTCCTAGGGGGTCATTGGGGGGTACTGGGTATCATTGGGGGTCACCAAGGGGTTTTGGGGGGTCATCGAGGGGTTTTGGGGGGTCATCGGGGGTCCTGGGGGGTCATCGGGGGGTCCTCAGGGCGTCACTGAGGTTCTTGGGGATCATTGTGGGGTCCTGGGGGGGCCTGGAGGATCATTGGGGGGTCCTGGGAGGTTGTCAGGGGGTCATTGGGGGGTCATCGGGGGTGATTGGGGGGTCCTGGGAGGTCACCAGGGGTCTTTGGGGGTTCCTGGGCAGTCATTGGGGGTGATTGGGGGGTCCTGGGGGGTCATTGGGGGGTTCTCAGGGGTCATCGGGTGGTCCTGGGGGTGTCCTTTGGGGTACCGGGGGGTCCTGGGGGGTCACCGGGGGGGGTCACTGGAGTGTCCTCAGGAGCTCATTGGGGTCACTGAGGTCACCAGGATGTCCTGAGGGGGTCACTGGGGGTCACCAGGGTCCTTTAGGGTGTCCCCAATGTCCCCAAATGTCCCCAATGTCCCCCCCCAGGCGCAGAACCCGGTGCTGCGGCACATCCCCAATGATGTCCCCAATGTCCCCAATGATGTCCCCAAATGTCCCCAATGTCCCCAATGCCCCCAATGCCCCCAATGTCCCCAATGTCCCCAATGTCCCCAAATGTCCCCAATGATGTCCCCCAATGTCCCCAATGTCCCCTCACAGGCGCAGAACCCGGTGCTGCGGCACATCACCGATGTCCCCAATGATGTCCCCAATGTCCCCAATGATGTCCCCAATGTCCCCAATGTCCCCCCAGGCGCAGAACCCGGTGCTGCGGCACATCACCGATTACCTGATCGAGGAGGTCAGCGCTGAGGAGGAGGAGCTGCTGGGACAGGGACAGGGACAGGGACAGGGACAAGGACAAGGACAGGGACAGGGACAGGGACAGGGACAGGGCGTGGCCACGGCCGAGGACGGCGCCCGCGAGACCAACCCGGCCGAGGTCACCGTGGAGCGCGACGAGAAGCTGCTCAAGGTGTGTCCCACAGTGTCCCCTGGTGTCCCCAGAGTGTCACAGGTGTCCCCAAAGTGTCCCCATGGTGTCCCCAGTGTCCCCAAGTGTCCCCAGAGTGTCCCTGAGTGTCTCCAGAGTGTCCCCAGGTGTCCCCAGAGTGTCCTCGGGTGTTCTCAGGTGTCCTCAGAGTGTCCCCAGGGTCTCCAAACTGTCCCCAGAGTGTCCCCAAGTGTCTTCAGAGTGTCCCCAGAGTGTCCCCAGGGTCCTTGAGTGTCCCCAAAGTGTCCCCAGAGTGTCCTCAGGGTGTCCCTGGGTCTCCCCAGGTGTCCTCAGAGTGTCCCTGAATGTCCCCAAAGTGTCCCAGAGTGTCCCCAGTGTCCTCAGAGTGTGCCCAGGGTCTTCAAAGTATCCCCAGAGTGTCCCCAGGTGTCCTCAGGGTGTCCCCTGGGTCTCCTCAGGTGTCCCCAGGTGTCCTCAGAGTGTCCCCAGTGTTCCCAGAGTGTCCCCAATGACCCCAAAGTGTCCCCGGGTGTCCTCAGAATGTTCCCAGAGTGTCCCTGAGTGTCCCTGAGTGTCCCCTCAGTGTCCCCAAAGTGTCCCAGAGTGTCCCCAGGTGTCCTCAGAGTGTCCCTGAGTGTCCCCAAAGCATCACTGGTGTCTTCAGAGTGTCCCCAGGGTCTCCAAAGTGTCCTCAGAGTGTCCCCAAGTGTCTTCAGAGTGTCCCCAAGTGTCTCCAAAGTGTTCCTGAGTGTCTTCAGAGTGCCCCCAGGGTCTTCAAAGTGTCCCCAGAGTGTCCCCAGAGTGTCCATGGCTGTCCCTGAGTGTCCCCAAGTGTCCCCAAAGTGTCCCCAGAGTGTCCCCAATGTCCCCAATCCCCCCAATGTCCCCAATGTCCCCAATGTCCCAAATCCCCCCAGTCCCCCCAAATGTCCCCAATGTCCCCAATGTCCCCAATGTCCCCAATGTCCCCAATGTCCCCAATGTCCCCCCAATGTCCCCAATGTCCCCGCAGGTTCTGGACCGGCTCCTGCTGTACCTGCGCATCGTTCACTCGGTCGATTACTACAACACCTCCGAGTACCCCAACGAGGACGAGATGCCGAATCGCTGCGGGATCATCCACGTGCGGGGCCCGCTGCCGCCCAACCGCGTGTCCCACGGCGAGGGTGAGCCCCAAAATCCCCTAAATTCACCCCAAAATCACCCCGGAACCAGCCGTGCCTCCCACGGCGAGGGTGAGCCAAAAAACCCCCAAATTCACCCCAAAAACCGCCCCAAAACCCAACTGCATCCACGTGCGGGGCCCGCTGCCGCCCAACCGCGTGTCCCACGGCGAGGGTGAGCCCCAAAATCCCCCAGATTCACCCCAAAATCACCCCCAAACCAACCGCGCCTCTCATGGCGAGAATGAGCCCCAAAAACCCCCAAAATCGCCCCAAAAACCAACCCAAAACCAAACCACATCCATGTGCGGGGCCCGCTGCCGCCCAACCGCGTGTCCCACGGCGAGGGTGAGCCCCAAAATCCCCCAAATTCACCCCAAAATCACCCCCAAACCAACCGCACATCCCACAGCGAGGGTGAGCCCCAAAAACCCCCAAATTCACCCCAAAAACCAACCAAAAACAACCACATCCACGTGCGGGGCCCGCTGCCGCCCAACCGCGTGTCCCACGGCGAGGGTGAGCCCCAAAAATCCCCAAAATCGCCCCAAAAACCGCCCCAAAACCCAACTCCATCCCTTTATACCCCATTTTAACCCATTTTAACCAATTTTCACCCTGTTTTTCCCAATTTCCCGTGTTTTTTCCCCAGTTTCGGAGTGGCAGCGCCTTTGCCGCCCGCCTGGCCCCGCTGCCAGTGACCCCAAATCCCATTTTAACCCCATTTTAACCCTTTATACCCCATTTTTACCCCATTTTAACCCTTTTTACCACAATTTAACCCTTTATACCCCATTTTTTCCCCATTTTCACCCATTTTTCCCGTTTTTTCCCCATTTTTCCCAATTTTTGGTTTTTTTTCCCCAGTTTCAGAGTGGCAGCGCGCCTTTGCCGCCCGCCTGGCCCCGCTGCCAGTGACCCCAAATCCCATTTTCACCCCATTTTCACCCTTTATACCCCATTTTTACCCCAATTTAACCCTTTATACCCCATTTTTGCCCCATTTTCACCATTTTTACCCCGTTTTTTCCCCATTTTTCCCAATTTTTGGTTTTTTTTCCCCAGTTTCGGAGTGGCAGCGCGCCTTTGCCGCCCGCCTGGCCCCGCTGCCAGTGACCCCAAATCCCATTTTCACCCCGTTTTAACCCTTTATACCCCGTTTATACCCCAATTTAACCCTTTATACCCCATTTTTTCCCATTTTTTCCCCATTTTAACCAATTTCCCGTGTTTTTTCCCCAGTTTCAGAGTGGCAGCGCCTTTGCCGCCCGCCTGGCCCCGCTGCCAGTGACCCCAAATCCCATTTTCACCCCATTTTAACCCTTTAGACCCCATTTTCACCCATTTTTCCCCATTTTCCCCGTTTTTTCCCCGTTTTTCCCAATTTCCCGTGTTTTTTCCCCAGTTTCGGAGTGGCAGCGCGCCTTTCCCGCCCGCCTGGCCCCGCTGCCAGTGACCCCAAATCCCATTTTCACCCCGTTTTAACCCTTTATACCCCATTTTTTCCCCATTTTAACCAATTTTCACCCCGTTTTTCCCAATTTCCCGTGTTTTTTCCCCAGTTTCGGAGTGGCAGCGCGCCTTTGCCGCCCGCCTGGCCCCGCTGCCAGTGACCCCAAATCCCATTTTCACCCCATTTTAACCCTTTATACCCCATTTTTTTCCCATTTTTTCCCCATTTTTCCCGTTTTTTCCCCATTTTAACCAATTTTTGGGTTTTTTCCCCAGTTTCGGAGTGGCAGCGCCTTTGCCGCCCGCCTGGCCCCGCTGCCAGTGACCCCAAATCCCATTTTCACCCCAATTTAACCCTTTATACCCCAATTTAACCCTTTATACCCCATTTTTTCCCCATTTTACCATATTTTCACCCCGTTTTTCCCAATTTTTGGGTTTTTTTTCCCCAGTTTCGGAGTGGCAGCGCGCCTTCACCGCCCGCCTGGCCCCGCTGCCAGTGACCCCAAATCCCATTTTCACCCCGTTTTAACCCTTTATACCCCATTTTAACCCTTTATACCCCATATTTTCCCCATTTTTACCCCATTTTACCATATTTTCACCCCGTTTTTCCCAATTTTTGTGTTTTTTTCCCCAGTTTCGGAGTGGCAGCGTCTTTGCCGCCCGCCTGGCCCCGCTGCCAGTGACCCCAAATCCCATTTTCACCCCAATTTAACCCTTTATACCCCAATTTAACCCTTTATACCCCAGTTTTACCCCATTTTAACCAATTTTCACCCCGTTTTTCCCAATTTTTGGGTTTTTTTCCCCAGTTTCGGAGTGGCAGCGCCTTTGCCGCCCGCCTGGCCCCGCTGCCAGTGACCCCAAATCCCATTTTCACCCCGTTTTAACCCTTTTCACCCCATTTTAACCCCGTTTTTTCCCCATTTTTCCCGTTTTTTCCCCGTTTTTCCCAATTTCCCGTGTTTTTTCCCCAGTTTCGGAGTGGCAGCGCGCCTTTGCCACCCGCCTGGCCCTGCTTCCAGTGACCCCAAATCCCATTTTCACCCCTTTTTAACCCTTTATACCCCGTTTTAACCCTTTATACCCCATTTTTACCCCATTTTCACCAATTTAACCAATTTTCACCCCGTTTTTCCCAATTTCCCGTGTTTTTCCCCAGTTTCGGAGTGGCAGCGCGCCTTTGCCGCCCGCCTGGCCCCGCTGCCAGTGACCCCAAATCCCATTTTCACCCCATTTTCACCCCAATTTAACCCTTTATACCCCATTTTCACCCCATTTTCACCCATTTTAACCCGTTTTTTCCCCATTTTAACCAATTTTCTCCCCGTTTTTCCCAATTTTTGTGTTTTTTTCCCCAGTTTCGGAGTGGCAGCGCGCCTTTGCCGCCCGCCTGGCCCCGCTGCCAGTGACCCCAAATCCCATTTTCACCCCAATTTAACCCTTTATACCCCAATTTAACCCTTTATACCCCATTTTTCCCCATTTTACCATATTTTTCCCCGTTTTTCCCAATTTTTGGGTTTTTTTCCCCAGTTTCGGAGTGGCAGCGCGCCTTTGCCGCCCGCCTGGCCCCGCTGCCAGTGACCCCAAATCCCATTTTCACCCCAGTTTAACCCTTTATACCCCGTTTTAACCCTTTAGACCCCATTTTCACCCATTTTAACCAATTTTTTCCCAATTTTTCCCAATTTTGGGGTTTTTTTCCCCAGTTTCGGAGTGGCAGCGCGCCTTTGCCGCCCGCCTGGCCCCGCTGCCAGTGACCCCAAATCCCATTTTCACCCCAATTTCACCCCAGTTTAACCCTTTATACCCCATTTTTCCCCATTTTTACCCCATTTTTCCTGTTTTTTCCCCATTTTAACCAATTTTTGTGTTTTTTTCCCCAGTTTCGGAGTGGCAGCGCGCCTTTGCCGCCCGCCTGGCCCCGCTGCTGGCCGGCCCCGGGGCTGTGCCCGAGGAGGAGGCGCAGAGACTCGGCCGGAAGGACCCCGAGCAGGAGCTGGAGAAGTTCGTCAGCGCCAACACCCAGGAGCTGGGCAAGGACAAGTGGCTGTGTCCCCTCAGCGGCAAAAAGTTCAAGGTGGGGACACTTGGGGACATTTGGGGACACTTTAAGGACATCCCCGGGGTCATTGGGGTCACCTCGGGGTAATTTGGGTCATGTTTCGGGTCATTTGGGACATTGGGGACACGCAGGAGCTGGGCAAGGACAAGTGGCTGTGTCCCCTCAGCGGCAAGAAGTTCAAGGTGGGGACACCTGGGGACATTTGGGGACATCCCTGGGGTCATTGGGGTAATTTGGGACACATTTGGGGTTATTTGGGACACGTTTGGGGACATTGAGGACACGTTTGGGGTCATTTGGGACACTTTGGGGACATCCTTGGGGACACTTTGGGGACATTTGTGGACATCTGGGGACATCCTCGGGGTCCTTGAGGTCACCTCGGGGTCATTGGGGTCATGTTTCGGGTCATTGGGGTCACGTTTGGGGACATTGGGGACACCCAGAGCTCGGCAAGGACAAGTGGCTGTGTCCCCTCAGCGGCAAAAAGTTCAAGGTGGGACATCTGGGGACATTTGGGGACATTTGGGGACATCCCTGGGGTCATTGGGGTCACGTTTGGGACATTGGGGACACGTTTGGGACATTTGGGACACGTTTGGGGCATTGGGGACACTTTGGGGACACTGGGGACAGTGGAGAGTTGATGTCCCCAATGTCCCCAATGTCCCCAATGTCCCCAATGTCCCCAATGTCCCCCCAATGTCCCCAATGTCCCCAATGTCCCCAATGTCCCCACTGTCCCCAATGTCCCCAATGTCCCCCCAATGTCCCCAATCCCCCCAATGTCCCCAATGTCCCCAATGTCCCCAATGTCCCCAATGTCCCCAATGTCCCCAATGTCCCCAATGTCCCCCAATGTCCCCCAATGTCCCCCAATGTCCCCAATGTCCCCAATGTCCCCAATGTCCCCCAATGTCCCCAATGTCCCCAATGTCCCCAATGTCCCCAATGTCCCCAATGTCCCCGATGTCCCCAATGTCCCCAATGTCCCCCCAATGTCCCCAATCCCCCCAATGTCCCCAATGTCCCCAATGTCCCCAATGTCCCCAATGTCCCCAATGTCCCCAATGTCCCCAATGTCCCCAATGTCCCCAATCCCCCCAATGTCCCCAATGTCCCCGATGTCCCCAATGTCCCCATTGCCCCCAATGTCCCCAATGTCCCCAATGTCCCCAATCCCCCCAATGTCCCCAATGTCCCCAATGTCCCCAATGTCCCCAATGTCCCCAATGTCCCCCAATGTCCCCCAATGTCCCCCAATGTCCCCAATGTCCCCAATGTCCCCAATGTCCCCAAATGTCCCCAATGTCCCCAATGTCCCCAATGTCCCCAATCCCCCAATGTCCCCAATGTCCCCATTGCCCCCAATGTCCCCAATGTCCCCAAATGTCCCCAATGTCCCCAATGTCCCCAATGTCCCCAATGTCCCCAATGTCCCCCCAATGTCCCCAATGTCCCCAATGTCCCCTGTGTCCCCAATGTCCCCAATGTCCCCAATGTCCCCAATCCCCCCAATGTCCCCAATGTCCCCGATGTCCCCAATGTCCCCAATGTCCCCAATCCCCCCAATGTCCCCCAATGTCCCCAAATGTCCCCAATGTCCCCAATGTCCCCCAATGTCCCCAATGTCCCCCAATGTCCCCAAATGTCCCCAAATGTCCCCAATCCCCCCAATGTCCCCAATGTCCCCCAATGTCCCCCAATGTCCCCAATGTCCCCAATGTCCCCAAATGTCCCCAAATGTCCCCAATCCCCCCAATGTCCCCAATGTCCCCAATGTCCCCAATGTCCCCAAATGTCCCCAAATGTCCCCAAATGTCCCCAATCCCCCCAATGTCCCCAATGTCCCCCAATGTCCCCCAATGTCCCCAATGTCCCCAATGTCCCCAAATGTCCCCAAATGTCCCCAATCCCCCCAATGTCCCCAATGTCCCCCAATGTCCCCCAATGTCCCCCAATGTCCCCAATGTCCCCAAATGTCCCCAATGTCCCCAATGTCCCCAATGTCCCCAATGTCCCCAATGTCCCCCCAATGTCCCCAATGTCCCCAATGTCCCCAATGTCCCCAATGTCCCCAATCCCCCCAATGTCCCCAATGTCCCCCAATGTCCCCCAATGTCCCCAATGTCCCCAATGTCCCCAATCCCCCCAATGTCCCAAATGTCCCCAATGTCCCCAATGTCCCCAATGTCCCCAATGTCCCCAATATCCCCAATGTCCCCAATGTCCCCAATGTCCCCCAATGTCCCCAATGTCCCCAATGCCCCCAATGCCCCCAATGCCCCCAATGTCCCCAATGTCCCCAATGTCCCCAATGTCCCCAATATCCCCAATGTCCCCAATGTCCCCAATGTCCCCCAATGTCCCCAATGTCCCCAATGCCCCCAATGCCCCCAATGCCCCCAATGTCCCCAATGTCCCCAATGTCCCCCAATGCCCCCAATGTCCCCAATGTCCCCAATGCCCCCAATGTCCCCAATGTCCCCAATGTCCCCAATGTCCCCAATGCCCCCAATGCCCCCAATGCCCCCAATGTCCCCAATGCCCCCAATGCCCCCAATGTCCCCAATGTCCCCAATGATGTCCCCAAATGTCCCCAGGGCCCCGAGTTCGTGCGCAAGCACATCTTTAACAAGCACGGGGACAAGATGGGCGCCGTGCGCAAGGAGGTTTTGTTCTTCAACAACTTCCTGATGGACCCGAAACGGCCATCGCTGCCCGAGGGGGGCAAGGGACCGCCAGGTGAGTGTCACCTGTGTCACCTGAGTGTCACCTGTGTGTCATTGTCACCTCTGTGTCATCCCTGTGCCATCCCTGTGTGTCATTGTCACCTGTGTGTGACCCCTGTGTGACCCCTGTGTGTGACCCCAAGCGGCCATCGCTGCCCGAGGGGGGCAAGGGACCGCCAGGTGAGTGTCACCTGTGTCACCTGTGTCACCTCTGTGTGACCCCTGTGTGTCACCTGTGTGACCTGTCATTGTCACCTGTGTCACCTGAGTGTCACCTGTGCCATCCCTTTGTGACCTGTGTGTCACCTGTGTGTCACCTGTGTCACCTATGCCATCCCTGTGTCACCTGTGTGACCCCGTGACCCCTGTGTGACCCCTCAGTTTCACCTGTGTGACCCCTGTGTTACCTGTGCCATCCCTGTGTGTCACCTGTGTCACCTGTGGGTTACCTGTGTGACCTGTCATTGTCACCTGAGTGTCACCTGTGTCACCTGTGTCACCTGTGTGACCCCTTTGTGTGACCTCTGTGTCACCTGTGTCACCTCTTTTTGTCACCTGTGTGACCCCATGACCCCTGTGTGACCCCTTGGTCTCACCTGTGTGACCCCATGACCCCTGTGTGACACTTCAATGTCACCTGTGTGACCCCATGACCCCCATGTGACCCCGGGGTCAGGGTCCCCCCCCCCGCCTTGGGGACACTCCTGGTGACCCCAGGATGACCCCTGACCCCTGGGTGACCCCCGGTGACCCCTGTGTGACCTCTGACCCCCATTTGACCCCAGGGCTGACCCCGGGGGCGCTGCCCTACCCCCCCCAGTCCCTGTGACCCCTGACCCCTGTGTCACCTTTGTGTGACCCCTCTGTGACCCCTGACCCCTGTGTGACCCCTGTGTGACCCCTGTGTGACCCCCGGTGACCCCTGTGTGACCTTTGACCCAGGGCTGACCCCGGGGGCGCTGCCCTACCCCCCCCAGTCCCCCCAGGGGCTGCTGCCCTACGGGAGCCCCCGACCCCCCATGATGGGCTACGGAGGTAAATTTGGGGCGAAATCGGGGGGGTTTGGGAAATTTGGGAAAAATTCGGGAAAATCAGGGAAAATTCAGGGGGTTTGGGGGAAATTTGGGGGGTTTGGGGGGAAATTTGGGGGGTTTTGGGGGGATTTTGGGCGAAATTTGGAGGATTTTGGGGGAAATTTTGGGGGTTTGGGAGAAATTTGGGGGGTTTTGGGAAAATTTAAGGGGTTTAGGGGAAAAATTTGGGGGGTTTTGGATAAATTGGGAGGGTTTGGGGCAAATTTGGGAAATTTGGGGGAAAATTGGGGGATTTTGGGAAAATTGGGGGGATTTTGGGGGAAAATTGGGGGATTTTGGGAAAATTGGGGGGTTTGGGGGAAATTTGGGGGATTTGGGGAAAATTGGGGGGGATTTGGGGGAAATTTGGAAGGTTTGGGGTAATTTGGGGGGTTTTGGGAAAATTAGTGGGTTTGGGGGATATTTTGGGTAGTTTTTGTGTGTTTTTTGTGGTATTTGGGGGGTTTTTTGGGATATTTTGGGATATTTTGGCTATTTTTGGGTGTTTTTAACCCTTTTCTCCCCACAGGATCCCCCCCAGGCCCTTCAGGGGTCTGGGCTGGTTTTGGGGGTATTTTGGGTATTTTTGTGCAGTTTTCTTTTGATATTTCGGGTATTTTTGTGCGGTTTTGGGGATATTTGTATCTTTTTGGATATTTCGGGATTTTTTAACCCTTTTTTCCCCGCAGGATCCCACCCGTACCCCCCCGGGCCCTACGGGGGTTTGGGCTGGTTTTTGGGGATATTTTGGGTTATTTTTGTGTGTTTTTTTTTATATTTTGGGTATTTTTGTGCGGTTTTCGGGATATTTTGTACATTTTTGGATATTTCAGGATTTTTTAACCCTTTTTTCCCCGCAGGATCCCACCCGTACCCCCCCGGGCCCTACGGGGGCCGCGGCAGCTACGAAACCTTCCGGGGGCAGGGGGGGGCCGGGGGGGGGTACCTGAACAAACCCCGCAGCAGGTGAGGGGGGACCCCAAATTCGGGATGGGGGACCCCAAAAACGGGATGGGGGACCCCAAATTCGGGATGGGGGACCCCGAAAACGGGGTGGAGGGCCCCAAAAATGGGTTTAGGGACCCTAAAAAATGGGTATTGGACCCCAAAACTGGGGTGGAGGGCCCCAAAATTGGGATTGGTGACCCCAAAAATGGGGATTGGACCCCAAAAATGGGATCGGGGACCCCAAAAACTGGGGCTCATTTTGGCCCGGATTTGGGGTATTTTGGGGCAGATTTTGGGTATTTTGGGGTATTTCGGTGCACCTGGGGTTGCATTCTGGATTTTGGGGAATTTGGGGTATTTTGGGTGGATTTTGGGTGATTTTGGGATGCTTTGGGATGTTTTTTGGGTATATTTTGGGGGTATTTTGAGTGTATTTGTGGGGTATTTTGGGATGCATTTTGGGGTATTTTGGCCGTATTTTGGGGAGTTTTGGGTGAATTTGGGGTATTTTGGGTGCATTTGGGGCATTTGGGATATTTTGGGCTGGTTTTGGGCATTCTGGCTGTATTTTGGGGTATTTCAGGTGGATTTGGGGTATTTTGGGAATTTTTTTTTTTTTTTTGTATTTTGGGTTATTTTGGGATGCATTTTGGGTGTATTTCAGGGTATTTTGGGATTATTTTGGGATGCATTTTGGGATGCATTTTGGGTGGATTTTGGGGTGGATTTTGGGATGCAATTTGGGGTATTTTGGAGTATTTTTGGCTGGTTTGGGGTATTCTGGCTGCATTTTGGGGTATTTCAGGCTGTATTTTTCAGTATTTGGGGTATTTTGGGTCAATTTTGGGGCAGATTTGGGGTATTTTGGGTATTATGGCTGTATTTTGGGGTACTTCAGGTGGATTTGGGGTGGATTTGGGTGCATTTGGGGTATTTTGGGCTGGTTTTGGGTATTCTGACTGTATTTCGGGGTGTATTTTTGAGTATTTGGGGTATTTGGGGTCAGTTTTTTGTCAGATTTGGGGTATTTTGGGGCATTTGGGGTCAGTTTTTTGTCAGATTTGGGGTATTTTGGGGCATTTGGGGTCAGTTTTTTGGCGGATTTGGGGTATTTGGGGCTGTATTTTTGAGTATTTGGGGTATTTGGGGTCCGTTTTTTCTGGGATTTGGGGTATTTTGGGCTGTATTTGGGGTATTTGGGGTCAGTTTTTTGCCAGATTTGGGTTATTTTGGGTCAGTTTTTTGGGGTATTTGGGGTCAGTTTTCTGCCGGATTTGGGTTATTTTGGGTCAGTTTTTTGCCGGATTTGGGTTATTTTGGGCCGATTTGGGCTGTTTTCGGGGTGTATTTTTGAGTATTTGGGGTATTTTGGGTCAGTTTTTTGTCAGATTTGGGGTATTTGGGGTATTTTGGGTCCGTTTTTTGTCGTATTTGGGTTATTTTGGGTCAGTTTTCTGTCGGATTTGGGTTATTTGGGATCCATTTTCTGTCGGATTTGGGGTATTTGGGGCTGATTTCGGGGTGTATTTTTGAGTACTTGGGTTATTTGGGGTCAGTTTTTTGTCGGATTTGGGGTATTTTGGGTCGGTTTTCTGTCGGATTTGGGGTATTTGGGGTCAGTTTTCTGCCGGTTTTGGGTATTTGGGGTATTTGGGGTCCGTTTTTTGTTGGATTTGGGTTATTTTGGGTCGGTTTTCTGTCGGATTTGGGTTATTTTGGGGTATTTTGGGTCAGTTTTTTGGGGTATTTGGGGTATTGGAGGTCAGTTTTTTGCCGGATTTGGGTTATTTTGGGCCGATTTGGGCCGTTTTCGGGTGCTGACGCGCTGCCCCCCAGGCTGGTCCGGGGGGACCCCCGCGCCATCGTCGAGTACCGGGACCTGGACGCCCCCGAGGACGTGGATTTCTTCTGACCCTCCCCCCCCGCGGCCCCGCCCCCTTTGTACGGCCCCGCCCCCCAATTTCAATAAAGCGGCTCCGCCCACCCCAAAACGCAGAATTTGGGGAAATTTGGGGAAATTTGGGGTTTTTGGGAGCGGATTTGGGGTTTTTGTGCCACTTTTGGGCACGGAATTGGCGGTTTTGGGGAAGTTTTGGGAGATTTCGCGGAAAATTTGGGAGTTTTTGGGGCAATTTGGGGGATTTTGGGGCAGTTTTGGAGTTTTTGGGGGTGGTTTTGGGGCAGTTTTGGGGTTTTTGGGGCAGTTTTGGGGCAGTTTTGGGGTTTTTTTGGGTTTTAAGAGCAGTTTTGGGGTTCTCACAGCAGTTTCGGGAGTTTTGAGATTTTTGGGGCAGTTTTGGGGTTTTTTGGGCAGTTTTGGGGTTTTTGGGGTGGTTTTGGGGCGGATTTAAGGGTTTTTGGGAAAATTTGGGGTTTGAGTCAAATTTGGGGGTTTTGGGGGAAGTTTTGGGAGGATTTTGGGGCAGATTTTGGGGTTTTGGGGGCATTTTGAGGGATTTGGGGTCAGTTTGGGGTTTTTTGCGCCATTTTTGGGATTTTTGCTGCAGTTTTGGAGGTTTTGAGGCACTTTCGGGGATTTGGGAATTTTTGGGGCAATTTGGAGGATTTTTGGGGCAATTTGGGGATTTTTGGAATATTTTGGCTCAGCGAGGGCGGGGCGATCCCAGGCCCCGCCCCGTGACGTAACGCATAATTAACTCCGACAACTCGATCGTTTATTGGTTGGCGATTTCGGCCCCGCGGCCAATCAGCGGCGAGGCCCCGCCCCTCCACCAATCAGGAGCAGAGGGCGGTGAAGGCCGCTCGCCATTGGCTGTCGCCCAGCAACAGCCGTGACGTCATCCGGAGTGTATCATCACGTCTAATCAGCGGCGAGGACGCGGCAGCGGCCGCTCCCATTGGACGGCGGCTGCACCAATGGGCGGCGGGGGGCGGAGCCTCGTCCTTAAAGGCGCCTCGATAATTTTGATGATTTTGATGATTTTTGGGCGATTTTGACGATTTTTGAGGTTTTTTTGATGATTTTTGGGTTGGTTTTGATGATTTGGATGATTTTTGATGATGGGACGGGTTTTCTCCAATTTTTGCAGATTTTTCTCAATTTTTCCGCCATTTCTTTCCGTTTTCCCGCCATTTTTTCCCGATTTTTCCGCTGTTTTTGCCGTTTCTTCCCATTTTTCCCGTTTTTGCCGTTTTTCAGCCCATTTTCGGCACCTACAGCTCCATGGCGGCCCAGCCCAGGATGAGCAGCTGGTTTTGATGACTTTATACCCATTTTTGCAGATTTTTTGCCCCTTTTTGCCGACTTTCAGTCTCTTTTTGCCGATTTTCCATTAATGATGATTTTTTTCCCATTTTTGCCGTTTTTCAGCCCGTTTTCGTGCCTAGATCACCATGGCGGCCCAGCCCAGGATGAGCACGTTGATTTTGATGATTTTTTTGCCCATTTTTACTGTTTTTTCACCTTTTTTTGCAGTTTTTTCGCCGTTTTTTCCGTTTTTTCAGTTTTTTCTCCATTTTTCCCGTTTTTGCCATTTTTCAGCCCATTTTCATGCCTACAGCGCCATGGCGGCCCAGCCCAGGATGAGCACGTTGTTTTTGATGATTTCTTGTCCATTTTTACCGTTTTTTTAGCCTTTTTTTGCAGTTTTTCGCCGTTTCTTCGCCGTTTTTTCCGTTTTTTTCCCGTTTTTCCCATTTTTGCCGTTTTTTGGCCCATTTTTGGTGCCTACAGCGCCATGGCGGCCCAGCCCAGGATGAGCACGTTGTTTTAGATTATTTTCTTGCCCTTTTTTGCAGTTTTTTCGCCATTTTTATGCCGTTTTTTGCAGTTTTTTCGCTGTTTTTTCCCATTTTTCCCGTTTTTGCCGTTTTTCAGCCCATTTTCGTGCCTAGAGCGCCATGGCGGCCCAGCCCAGGATGAGCAGGGAGCCCCCGAGCGGCGCCGCCGCCGCCCCCGCCGGGTCCCCGGTCAGGCCCTGCCGGTACAGGGGGGCGCAGAACAGCCCCACCCCCCCCAGCAGCAGCGCCCCCGCCTGCGGAGAATTCGGGGGGAAATCGGGGGATTTTGGGGATTTTGGGGGATTTTGGGGGATTTGGGGGCGGTTTTGGGGGGATTTGGAGGAATTTTGCGGATTTTTGGGGGATTTTGGGCGATTTGGGGGAGATTTAAGGGGATTTTGGGGGGATTTTAAGGAAATTTGGGGGATTTGGGGGATTTTGGGGGAATTTTGGGGATTTTGGGGGATTTGGGGGAGATTTGGGGGATTTTGGGGGGATTTTGGGGAATTTCAGGGAGATTTGGGGGGATTTGGGGGAATTTGGGGCATTTTGGGGAATTTGGGGGATTTTGGGGGAGATTTGGAGGGATTTGGGGATTTTGGGGGGATTTGGGGGAGATTTGGGGGATTTTGGGGAGATTTGGGGGGATTTGGGGGAGATTTGGGGGAATTGGGGGGAATTTTGGAGATTTGGGGAGATTTGGGGGGGATTTTGAGGATTTGGGGGGAAATTTGGGGATTTTGGGGGGATTTTGGGGGATTTTGGAGAATTTCAGGGAGATTTGGGGGATTTTGGGGAGATTTGGGGGGGTTTTGGGGATTTTGGGGGATTTTGGGGGGATTTGGGGAGATTTGGGGGATTTTGGGGGATTTGGAGGATTTTGAGGGATTTGGGGGAGATTGGGGGAGATTTGGAGGGATTTGGGGATTTTGGGGGGATTTGGGGGAGATTTTGGGGATTTTGGGGGAGTTTTGGAGGAGATTTGGGGGAGATTTGGGGGAGATTTGGGGGATTTGGGGGGATTTGGGGGGATTTGGAGGATTTTGAGGGATTTGGGGGAGATTTGGGGGGATTTTTAGGGAGATTTGGGGTGATTTGGGGGATTTTGGGGAGATTTGGGGAAGATTTGGGGGATTTTCGGGAGATTTGGGGGATTTGGGGGAATTTTGGCGGGATTTGGGGGAATTTTGCGGATTTTTGGGGGATTTTGGGCGATTTGGGGGAGATTTTGGGAATTTGGGGGGATTTTGGGGGATTTGGGGGGATTTTGGGAGATTTGGGGGAGATTTGGGGAATTTTGGGGAGTTTTAGGGGGATTTGGGGGGATTTTGGGGGGATTTAGGGGAGATTTTTGGGGCGATTTTGGGGCAGATTTTTGGGGTGAATCTGGGGGATTTTCGGGGTGAATTTGGGGGATTTTGGGCAGATTTTTGGGGTGATTTGAGGCAGATTTTTGGGGTGAATCTGGGGGATTTTTGGGGTGATTTTGGGGGATTTGGGGCTCACCAGGTGTGGCCGGCGGCAGTGGGGCACCGCCAGCAGGGCCAGGCTGTGCAGGAGGTGGAAGCGATTGGCGATCTCGTACAGCTGGGATGAATTTTTGGGGTGAATTTTGGGCTTTTTGGGGTTTTTGACGTTTTTTGACGTTTTTTGAGGGTTTTTTGGGGATTTTTTTGGGTTTTTTTCTCCCCTCTCCTCACTCACCTCCTTCTGATACTCGTCCCGGTCGCTGCGGCGCATTCCTGGGGGGGTGGGGGGTCAGCGACCCCCAAAATCCCCCCAAATTCCCCCAAAATCCCCCCAAACCGCCCCAAACCCCACCAAAAACCCCAAATTCCCTAAAATCCCCCCAAACCCACCCAAATCTCCCCAAACCCCCCCTAAATCCCCACAAATCCCCCCCAGGACCCCCCAAATCTCCCCAAATCCCCACATAACCCCCCCCAAATTTTCCAAAATCCCCCCCAAGCCGCCCCAAATCTCCCCCAAATTCCCCCAAATTTCCCCAAATCCCCCCAAATTTCCCAAAAATCCCCCCCGCGCCCCTTTCCCCACCGTGGGCCCCGTAGGCCGCGGCCGCCACGGCGGCGGCTCCGCTGAGCGCCCCGACCCGTCCCCACAGCGCCGCCATCGCCGCCGGCCCCGCTTCCGCTTCCGCTTCCGCTTCCGCTTCCGCCCTTCTCTTCCGCCTTCCCGCCCCTCTCATTGGCCGAGCCGCGCGTCAATCAAAGCGGCGGCGTGGCCAATGGGAGCGCGCGGAGAGGGTCCCGCCCCCTCGTGGCGCCGCCTGGTGGAGAAAAAAGGAAACGCAGCGACCCCCGGGGGGATTTGGGGGAAATTTGGGGGTTTTTGGGGATTTTTGGGGAGTTTTGGGGGAATTTGGGGGGATTTGGGGCGATTTGGGGGATTTTGAGGAGTTTTGGGGTTTTGGGGGAATTTGGGGGAATTTGGAGGTTTTGGGCTTTTTGGGATTTTCGGGGAATTTTTGGTTTTTTGCGGATTTTTGGGGATTTTTGGAGGTTTTGGGGAATTTGGGGGAACGTGGGGATTTTGGGGTTTTGGGGGGATTTGGGGATTTTGGGGGAATTTGGGGATTTTGGGGGTTTTGGGCTTTTGGGATTTTTGGGGATTTTTGGAGTTTTTGGGGGAATTTTTGGGGTTTGGGGGGTTTTCGGCTTTTTGGAGTTTTTGAGGATTTTTTTGGGGTTTTTGCGCATTTTTTGGGGAGTTTTTGGGTTTTTGGGGTTTTGGGCTTTTTGGGATTTTTGCGGATTTTTGGTGATTTTTGGCGTTTTGGGGAATTTTCGGATTTTTTGGGATTTTTGGGGATTTTTGGGGATTTTTCGGGGATTTTTTTGGGGGCCTCTGACCCCCCCCAGTGTCCATGGGGGAGAGAGGAAGAGGAGGATGAGGAGGAGGATGAAGATTTGGGGGCAATGAGGATGATGAGGATGAACAGGAGGATGAAGATGAAGATGACGATGAAGACGAAGGTGAAGATGAAGACGAAGAAGATGAGGAAGGCCGGGGTTGCTGAGGATGATGAAGAAGATGATGGGGATGAAGGCCGGGAGTGCCGGGGATGACACTGACGATGATGAGGGTGATGAGGAAGGCTGGGCGGGGATGATGATGGTGATGATGATGATGATGACAATAAAGAGGAAGGCCGGGGATGATGAAGATGATGAAGATGACGGGGATGAAGGCTGGGGGTGATGCCGAGGCTGAGGATGACGATGATGAGGATGAGGATGAGGGTGGGGAGGAAGGCCGGGGGTGCTGAGGATGATGATGAGGATGACGATGATGATGATGCTGAGGAAGGCCGGGGCTGATGAAGATGATGAAGATGACGACGGGGAGGAAAAACCAAGGGATGATGAAGATGATGACGATGATGAAGATGATGCTGAGGAAGGTCAGGGGTTCTGAGGATGAGGATGATGATGATGAAGATGAGGAAGGCCGGGGGTGCTGCCAAGGCTGAGGATGACGATGATGGGGATGAAGGCCAGGGGTGCTGCCGAGGCTGAGGATGATGAAGATGATGAAGATGAAGGCCGAGGCTGCTGCCGAGGCTGAGGATGACGATGATGAGGATGAAGATGATGCTGAGGAAGGCCGGGGCTGCTGAGGATGATGATGATGAAGATGAGGAAGGCCGTGGGTGCTGCCGAGCCCGGCGATGATGATGATGAAGATGATGATGGGGATGAAGGCCGTGGGTGCTGCCGAGCCCGGCGACGATGATGATGAAGATGATGATGAGGCTGAAGGCCGGGGGTGCTGCCGAGCCCCGGCGCTGATGACGCCGATGACGCTGACGATGATGATGAGGGTGGGGAGGAAGGCCCGGGGGCCGTCCCCCCGCGCGGCGCCGCCCCCCGGAGCAGGAGCGGGAGGAGGAGGAGGAGGAGGAGGAGGAGGAGGAGGAGGAGGAGGAGGAGGAGGAGGAGGAGGAGGAGGAGGAGGAGGAGGAGGAGGAGGAGGAAGAGGCGGCGGCTCCGGCCCGGGAGGGACCCGCGGCCGCTCCGCTCCGGCTCCTCCGGCCCCGCCATGGCCCCCCCGCCCCGGTGAGCGCCGCGACCCCCCCGCGGGGGGAGGGGAGGGTGGGGGAGGGGCGGGTGGGGGAGGGGGTGGGGGAGGGGCGGCCCAAACCCCCCCCCCCGTTTTATTTTGGGACCCCCGAATTGGGGATGGGAGGGGGATGGGGGGGGATGGTGGTGGGGGAGGGGCTCTAATTGGGGGAGGGGGGGTCGCGAACCCCCAAAACCCCCCCGGGACCCCTCCCCCACCCCCCCCAGCCCCTCCCCCCCCCCGGGATGCTCCGGAACTCCCGTTGCCACGGCGACGCTCCGGGCTCTGTTCCCATGGCAACCGTGGGGGGGGGGGGGTGGACCAGCATCCCCCCACCCCCCCCCAGACAAATTTTGGGATTTTTTGGGGGGGGGTTGGCCGAAATTTGGGATTTTTGATGGATTTTTGGGGTTTTTTTTGAGGGTTTTTTGGGGGGTTTGGGCCTGGCGGGGTCCCGGGGGGGTTCCGGGGGTCGCGGGGGGGGTTCCGGGACCCCCATCCCCCCCCCCCAACGCTGATGGTTTGTTCCGTTTCTCTCCCCCCCCCCTCCCCCCCCCCCGTTCGCCCCTCCCCATTTCCCATCGTCCCTTTGGGCCCCCTCCCCCCACCCCCCCCACTCCGCCCCTCCCCCCATCCCTGACCCGCGACCCCCCCGTGACCCCCCCCGTGGCCCCCCCAATTCTCCCGCCCCCAAAAATCCCCAATTTCCCCCAAAAATCCCCATTTCCCCCCCAAAATCCCCAATTTTCCCCAAAAATCCCCAATTTCCCCCCCAAAATCCTCATTTTCCCCAAAAATCCCCAATTTCCCCCCCAAAATCTCCAATTTCCCCCCAAAATCCCCAATTTTCCCCAAAATCCTCAATTTTCCCCCAAAATCCCCAAATTCCCCCCCCAAATCCCTAATTTTCCCCTAAAATCCCCAAATTTCCCCCAAAAATCCCCAATTTCCCCCCCAAAATCCCAATTTCCCCCCAAAAATCCCCAATTTCCCCCAAAAATCCCCAATTTCCCCCCCAAAATCCCTAATTTTTTCCCCAAAATCCCCAATTTCCCCCCCAAAAATCCCCAATTTCCCCCCCAAAAATCCCCAATTTTCCCCCTAAATTTCTCCCCCCCAAATTCCCCCAAATTTGCCCCAAATTCCCACGTTTCTCCCCCATTTCCCCTTTTCCCCCTCATTTTATCCCCCTGTAATTTCCCATTTCCCCCCAAAATTTCCTCAATTTGCCCTAAATTTACCCCAAATTTCTTTCCCATTTTCCCCAAATTTCTTTCCCCTTTTCCCCTCCATTCCCCCCCAATTTCCCCCATTTCTCCCCAATTTTCTCTTCCCCTTTTCCCCCGAATTTCCCCCAAATTTTCCCCATATTTCCTCCCCATTTTCTGCTATTTCCCCCAAATTTCATCCTCATTTCCCCCAATTTCCCCCATTTTCCCCCATTTCCCTCCATATATCCCCCCAAATTTCCCCCATTTCCCAAAATTTCCCCAAAATTTCCTCCCCATTTTCCCCAATTCCCCCCAAATTTCCCTCCATTTCCCCCCAATTTCCCCCCAAATCTCCCCCATTTCACCCCAAATTCCCTCTAAATTTTTCCCCATTTTTTCCCCAAATTCTGTCCAAACTTTCCCCCTATTTTTCCCCAATTTCCCCCCATTTCCCCCCAAATTTCACCCCAATTCCCTCCAAACATCCCCCCATTTTCTCCCCCATTTTTTCCTCATTTTTCCCACATTTTTTCTCCCAATTTCCCCCCATTTCACCCCAAATTCCCTCCGAATTTCCCCCCATTTTCTCCCACATTTTTTCCCCATTTCCCCCCAAATTTCCCCCAAATTCCCTCCAAACTGTCCCCATTTTCTCCCCCATTTTCTCCCCCATTTTTTCCCCAATTTCCCTCCAAATTTTCCCCAAATTTCCTCCTTTTCCCCCCAAATTTCCCCCATTTCTCCCCCATTTCTCCCCCATTTTCTCCCCCATTTCCCCATTTCTTTCCCCAATTTGTCCCAAATTCGCCCCAAAATTTCCCCCCTTTTTCCCCCAATTTCCCTCCAAATGTCCCCCCATTTTGTCCCCCATTTTCCCCATTTTTCCCCCAATTCCCCCATTTCTCCCCCATTTTTTCCCCAATTTCCCCATATTTCCCATCATTTCTCCAAAATTCCCTCCAAATTTCCCTCCATTTTCTCCCCCATTTTCTCCCCCATTTTCCTCCATTTTTTCCCCAAATTCCCTCCAAATTTTCCCCATTTTTTCCCCATATTCCCTCCAAACTTCTCCCCATTTTGTCCGCCATTTTTCCCCCAATTCCCCCCATTTCCCTCCAAATTTCCCCCAAATTTTCCCCCATTTCCCCCCAATTTCCCTTCAAATTCCCCCCATTTTCTCCCCCATTTCCCCCCGATTTCTGCCAAATCTCCCCCCATTTCTCCCAAATTTCCTGCCATTTCACCCCAAATTCCCTCCAAATTTTACCCCATTTTTTCCCCAATTTTCCCCCATTTCCCCCCAATTCTCTCCGAATTTCCTGCCATTTTCTCCCCCATTTTTAACCATTTTCCCCCCCAAAATCCCCTTTTTTCCCCCAAAATCCTCCCCCAAATTCCCCCCAACAGCCCCCCATCCTCCCTCCCCCCCCTCCCCTCCCCATAACCCCTTCCCCTTTCCCCTCCCCCCCTTTTCCCCTTTCCCCTCCCCCACCATGCCGCCCCCTTTGCCCCTGGCGCTGTTTGTGGCACTTTGGGTCGTCCATTCCTCCTCCGTCCACTCCTCCGGTCACTCTCCGGACCCTCCCGGTGGTCCCGGTGGAGGTTCTGGTGGTCCCGGTGGTGGTGTTGGTGGTCCTGGTGGAGGTTCTGGTGGTGCCGGTGCCGGTTCGGAGCCGGACCCGCGTTTCCCGGTGGTGCCGACGCAGTACGGCCGGTTGCGCGGCGCGCGCCGCGACCTGTCCAACGAGCTGCTGGGCCCGGTGCAGGCGTTCCTGGGGGTCCCGTACGCGGCGCCGCCGCTCGGCCCGCGCCGCTGGGCGCCCCCCGAAGCCCCCGCGGCCTGGGGGGGCGTCCGGGACGCCACGGCCTTCGCCCCCGCCTGCCCCCAGAACCTGCGCGCCGGGCCCCCCCCGCTGATGCTGCCGCTCTGGCTCAGCGACAACCTGGAGGCCGCCGGCGCCTACGTGGCGGCGCAGAGCGAGGATTGTCTCTACCTGAACCTCTACGTGCCCACCGAGGACGGTAAATTACCTGTGACATACCTGGGGACAGGTGTGACACACCTGGGGACATGTGGGATACACCTGGGATGGGTGGGATGGAGCTGGGGATGGGTACGTGGCGGCGCAGAGCGAGGATTGTCTCTACCTGAACCTCTACGTGCCCACCGAGGACGGTAAATTACCTGTAACACACCTGTGACACACCTGTGACACACCTGGGGACAGGTGGGATAGGTGGGACATACCTGGGATGGAGCTGGGTGTGAGTTTGGGGTGATGCAGAGCGAGGATTGCCTCTACCTGAACCTCTACGTGCCCACCGAGGACGGTAAATTACCTGTAACATACCTGTGACACACCTGTGACACACCTGGGGACAGGTGGGATGGGTATGACACACGTGGGGATGGGTACGTGGCGGCGCAGAGTGAGGATTGTCTCTACCTGAACCTCTACGTGCCCACCGAGGACGGTAATGACACACCTGGGCACACCTGGGCACACCTGGGGATGGGTGGGATATACCTGGGGACATGTGGGACACACCTGGGATGGACTCAGGGGTGGGTATGGGGCGATGCAGAGCGAGGATTGTCTGTACCTGAACCTCTACGTGCCCACCGAGGATGGTAATGATACACCTGGACAGGTGTGACACACCTGTGACACACCTGGGGACACCTGGGATATACCTGGGGATGGGTATGGCACACCTGGGGATGGAGCCAGGGATGGTTCTGGGGTGGTGCAGAGCGAGGATTGTCTCTACCTGAACCTCTACGTGCCCACCGAGGACGGTAATGACACACCTGGGCACACCTGGGGACACCTGGGCAGGTGTGACACACCTGGGGACATGTGGGACACACCTGGGGATGGGTGAGATGGAGCCAGGATTGGGTATGTGGCGGCGCAGAGCGAGGATTGCCTCTACCTGAACCTCTACGTGCCCACCGAGGACGGTAATGATACACCTGGGCAGGTGTGACACACCTGGGGATAGGTGTGATACACCTGGGGACATGTGGTATATACCTGGGATGGATGGGGATGGGTACGTGGCGGCGCAGAGCGAGGATTGTCTCTACCTGAACCTCTACGTGCCCACCGAGGATGGTAAATCACCTGGGGACAGGTGGGATACACCTGGGACACACCTGGGGATACCTGGGGATGGGTGGGATGGAGCTGGGTGTGAGTCTGGGGTGAGGATTGTCTGTACCTCAACCTCTACGTGCCCACCGAGGACGGTAAATGCACACCTGGGCACACCTGGGCACACCTGGGCACACCTGGGCAGGTGGGGATGGGTATGGCACACCTGGGGATGGGTACGTGGTGGTGCAGAGCGAGGATTGTCTGTACCTGAACCTCTACGTGCCCACCGAGGACGGTAAATTACCTGTGACACACCTGGGGACAGGTGTGATACACCTGGGGACATGTGGGACACACCTGGGGATGGGTACGGGGTGATGCAGAGCGAGGATTGTCTGTACCTGAACCTCTACGTGCCCACCGAGGACGGTAATGATACACCTGGGCAGGTGTGACACACCTGGGGACACACCTGGGCACACCTGGGATAGGTGTCACACACCTGGGACACACCTGGGGATGGATGGGGATGGTTCTGGGGTGGTGCAGAGCGAGGATTGTCTGTACCTGAACCTCTACGTGCCCACCGAGGACGGTAAATCACCTGTGACACACCTGAGATACACCTGGGGACATGTGGGATATACCTGGGACACACCTGGGGACAGGTGAGGGACAAGGACACACCTGGGGCACACCTGGGGACACCTGGAACACACCTGGGGACAGGTGAGTCACACCTGGGGCACACCTGGAACACACCTGGGGACAGGTGAGGGACAAGGACACACCTGGGATACACCTGGGGACACCTGGGGACAGGTGAGTCACACCTGGTGCACACCTGGGGACAGGTGAGGGACAAGGACATACCCGGGGCACACCTGGGGACAGGTGAGTCACACCTGGGGACATGTGGGACACACCTGGGAACAGGTGAGGGACAAGGCCACACCTGGGACACACCTGGGGACACCTGGGACACACCTGGGGACGGGTGATGGGGTGGGAATGGCGGCGGCGGGCGTGGCTATGCAAATGAGGCACGACCAGGTGAGAGGGGCGTGGCCAGCCCCGCCCAGGTGAGGACGGGAATGGGGCAAAAAAGGAGAAAATCGGAGCAAAATGGGGAAATTGATGGAAAAATGGGGACATGGAGGGGAGGGGCGGCTCTGTCACCAAAATGGGGAGAAAAAAGCGAATTTTGGGCAAAGTTTGGGGGAAAAATCAAAAATCGGGCGGAAAATGGGGAAATTGGGAAATGGGGCGAAAAGCGCCAAATTTGGGCAAATCGGGGGCGGGGAAGCCCCTCCCCCCACCGGAGCCGAGGCCCCGCCCACAATCCATGGCCCCTCCCCCACCTTAGGGGTCACCGTGTCCATTTGTCCACTCAATGTCCACTCAGTGTCCATTTGTCCACTCAATGTCCACTCAGTGTCCACTCAATGTCCATCTGTCCACTCAATGTCCACTCAATGTCCACTCAATGTCCATTTGTCCACTCAATGTCCACTCAATGTCCATCTGTCCACTCAATGTCCACTCAATGTCCACTCAATGTCCATTTGTCCACTCAATGTCCACTCAGTGTCCATTTGTCCACTCAATGTCCACTCAGTGTCCACTCAATGTCCACTCAGTGTCCACTCAATGTCCATCTGTCCACTCAATGTCCACTCAATGTCCATCTGTCCACTCAATGTCCACTCAATGTCCACTCAATGTCCATTTGTCCACTCAATGTCCACTCAATGTCCACTCAATGTCCACTCAATGTCCATTTGTCCACTCAATGTCCACTCAATGTCCACTCAATGTCCACTCAATGTCCATTTGTCCACTCAGTGTCCACTCAGTGTCCACTCAATGTCCATTTGTCCACTCAATGTCCACTCAATGTCCACTCAGTGTCCACTCAGTGTCCACTCAGTGTCCACTCAATGTCCATTTGTCCACTCAATGTCCACTCAATGTCCACTCAATGTCCACTCAATGTCCACTCAATGTCCACTCAATGTCCACTCAATGTCCATTTGTCCACTCAGTGTCCACTCAATGTCCACTCAATGTCCATTTGTCCACTCAATGTCCACTCAATGTCCACTCAATGTCCACTCAATGTCCACTCAATGTCCATTCCTCCGTCCATCCCAACCCCATCCCGACCCCTCCCGGCCCCATTTTTTGGGGCCATTTTCCCATTTTTTGGGTCATTTTTTGGGCCATTTTCCCCTTTTTTGCTCTATTCCCCATTTTTTTGGGGCCATTTTCCCATTTTCGGCCATTTTCCCATTTTTGGGGCCATTTTCCCATTTTTTGGGCCATTTCCCAATTTTTTGGCCATTTTCCCATTTTTTGGGCCATTTCCCCATTTTTTCGGCAATTTTCCCATTTTTTCGGCCATTTTCCCATTTTGGGCCATTTTCCCATTTTTGGGCCATTTCCCCTTTTTTCTCGGCCATTTTCCCATTTTTTGGGCCATTTTTTTTGGCCATTTTCCCATTTTTGCTCCTCTCCCGTTTTTTGAACCCTTTTCCCATATTTTTTGGGCCATTTTCCCATTTTTCCCCCTTTCCCGTATTTTTTCCATTTTCCCATTTTTTGACCCTTTTTTCCCATTTCTGCCCATTTTCGGCCATTTTTTCCCCCTTTTCCCCTCCCCGTATATTTTTAATTTTTGACGCCACCTCAACCTTCCAACTTTTCATTTTTTTGGGCAAATTTTTCCCTTTTCCCCCCAAATTTTTTTCTTTTTTTAAATTTTTTTTCTCTCTCCCCCCCCCACGTCCCCGACCCCATTTTCGCTCCTTTTGGCCCCAAAATTTTTCCTCTTTTTCTTTCCTCGGTCCAGGTTTGCTCGGCAAAAAGCGCGAGGACGGCGCGGCCGGCGGCCCCCCCCCGGACTCAGGTAGATTTTGCTGCATGTTTTGGGGCAAATTCCGCCTTTTTTGGGTCTTTTTCTCTTTCCTTTGTTTTTGGTTCTTCCCCCCCTTTTTTTTGGTTTTTTTTTTTGTTTTTTTGTTATTTTTCCCCTCCCCCCTTTCCCCTCCCCCACCCCAAATCTCCACGGGGAGGGGGGAGGGGGTGTGGAAAATTTTTATTTTTTGGGGATTTTTTGGCGTTTTTTGGTTCTTTGCTGAATTTTTTTTTTTTCCCGGGGGGGTTTTTGGTTCTTTTTGGTTTTGTTGTTGGTTTTTTTTTGGTTTTTTTGGTGTTTTTTTGGCTTCTTTGCGGGGGGGGGAGGTTCGGGGGAGTTTTTTGGTTTTTTGGTTTTTGTTTTTTTGGTTTTTTGGTTGTTTTTTTTTTTGGTGTTTTGGTGGTTTTTTGGGTTTTTTTCTGGTTTTTTGGACGCCCCTCCCCCTCCCCATGTCCCCCCCCCCATTGTCCCCAAGGGGGGTGACACGTTACCATGGAAACGGCCCCCAAAAAATGCGCACCCCTCCCCCCCCGTGACCCCAAAGTGACCCCAAAGTGACCCCAAAGTGACCCCAAAGTGACCCCAAAGTGACCCCAAAGTGACCCCAAAGTGGCTCTGACCCCCCAAAAAAAATCCAGCCGGTGACCTTTGACCCCGTGGTCACCTCCCAGCCACCCCTGGGGTGACATCGGGGGTGTCCCCAAATCTGGGGGGGGGTCCCAGGGGGTGTCCCCAAAATTTGGGGGTGTCCCAAAGGTGTCCCCAAATGTCCCCTCAGTGACCCCTCAGTGACCCCTCAATGACCCCATGATGTCCCCAAAGTGTCCCCTGCCCTGATGTCCCCAATGTCCCCAAATCCCCCCAATGTCCCCAACCCCCCCAATGTCCCCAATGTCCCCAATCCCCCCAATGTCCCCAATGTCCCCAATGTCCCCAATGTCCCCAATGTCCCCAATGTCCCCAATGCCCCCAATGTCCCCAATGTCCCCAATGTCCCCAATGCCCCCAATGTCCCCAATGCCCCCAATGTCCCCAATGTCCCCAATGTCCCCCCAATGTCCCCAATGTCCCCAATGTCCCCAATGTCCCCAATGTCCCCGATGTCCCCAATGTCCCCAATGTCCCCAATGTCCCCAATGTCCCCAGACATCCGTGACAGCGGGAAGAAGCCGGTGATGCTGTTCCTGCACGGCGGCTCCTACATGGAGGGCACCGGGAACATGTTCGATGGCAGCGTCCTGGCGGCCTATGGCAATGTCATCGTTGTCACCATGAACTACCGGCTGGGCGTCCTCGGTGAGGGACACGGGACATTGGGGACATTGGGGACATTGGGGACATTGGGGGCATTGGGGACATTGGGGGCATTGGGGGGATTGGGGACATTGGGGACATTGGGGACAATGGGGGGATTGGGGACATTGGGGACATTGGGGACATTGGGGACACTGGGGACATTGGGGGGATTGGGGACATTGGGGACATTGGGGACATTGGGGACATTGGGGACATTGGGGACATTGGGGACATTGGGGGGGTTGGGGACATTGGGGACATTGGGGACGTTGGGGGCATTGGGGACGTTGGGGACATTGGGGACATTGGGGACATTGGGGACATTGGGGACATTGGGGGGGTTGGGGACATTGGGGACATTGGGGACATTGGGGGGTTGGGGACATTGTGTGTCCTGGACGTGTCCCCAGTGTTCTGGCACCATGTCCCCAATGTCCCGGTGGTGTCCCCAACATCTCCATGATGTCCCCAAATGTCCCCTGGGTGTTCCCTGGGTGCCCCAAACATATCCTCAACGTGTCCCCTGGCTATCACCAAATGTCCCCAAATGTCCCCCATGTGTCCCCAAATGTCCCCAAATGTCCCCCATGTGTCCCCAAATGTCCCCAAATGTCCCCTGGATATCCCAAAGTGTCCCCCGGGTGTCCCCAACGTCCCTGGGTGTCCCCTGGGTGTCCCCAAATGTCTGCAACTGTCCCCAGTGTGTCCCCAACTGTCCCCTGGGTGTCCCCTGGGTGTCCGCAACGTCCCCGGCCGTCCCCTGGGTGTCCCCAACATGTCCCCAACATCCCCCGGGTGTCCCCAAATGTCCCGAAATGTCCTGTGGGTGTCCCCTGGGTGTCCCCTGGGTGTCCCCAAATGTCCCCTGGGTGTCCCTGGTGGTGTCTCCAACGTCCCCGGGTGTCCCCTGGGTGTCCTCAAGTGTCCCCTGGGTGTCCCCAAGTGTCCCCAACATGTCCCCGTGTGTTCCCAACGTCCCCGGGTGTCCCCAAATGTCCCCAAATGTCCTCTGGGTGTCCCCCGGGTGTCCCTGGTGGTGTCCCCAACTGTCCCTAAGTGTCCCCAAATGTCCCCAAGAGTCCCCCAAATGTCCCCAAATGTCCCCAACGTCCCTGGCTGTCCCACAGCTGTCCCCTGGGTGTCCCCTGGGTGTCCCCAACGTCCCTGGCCGCCCCCAAGTGTCCCCGTGTCCTCTGGGTGTCCCTGGTGGTGTCCCCAAATGTCCCGAAGCATTCCCTGGGTGTCTCAAACATGTCCCCAAATGTCCCCCGAGTGTCCCTGGTGGTGTCCCCAACGTGTCCCCAACTGTCCCCAATGTCCCTGGGTGTCCCCTGGGTGTCCCTGGTGGTGTCCCGCACATGTCCCCAACGTGTCCCCAAGTGTCCCCAAGTGTCCCCCAATGTCCCCAAATGTCCTCTGGGTGTCCCAAAATGTCCCCTGGGTGTCCCCTGGGTGTCCCTGGTGGTGTCCTGCACATGTCCCCAAGTGTCCCCGGCTGTCCCCAAGTGTCCCCAACGTCCCCTGTCCGTCCCCAGGGTTCCTGAGCACGGGGGACCAGGCGGCCAAGGGGAACTACGGGCTGCTGGACCAGATCCAGGCGCTGCGGTGGCTGCACGAGAACGTCGGCAGCTTCGGCGGCGACCCGCAGCGCATCACCATCTTCGGCTCCGGCGCCGGCGCCGCCTGCGTCAGCCTGCTCATCCTCTCCCACCACTCCGAAGGTAGCGGGGCGGGAGATCCCAGATCCTGAATCCCGAATCCTGAATCCCGAATCACAAATCCCAGATCCCGAATCCCGAATCCTGAATCCCGAATCCCAAAGCCCAAATCCCAGATCCCGAATCCCGAATCCTGAATCCCAAATCCCAAATTCCGAATCCCAAAGCCCAAATCCCAGATCCCAAAGTCCAAATCCCAAAGGAACAGACCTGGGAGTGAAATCCCAAATCCCAAATCCCAAATCCCAAATTCCAGATCCCAGATCCCAGAGCCTAAAGCCCAAATCCCGAATCCCAAAGCCCAAAGCCCAAATCCTGAATCCCAAATCCCGAATCCCAGATCCCAAATCCTAAATCCCAAATCCCAAATCCCAGATCCCAGATCCCGAATCCCAAAGCCCAAATCCCGAATCCCAAATCCCGAATCCCAAAGCCCAAATCCCGAATCCCAAATCCCGAATCCTGAATCATGAATCCCAAATCCTGAAGCCCAAATCCCGAATCCCAAAGGAACGGGCCCGAAATTCAGCCCGGGGAGGAAATCCCAAATCCCAAATCCCGAATCCCAAAACCCGAATCCCGAATCCCGAATGACAAATCCCAAATCCCAAAGCCCAAATCCCAAAGGAACGGACCTGGGGGTGAAATCCCAAATCCCAAATCCCAAATCCCAAATCCCAGATCCCGAATCCTGAATCCCAAATCCCAAAGGAACGGACCTGGGGGTGAAATACCAAATCCCGAATCCCAAAGCCCAAAGGAATGGGCCCGGAATTCAGAGTGGGGAGGAAATCCCAGATCCCAAAGGAAACGGGCCCAAAATTCAGACCCTGGTGGGACCCCATCCCCACATCCCCCATGACCCTGATGACCCCAAACCCCTTGAGACCCTCCCAAGCCCCCCTCCCTGACCCCAAACCCTGGTGGGACCCCATCCCCACATCCCCCAGGACCCCAAACCCCCATCCCCATGACCCTGATGACCCCAAACCCTGATGGGACCCCATCCCCACATCCCTCATGACCCCAAACCCCATTCCCACGTCCCCCATGACCCCAAACCCTGGTGGGACCCCATCCCCACGTCCCCCATGACCCCAAACCCCCATCCCCACGCCCCCCACGACCCCCATGACCCCAAACCCCCAATCCTGCTGACCCTGCTGACCCCAAACCCTGGTGGGACCCCATCCCCACGTCCCCCTTGACCCCAAACCCTGGTGGGACCCCATCCCCACATCCCCCATGACCCTGATGACCCCCATCCCCACATCCCCCATGACCCCAAAGCCCCATCCCCACGCCCCCCACGACCCCAAACCCCCATCCCCATGACCCTGATGACCCCAAACCCTGGTGGGACCCCATCCCCACATCCCCCATGACCCCAAACCCCAATTTCCATGACCCTGATGACCCCAAACCCCCATCCCCACATCCCCCATGACCTCAAACCCCCATCCCCACGTCCCCCATGACCCCAAACCCTGGTGGGACCCCATCCCCACGTCCCCCACGCCCCCAGGCCTGTTCCAGAAGGCCATCGCGCAGAGCGGCACGGCCATCGCCAGCTGGTCGGTCAACTACCAACCGCTCAAGTACACGCGGCTGCTGGCGGCCAAGGTGGGCTGCGAGCGCGCCGACACCGGCGCCGCCGTCGAGTGCCTGCGGCGCCAACCCTTCCGCGCCCTGGTGGACCAGGACGTCCAACCCGCCCGCTACCACGTGGCCTTCGGGCCGGTGGTGGACGGCGACGTGGTGCCGGACGACCCCGAGATCCTGATGCAGCAGGGAGAGTTCCTCAACTACGACATCCTGATCGGCGTCAACCAGGGCGAGGGGCTGAAGTTCGTGGAGGACTCGTTGGAGAGCGAGGACGGCATCTCGGCGTCCTACTTCGACTTCACCGTCTCCAACTTCGTGGACAACCTCTACGGTTACCCCGAGGGCAAAGACATCCTGAGGGAAACCATCAAGTTCATGTACACCGACTGGGCCGACCGCGACAACGGCGAGATGCGGCGCAAGACGCTCTTGGCGCTCTTCACCGACCACCAGTGGGTGGCGCCGGCGGTGGCCACGGCCAAGCTGCACGCCGAGTACCAATCGCCGGTTTATTTCTACACCTTCTACCACCACTGCCAGACGGACGCGCGGCCCGAGTGGGCGGACGCGGCGCACGGCGATGAGATCCCCTACGTCTTCGGCGTGCCCATGGTGGGCGCCACCGATCTCTTCCCGTGCAACTTCTCCAAGAACGACGTCATGCTCAGCGCCGTCGTCATGACCTACTGGACCAACTTCGCCAAGACGGGGTGGGTGGGGGGCGGGGCAGGGGTGGGGTCAACCGTTGGGTCAGTTGGGTCAATGGTTGGGTCAATTGGGTCAGTTGGGTCAATGGTTGGGTCAATAGGTCAATGGTTGGGTCAGTTGGGTCAATTGGTCAATCGTTGGGTGGGTGGTCAACGGTTGGGTCAATAGTTGGGTCATATGGGTCAACGGTTGGGTTGGTGGGGTCAACAGTTGGGTCAACTGGTCAACAGTTGGGTGGGTGGTCAATGGTTGGGTCAGTTGGGTCAATGGTTGGGTCAGTTGGGTCAATGGTTGGGTCAATAGTTGGGTCAGTTGGGTCAATGGTTGGGTCAATGGGTCAACAGTTGGGTGGGTGGTCAACGGTTCAGTCAATTGGTCAATTGTTGGGTCAATTGGGTCAATGGTTAAGTCAGTTGGTCAATGGTTGGGTCAATTGGTCAATGGTTGGGTCAACTGGTCAATGGTTGGGTCATTTGGGTCAACAGTTGGGTCAGTTGGGTCAATGGTTGGGTGGGTGGTCAATGGTTGGGTCATTTGGGCCAATAGTTGGGTCAATGGTTGGGTCAATTGGTCAATGGTTGGGTCAGTTGGTCAATGGTTGGGTCAATTGGTCAATGGTTGGGTCAGTTGGGTCAATGGTTGGGTCAGTTGGGTCAATGGTTGGGTCAATTAGTCAACGATTGGGTCAATTGGTCATTGATTAATTGATCAGTCAATTAATAGGTCAGTTGGTCAATTGGTCAATTGGTCAGTTGGTGAATTGACCAATTGGTCAGTTGATCAGTTGGTCAGTTGGTCATTTGGTCATTGGTCAATTGGTCACTTTGTCAATTGGTGAATTGACCAATTGGTCAGTTGGTCATTGGTCAATTGGTCAGTTGGTCAAATGGTCAGTTGGTCAGTTGGTTAATTGGTCATTGGTCAGTTGGTCATTGATCAGTTGGGCAGTTTGGGAATTGGTCATTTGGTCAATGGGTCAGTTGGATCAACTGGTCAACTGGTCAATTGGTCAATTGGTCAATTGGTCATTGGTCAGTTGGTCAATTGGTCAGTTGGGTCAACCAGTCAATTGATCATTGGTCAGTTGGGTCAACTGGTCAATTGGTCAATTGGTCATTGGTCAGTTGGTCAATTGGTCAGTTTGTGAATTGGTCACTTTGTCAATTGGTCAATTGGTCAGTTGGTCATTGGTCAGTTGGGTCAACCAGACAATTGATCATTGGTCAGTTGGGTCAACTGGTCAATTGGTCATTGGTCATTGGTCAATTGGTCAATTGGTCAGTTGGTCAATTGGTCAGTTGGTCAATCGGTCAGTTGGTCAGTTGGTCACCCCCCCGTCCCCCCGCAGGGACCCGAACCAGCCGGTGCCGCAGGACACCAAATTCATCCACACCAAACCCAACCGCTTCGAGGAGGTGGTTTGGACGCGCTTCGACGGCAAAGACAAGCGTTACCTGCACATCGGGCTGAAGCCGCGCGTGCGCGACCACTACCGCGCCAACAAGGTGGCGTTCTGGCTGGAGCTGGTGCCGCACCTCCACAACCTCCACCAGCTGCCCCACGCCTCCACCACCACGCGGTTACCGCCGCCGCCGGGGCCCCCGCGCCGCCCCGCGCCCACGCGCCGAACGGCGACGCCGGTGACGCCGCCGCAACGCCGCGACGACGATGAGGACGACGACGATTCGGACGGGCGCCGGCGTTTCGCGCCGTTCCCCGGCGACTCGCGGGACTACTCGACGGAGCTCAGCGTGACGGTGGCGGTGGGCGCGTCCCTCCTCTTCCTCAACATCTTGGCCTTCGCCGCGCTCTACTACAAGCGGGACAAGCGGCCGGAGCCGCCGCGCGGTTTCGGCACCGCGCCGCCCAACGATCTGCTGGGCCGGCGCCGCGACGAGGAGCCGCCGGTGCTGCCGATGAAGCGTCCCGGTGTCGGCGGCGTCGCCGGTGAGGCGGTGGCGGCGGTGGCGGGACCCCCGGACTACGCGCTGGCGCTGCGGCGCGCCCCCGAGGACGCGGCGCTGCTGCCGCCGCCGCCGCCGCCGCCACCCGGTGCCGCCGCTGCCGGTGCCGCCGGCGTGGCGCTGCTGCCGGGGGGGGGAGGGGGCCTGACGGGGGCGCTGCACCACTTCGGGCCCCCCCCCCCCCCAGAACAGCGCCCCTCCCCCCCTCCTGCCCCACCCCCACTCCACCACGCGGGTATAGGGGGGGGAGGGGAGGGGGAGGGGTGGGGGAGGGGTGGGGAGGGGTGAGGGAGACCCCAGAGCGATGGGAAATGGGGCGGCCCCTCCCCCACTTGGAAATGGGGGTGCCCCTCCCCCACCTTAAAATGGGGGAGCCCCGCCCCCACACGGAAATGGAGGTGCCCCTCCCCCACACTGGAATTAGGGGGGCCCCTCCCCCACACTGTAAAATGGGGGAGCCCCTCCCCCCAACCGCCCCTCCCCCACCTTAAAATGGAGGCGCCCCTCCCCCACACTGGAAAATAGGGGGGTGCCCCTCCCCCACACTGGGAAATGGGGGGGCCCCTCCCCCAGTGGGAAATGGGGGTGCCCCTCCCCCCACCTTAAAATGGAGGAGCCCCTCCCCCACACTGGAAAATGAGGGGGAGCCCCTCCCCCACACAGAAATGGGGGGGCCCCTCCCCCACACTGGAAAATGAGGGGAGCCCCTCCCCCCACCCACCCCTCCCCCACCTTAAAATGGGGGTGCCCCTCCCCCACACTGGAATATGGGGGGGCCCCTCCCCCACCCCCAAAAATCGCCGCCCCCCCCCCAAAAAAACCACCAATGGCCCCTCCCCCACCCCCCCCAAAAAATCAGGGGGGGACCCCTCCCCCACCCCAACCCCCTCCGCCCCACCCCCACCCCGTGGACACTTTGGGGGTGCTGAGCTGCGCATGGGGACCCCTCCCCCACCCCGGGGACCCCTCCCCCACCCCGGGGGCCCCTCCCCCACCCCACCCTCCCTGCGCCCCTCCCCCACCCCGTGGACACTTTGGGGGGTGCTGAGCCGCGCATGGGGACCCCTCCCCCACCCCGGGGGCCCCTCCCCCACCCCGGGGGCCCCTCCCCCACCCCGGGGACCCCTCCCCCACCCCGGGGACCCCTCCCCCACCCCCCCAAAAACCACAAAATCCCGCATGGGAACCCGCCCCTCCCCCACCCCGCCCCAGGCAGGAATTCAGGGGGGAGGGGGGAGGGGTCGCCCCTCCCCCACCGCCCCTCGACCCCCCCCAAAATAAAAATTGGGGGGTGGGGGAGGGGCGGCCGCTGCATGAGGCAAAATCCGCCCAAAAAACCCCCAAAAAAAACCCAAAAAAACCCCAAAAAATGGGAATTTTTAGGGGGGGGTCCCCTCCCCCCCCCGCCCCTCCCCCACCCCAAATTTTCCCCAATTTTGGGTTTTTTCGCCTCTTTTTTCCCCCGTTCAAAAACGAATTTGTGCCAAACGTGGGGGAGGGGCGGGGGTCCCCTCCCCCTCCCCCCCCCAAATCTTTGCTGCCCCTCCCCCCCCAAAAAACGCCGTGACCTTTGACCCCGCGGTTGCCATGGAGACGCCCCTCCCCCCCCTTCCCCCACCGCCCCTCCCCCACCCGAGAGTTTCTATTTTTATTCCCGAATTTTGGGGGGGGGGAGGGGAGGATTTGGGGGTGGGGGGAGGGGCGGGGGGGGAGGGGCGGCCCCGGGGGCGTTTTTAGGAAAAAAAAAACCCAAAAAGGGACAAAAAAACCGAAAGAAAAAGAGACAAAAAAAAAAAAAGTTTAAAAAAAACCAAAAATGGAAAAGGCGGAATTTGTGTGAGGGGGCGGGGCCGGAACTGGGATGAACTGGGATGGACTGGGAGGGCTCAAAATGGGACTGGGACCAACTGGGATTGAACTGGGAGGGGACTGGGAGGGAACTGGGAGGGACTGGTAGGGACTGGGATAAACTGGGATGGACTGGGGGGAACTGGGATTGAACTGGGATAAACCGGGAGGGGACTTGGATAAACTGGGATGGACTGGGATGAACTGGGAGGGCTCAAAATGGGACTGGGACAAACTGGGAGGGACTGGGATGAAACTGGGACCAACTGGGATAAACTGGGAGGGAACTGGGACCAACTGGGATTGACTGGGATAAACTGGGATAAACTGGGAGGGACTGGGAGGGAACTGGGAGGAAACTGGGAGGGCTCAAAATGGGACTGGGACAAACTGGGATTGAACTGGGATAAACTGGGAGGGACTGGGAGGGACTGGGACAAACTGGGAGGGACTGGGAGGGACTGGGATAAACTGGGAGGGACTGGGAGGGACTGGGATGGACTGGGATAAACTGGGATGGACTGGGAGGGACTGGGATGGACTGGGATAAACTGGGATGGACTGGGAGGGACTGGGACAAACTGGGAGGGACTGGGGGGAACTGGGAGGGACTGGGAGGGCTCAAAATGGGACTGGGACAAACTGGGATTTAACTGGGATTGAACTGGGATAAACTGGGAGGGACTGGGAGGGACTGGGATGGACTGGGACAAACTGGGATAAACTGGGATAAACTGGGATGGACTGGGACCAACTGGGATGAACTGGGACAAACTGGGAGAAACTGGGAGGGAACTGGGATAAACTGGGAGGGACTGGGATGGACTGGGAGGGCTCAAAATGGGACTGGGACATACTGGGATTGAACTGGGATAGACTGGGAGGGAACTGGGACAAACTGGGAGGAAACTGGGAGGGACTGGGAGGGACTGGGATAAACTGGGAGGGAACTGGGACAAACTGGGATTGAACTGGGAGGGACTGGGATAAACTGGGACAAACTGGGTGTGCTCAGATCCACGCTCCAGACCGGTCTGAACTGGTTTATACTGGTTTATACTGGTCCATAATGCCCCAAACTGGTTTATACTGGTTTATACTGGTCCATAATGCCCCAAACTGGTCCAAACTGGTCCGAACTGGTCCGAACTGGTCCGAACTGGCGCGAACCGCTCCGCTCCGTGGGAAGGGGGCGGAGCTTCGCCCACGCCCCTCCCCCACCCCCGCGGGGCGCCTGCGCGCGCCCCTCCCCCCCCACACCGCCCCTCCCCCACCCCCGCCCCTCCCCCACCCCCTCCCGGGCTCGGCGGGACCGCGGCGGCCGCGCGCGCCCCCCGCCCCTCCCCCACCGCCGCCGACGGACGCTGCGACCCCTCCCCCACCCCCCCCGCCCCTCCCCCACCCGCGGGACGCGACCCCCCCCCAAAAATCCCCTCCCCCTCCGCGCGCGCGGCTTCGGGAAAACCCCAAAAATCCCCTCCCCCACCCCAAAAAACACCCCCCCGGCCCCTCCCCCACCCCCCAAAACCCCCCTCGGCCCCTCCCCCACCCCAAAAATCCCCCCCGGCCCCTCCCCCACCCCAAAATCCCCGCGCGCGGCTTCGGGAAAACCCCAAAAAAATCCTCCGCCCCTCCCCCACCCCCGACCCCTCCCCCACCCCGCGCGAGTCACGTGATCCCACCGCGACCCCTTAAACCCCCCAAATTTGCCCCAAATTTTCGGAAGCCCCGCCCACAACGCTGAGACCCCTCCCCCACCCCCCCTTGGGACCGCCCCCCCGAAAATTCCCAAAATTTCCCCAAAATTTCCCCCGAAAAGCCATAAAATTCCCAAAAATCTCTAAAAAATCCCCAAAAATCTCTAAAATCTTCCCTAAAATCTCTAAAAATCCCCAATTTCCCCAAAATCTTTAAAAATTCCCAAAAATCTCTAAAAATTCCCAAAAATCTCCCCAAAATTCCCAAAAAATCTGCCCCAAATCCCCCAAATCTCTAAAAATTCCCAAAATCTCTAAAAATCCCCAAATCCCCCAAATCTCTAAAAATTCCCCAAAATCTCCCCAAAATTCCTAAAAAATCTGCCCCAAAATCCCCCAAATCTCTTAAAATTCCCAAAAATCTCTAAAAATCCCCAAATTCCCCCAAAAATCTCTAAAAATTTCCAAAATCTCCCAAAATTCCCAAAAAAACCCTGAAAATCCCCAAAAATCTCCCAAATCCCCTCCAAAATCTCCCCAAAATCTCCAAAATTCTCTTTAAACCCCCAAAATTCCCCCAAAATTCTCTTTAAACCCCCCAAATTTTCCCCAAAATTCTCTTTAAACCCCAAAACTTCCCCAAAAAATTCCCGCATCCACCCCAAATTCCCAAAACTCTCAGGAAAAACCCAAACCCACCCAAAAAACCCCAAAAATCTCCCCCAAAAAAATCTGACCCCCTCAAAAAATCCCCAAAAAACCCCAAAACCCCCCAAAAAACCCCAACCCCCCCCAAAAAAATTCCACAAGACACGAAAAATCTTCTAAAAATTTTTATTTCCCCCCACACCCCTCAAAAAAAACCCCAAAAACCAAAAAATTCCTGAAAACTGCCAAAAAACCCAAGAAATCCCTAAAAAAAATCTCAGAATTCAAAAAAAAAAAATCCCAAATCCCCCCAAAAAAACCCTAAAAACACCAAAAAAAGCCCAAAAAACTCCAAAGTTCCCCCAAAATCCTTCCAGACCCTCCTGAAATTTCTTAAAACCCCAAAAAAACCCCAAAAAACCCCAAAAAAACCCCAAACCCCCCAAGTAACCCCAAAAAACCCCCAAAAAATCCCTCAACCTCTGCCAAAAAACCCCAAAAACTCCCCAAACCCCCCAAAAAATCCTCAAACCCCCCAAAAAATCCGTCCCCACAAAATCCCCCAAAAACTCCAAGAAAATCCCAAAAAACCCCAAAGTCCCCCCAAAAAACCCCAAAAAAACCCTCAAACCCTCCCAAAAATCCCGAAAAAAAGCCCGAAAAAACCTCAAAACTCCCTCAATACCCAAAAAACCCCAAAAACCCCAAAATTATGAACCCCCCCCAATAGCCCCCCAATAAACCCCAAAAGGACCCAAAAAAACCCCAAAGAAATCCCCAAAAAATCCCAAAATCCCTCAAAACCCCCAAAAACCCCAAACCCCCAAAATATCCCCAAACCCCCCAAAAAACCCTGAAAAAAACCCTAAAAATACCCAAAAAACCCAAAAACTCCCCAAACCCCCCAAAAATTCCCAAAACCGCCAAAAAAACCCCAAAAAACCTTTCGAACCCTCGCAAAAAAACCCAGAAAAACCCCCCCCAAAAATCCCAAAAAACTCCAAAAATGCCTAAAAAAATCCCCAAATCCTCTTAAAACAACCCCCCAAAACAAACCCCCCAAAAATCCCCAAAATCCCTAAAAAAAATCCCCCACAAACCCCCTAAAAAATCCCCAAAAAAACCCCAAAGAAATCCCCAAAAACCGCCCAAAAAAGCCCCCAAACTCCCCGAAAAGTCCTCCCAAAAAAATCCCAAAAAATCCCCAAGAACCCCGAAACTCCCAAACCCCCCAAAAGCCCCAAACTGCCCCAAAAACCCCTGAAAACCCCCCCAAAAAAATCCCCCAAAAAATCCCAAAAGATTCCTCAAAAAATCCCCCAAAAAATCCTAAAAAATCCCCCAAACCCTCCAAAACCCCCCAAACCCACAACCCCTCCAAAACCCCCCTAAAAAAACATCCCCAAAAAAACCCCAAAAAAACCCCCAAACTCCCCCAAAAACCCCTCCAAAGCCCCAAAAAAACCCCCCAAGAAATCCCAAAAAATTCCCTAAAAAATTCCAAAAAAATCCCAAAAAAACCCCAAAAAATCCCCAAAAAATCCCCCCAAACCCCTCAAAACTCCTCCAAAAAATCCCAAAAAAACGCCCAAAAAATCCCAAAAAATCCCCAAAAAAATCCCAAAAAAATCCCAAAAATTCCTCAAAACCCCCTCAAATCCCCCCCAAAAACCCCTCAAAACCCCTCCAAAAAGTCCCAAAAAAACCCAAAAAAATCCCCAAAACCCCCCCAAAATCCCCCTAAAAAAATCCCAAAAAATCCCCAAAAAATTCCATAAAAACCCCTCAAAACCCCCTCCAAAAAATCCCCAAAAAATCCCAAAATATCCCTAAAAGAACCCCCAAAACTCCCCCAAAAACCCCTCAAAACCCCTCCAAAAAGTCCCAAAAAATCCCAAAAAATCCCTAAAAGAACCCCCAAAACCCCCTCATATCCCCCTAAAAAAATCCCAAAAAAATCCCTAAAAAATTCCCAAAAACCCCAAAACCCCAAAAACCCCCAAACTTCCCCCAAACCCCCCAAACTCCCCCGATGGCGGCGTTGGCCTCGTCCCTGATCCGGCAGCGCCGCGGCGGCCCCCGGGACGCGCCCGCCCCGCGCGCTTCGGGCCCCGCGCGCGCCCCCGCGGCCGCTCGGCCGCCATCGCTGTGCCAGCGGCAGCTGCGCCGCCTCGTGGCCAAAGTGCGGGACTGCGGCCGCGGGCGGCGCCCCAGGGAGAAACCGCCCGGTGAGAAATGGGAAAATTTGGGAATTTTGGGGGAATTTGGGGGGATTTTATTGGGGGGTCTTGGGGGTTTTTGGGGATTTTTTGGGGATTTTTTTTGGGAATTTTTTCTGAATTTTTTCGGATTTTTTGGGGGATTTTTTTTGGGAATTTTTGAGAAATTTTTTAGGGATTTTTGGGGGATTTTTTGGGATTCTTTGGGAATTTTTTTTGGATTTTTTTAGGGTTTTTATTGGATTTTTTAGGTTTTTTGGGGGGGTTTATTTGGGGGTTCATTTGGGGGTTTTTGGGGGGTTTTTGGGGGGTTTATTTGGGGTGCGGCAGCTGCGCCGCCTCGTGGCCAAAGTGCGGGACTGCGGCCGCGGGCGGCGCCCCAGGGAGAAACCGCCCGGTGAGGAACGGGGATTTTGGGAATTTTGGGGTTTTTTGGGGGATTTTTTGGAGAGTTTTTTGGGATTTTTGTAGGGATTTTTTAGGAATTTTTTGGGATTTTTTTGGGATTTTTTTGGGGGGATTTTTTTCTGATTTTTTTTTTTTTTTGGGAATTTTCTGGGTTTTTTTTCGGATTTTTTTGGGGATTTTTTCAGGCTTTTTTTATTTTATTTTTTGGGATTTTTTGGGATTTTTGGAGGGAATTTTGGAGGGGTTTGAGAGGTTTTGGGGTAATTTTGGGATGTTTTGGGGGGCATTTGGGGGGAGGTTTGGAGACATTTGGGGGAGTTTTCTAGGGACAATTTCAGGATTTTCGGGACAATTTCTCTATTTTTGGGTCCAATTCCCATGTTTTGGGTACTAATTTTGGGGTAAATTCCTTTATTTTTGGGTATTAATTTTGGGGTAAATTCCCCTATTTTTGGGTACTAATTTTGGGTGAAATTCCCCTATTTTCGGGCACTAATTTTAGGTGAAATTCCCTTATTTTTGGGGTGTTAATTTTGGGGTAAATTCCGGTGTTTTGGGCCCTATTTTTGGCGTAAATTCCCCTATTTTTGGGCACTAATTTTGGGCTAAATTCCCCTATTTTTGGTGGTTTTTTGGGGTAAATTCCCCTATTTTTGGGTGTTAATTTTGGGGTAAATTCCGGTGCTTTGGGCACTATTTTTGGGTGAAATTCCCCTATTTTTGGGCATTAATTTTGGGGTAAATTTCCCTATTTTTGGGCACTAATTTTGGGATAAATTCCCCTATTTTTTGACACTATTTTTGGGGTAAATTCCCTTATTTTTGGGTGTTTATTTTGGGGTAAATTCCCGTGTTTTTGGGCACTAATTTTGGGATAAATTCGGGTGTTTTTGGGGTATTTAATTTGAGGTGATTTCCATATTTTTGGGTGTTAATTTTGGGGTAAATTCCGTTGTTTTCGGCACTATTTTTGGGCTAAATTCCAGTGTTTTTTGACACTATTTTTGGGGTAAATTCTGGTGATTTTGGGCACTAATTTTGGGGTAAATTCCCATATTTTTGGGCACTAATTTTGGAGTAAATTCCCTATTTTTGGGTTATTAATTTTGGGCTAAATTCCCGTCTTTTTGGCACTAATTTTGGGGTAAATTCCGGTGATTTTGGGTGTTAATTTTGGGGTAAATTCCCCTATCTTGGTCACTATTTTTGGTGTAAATTCCCGTGGTTTTGGGCACTAATTTTGGGGTAAATTCCCCTATTTTTGGGCGTTAATTTTGGGGTAAATTCCCCTATTTTTGGGCACTATTTTTGGGGTAAATTCCCCTATTTTTGGGCACTAATTTTGGGCTAAATTCCGGTGTTTTGGGGTATTAATTTTGGGCTAAATTCCCGTGATTTTGGGCACTATTTTTGGGGTAAATTCCCCTATTTTTGGGCACTAATTTTGGGTGAAATTCCCCTATTTTTGGGTGTTTATTTTGGGGTAAATTGCCGTGTTTTTGGGGTATTTAATTTGAGGTGATTTCCATATTTTTGGGTGTTAATTTTGGGGTAAATTCTGGTGATTTTGGGTGTTAATTTTGGGCTAAATTCCGGTATTTTCGGCGCAGAGCCGCAGCTGCGCGGGGCCGTGGCGCGGCTCCGGGGCGGTCACGGCCATTTCCTGCAGATGGGCCCCGACGGGCGCCTGGAGGGGACCCGCGAGGAGCCGGGCCCGGCCAGTGAGTTTTATACTGGTTTATACTGGTTTATACTGGTTTGTACTGGTTTGGGATGGGTTGGGTTTTGGGATGGGTTATACTGGGTTATACTGGGTTATACTGGTTTGGGACGGGCGCCTGGAGGGGACCCGCGAGGAGCCGGGCCCGGCCAGTGAGTTCTGTACTGGTTTATACTGGTTTATACTGGTTTGGACTGGTTATACTGGTTATACTGGTTTATACTGGTTTGTACTGGGTTATACTGGTTTGGGATGGGTTATACTGGGTTATACTGGTTTGGGATGGGCGCCTGGAGGGGACCCGCGAGGAGCCGGGCCCGGCCAGTGAGTGTCATACTGGTTTATACTGGTTTATACTGGTTTATACTGGTTTATACTGGTTTGGACTGGTTATACTGGTTATACTGGTTTGGGATGGGTTATACTGGTTTGGGACGGGCACCTGGAGGGGACCCGCGAGGAGCCGGGCCCGGCCAGTGAGTCTTACTGGTTTATACTGGTTTATACTGGTTTATACTGGTTATACTGGTTATACTGGTTATACTGGTTATACTGGTTTGGGATGGGTTATACTGGTTATACTGGGTTATACTGGGTTGGACTGGTTATACTGGTTATACTGGGTTATACTGGTTATACTGGTTATACTGGTTATACTGGTTATACTGGGTTGAGATGGGCGCCTGGAGGGGACCCGCGAGGAGCCGGGCCCGGCCAGTGAGTGTCATACTGGTTTATACTGGTTTATACTGGTTTGTACTGGTTTGTACTGGTTATACTGGTTATACTGGGTTATACTGGTTTGGGATGGGTTATACTGGTTATACTGGGTTATACTGGTTTGAGATGGGCGCCTGGAGGGGACCCGCGAGGAGCCGGGCCCGGCCAGTGAGTTATACTGGTTTATACTGGTTTATACTGGTTTGTACTGGTTTATACTGGTTTATACTGGTTTGTACTGGTTTATACTGGTTTATACTGGTTTGTACTGGTTATACTGGGTTATACTGGTTATACTGGGTTATACTGGTTATACTGGTTATACTGGTTTGGGATGGGCGCCTGGAGGGGACCCGCGAGGAGCCGGGCCCGGCCAGTGAGTCTTACTGGTTTATACTGGTTTATACTGGTTTATACTGGTTTATACTGGTTTGTACTGGTTTGTACTGGTTTATACTGGTTATACTGGGTTATACTGGGTTGGGATGGGCGCCTGGAGGGGACCCGCGACGAGCCGGGCCCGGCCAGTGAGTTCTGTACTGGTTTATACTGGTTTATACTGGTTTATACTGGTTTTTTGCCATTTTTTACCATTTTTTACCATTTTTTACTGGTTTTTACTGGTTTTTACTGGTTTTTACTGGTATTTTCCCCTCCCCAGCGCTGTTTAACCTGATCCCGGTCGGGCTCCGCGTCGTGGCCGATTGGGGTTACTGGTTTTTACTGGTTTATACTGGTTTATACTGGTTTTTATGGGTTTTTTACCATTTTTTACTGGTTTTTACCATTTTTTACTGGTTTTTACTGGTTTATACTGGTTTATACTGGTTTTTACTGGTTTTTCTCCCCCTCCCAGCGCTGTTTAACCTGATCCCGGTCGGGCTCCGCGTCGTGGCCGATTGGGGTTACTGGTTTATACTGGTTTATACTGGTTTATACTGGTTTTTATGGGTTTTTATGGGTTTTTTTCAATTTTTTTACCATTTTTTACTGGTTTTTACTGGTTTTTACTGGTTTATACTGGTTTTTACTGGTTTTCCCCCTCCCCCAGCGCTGTTTAACCTGATCCCGGTCGGGCTCCGCGTCGTGGCCGATTGGGGTTACTGGTTTATACTGGTTTATACTGGGTTTTATTAGTTTTTTACCATTTTTTAGCATTTTTTACCATTTTTTACTGGTTTTTACTGGTTTATACTGGTTTATACTGGTATTTTTCACTCCCCCAGCCCTGTTTAACCTGATCCCGGTGGGGCTCCGCGTCGTGGCCGATTGGGGTTACTGGTTTATACTGGTTTATACTGGTTTATACTGGTTTTTATGGGTTTTTGTGGGTTTTTTTCAATTTTTTACCATTTTTTACTGGTTTTTACTGGTTTATACTGGTTTTTACTGGTTTTTCCCCCCCTCCCCAGCGCTGTTTAACCTGATCCCGGTGGGGCTCCGCGTCGTGGCCATCCAGGGCACCCGCGCCGGTCGTTACGTGGCCATGAACGGCGCCGGCCTCGTCTACACCTCCGTGAGTGCCCCAAAATCCCCCAAATTCACCCCAAAAATATCCAACCTGAAAAGCCCCAAAAATCCCCCCCAAAACCCACAAAATCCACCCCGAAAACGGCAAAATCCACCCCAAAATCAAAAAAGAAAACCCAAATCCGCCCCAAAATCCCAAAATCCACCACAAAAAACATCATAAAACCCCAAAATCTACCCAAAAACCACCAAAATCCACCCAAAATATAAAAAAAACCCAAATCCAGCCCAAAATCCCAAAAATCCCCCAAATCCACCCCAAAATCCACCCCAAAATCCCAAATATCCCCAAAATCCAACCCCAAAATCCCCCAAATCCACCCCAAAATCCCAAAAAATCTCCCAAATCCAACCCCAAAATCCCAAAAATCCCAAAAATCTCCGAAATCCACCCCAACATCTTAAATTCCACCCCAAAATCCCAAAAATCCCAAAATCCCCAAAATCCACCTCAAAATCCCAAAATCCACCCCAAAATCCAACCTAAAAACCCCAAAATCCCAAATTCCACCCCAAAATCACAACAATCCCTAAAAACCCCCAAATCCACCCCAAAATCTGAAATTCCACCCAAAATCCCAAAATCCCATTAAAAAATCCCAAAATTTACCCCAAAAACCCCAAAATCCACCCCAAAAACGTCAAAATTCCCCCCAAAACCCATCCTGGGACCCCCCAAAATGCCCCCAGGTGTATCCCAGGTGTGCCCAGGTGTGCCCAGGTGTGCCCAGGTGTACTCAGGTGTGCCCAGGTGTGCCCAGGTGTGCCCAGGTGTGCCCAGGTGTACTCAGGTGTGCCCAGGTGTGCCCAGGTGTGCCCAGGTGTATCCCAGGTGTGCCCAGGTGTATCCCAGGGGTGCCCAGGTGTATCCCAGGTGTATCCCAGCTGTGCCCAGGTGTGCCCAGGTGCCCCCAGGTGTGCCCAGGTGTGTCCCAGGTGTGCCCAGGTGTGCCCAGGTGTGCCCAGGTGTGCCCAGGTGTATCCCAGGTGTGCCAGGTGTATCCCAGGTGTGCCCAGGTGTGCCCAGGTGTGCCCAGGTGTGCCCAGGTGTGCCCAGGTGTGCCCAGGTATATCTCAGGTATGCTCAGGTGTGCCCAGGTGTGTCCCAGGTGTGCCCAGGTGTGCCCAGGTGTGTCCCAGGTGTGCCCAGGTGTGCCCAGGTGTGCCCAGGTGTACCTGGCTGTATCCCAGGTGTGCCCAGGTGTGCCCAGGTGTGCCCAGGTGTGCCCAGGTGTGCCCAGGTAACTCAGGTGCCCCCACAGGTGCACTTCACCGCCGAGTGCTGCTTCAAGGAGTGCCCTGGGTGTATCCTGGGGTGTATCTCAGGTGTCCCTGGGGTGTATGTGGCTCTATCCCAGGTGTGTCCCAGGTGTATCTCAGGTGTGCCCAGGTGTATCCCAGGTGTGCCCAGGTGTGCCCAGGTGTGCCCAGGTAACCCAGGTGCCCCCACAGGTGCACTTCACCCCCGAGTGCCGCTTCAAGGAGTGCCCTGGGTGTATCTCAGGTGTACCCAACTCTATCTCAGGTGTGCCCAGGTGTGCCCAGGTGTGCCCAGGTAACCCAGGTGCCCCCACAGGTGCACTTCACCCCCGAGTGCCGCTTCAAGGAGTGCCCTGGGTGTATCCTGGGTGTACCCAGCTCAATCTCAGGTGTGCCCAGGTGTGCCCAGGTGTGCCCAGGTGTGCCCAGGTAACCCAGGTGTGCCCACAGGTACATTTTACCCCCGAGTGCCGGTTCAAGGAGTGCCCTGGGTGTCCCTGGGGTGTATGTGGCTCTATCCCAGGTGTACCTGGCTGTATCTAAGGTGTACCCAGGTGTACCCAGGTGTATCTCAGCTATGCCCAGGTGTGCCCAGGTGTGCCCAGGTAACTCAGGTGTGCCCGCAGGTGCACTTCACCGCCGAGTGCCGGTTCAAGGAGTGCCCTGGGTGTATCTCAGGTGTCCCTGGGGTGTATGTGGCTCTATCTCAGGTGTACCCAGCTCTATCTCAGGTGTATCTCAGGTGTGCCCAGGTGTGCCCAGGTAACCCCGGTGCCCCCACAGGTACATTTCACCCCCGAGTGCCGCTTTAAGGAGTGCCCTGGGTGTCCCTGGGGTGTACCCAGGTGTGCCCAGCTCCATCCCAGGTGTGCCCAGGTGTGCCCAGGTGTGCCCAGGTAACCCAGGTGCCCCCACAGGTGCACTTCACCCCCGAGTGCCGCTTCAAGGAGTGCCCTGGGTGTATCTCAGGTGTGCCCAGCTCCATCTCAGCTGTACCCAGCTGTACTCAGGTATATCCCAGGTGTGCCCAGGTGTGCCCAGGTGTGCCCAGGTAACCCAGGTACCCCCACAGGTACACTTTACCCCCGAGTGCCGGTTCAAGGAGTGCCCTGGGTGTCCCTGGGGTGTATCCCAGCTGTACCTGGCTGTATCTAAGGTGTGCCCAGGTGTGCCCAGGTGTGCCCAGGTGTGCCCAGGTGTGCCCATCTCACCCAGGTGTGCCCACAGGTACATTTTACCCCCGAGTGCCGCTTCAAGGAGTGCCCTGGGTGTCCTTAGGGCATACCCAGGTGTACCCAGCTCAATCCCAGCTGTGCCCAGGTGTGCCCAGGTGTGCCCAGGTGTGCCCAGGTAACCCCGGTGCCCCCACAGGTGCACTTCACCGCCGAGTGCCGGTTCAAGGAGTGCCCTGGGTGTATCCCAGTTGTACCTGGTTGTACCCAGCTCCATCCCAGGTGTACCCAGGTGTGCCCAGGTGTGCCCAGGTGTGCCCAGGTAACTCAGGTGCGCCCACAGGTGCACTTTACCCCCGAGTGCCGCTTCAAGGAGTGCCCTGGGTGTATCTCAGGTGTACCTGGCTGTATCTCAGCTATGCCCAGGTGTGCCCAGGTGTGCCCAGGTGTGCCCAGGTATATCCCAGGTGCACTTCACCCCCGAGTGCCGCTTCAAGGAGTGCCCTGGGTGTATCTCAGGTGTCCCTGGGGTGTATGTGGCTCTATCCCAGGTGTACCCAGGTGTGCCCAGGTGTGCCCAGGTGTGCCCAGGTGTGCCCAGGTAACTCAGGTGTACTCCCCCAGGTACACTTCACCCCCGAGTGCCGGTTCAAGGAGTGCCCTGGGTGTCCCTGGGGTGTATCCCAGTTGTACCTGGCTCTATCCCAGGTGTATCCCAGCTGTGCCCAGGTGTGCCCAGGTGTGCCCAGGTAACCCCGGTGCCCCCACAGGTACATTTTACCCCCGAGTGCCGCTTCAAGGAGTGCGTGTTCCAGAGCTCGCACGTGCTCTACGCCTCGGCGCTGTACCGGCAGCGCCGCTCGGGCCGCGCCTGGTACCTGGGGCTGGACCGGCACGGCCGCCCCATGGCCGGGCCCCGCGTGCGCAAGGACAAGGCGGCCGCGCACTTCCTGCCACAGCTGCTCGAGGGTGAGGAAATAACGAAATTTGGGGGTTTTCACCCAAAATTTGGGGGTTGGAGACAAAAAAATTGGGGGTTTTAGGACCAAAAATCCTGAATTTCTGAGCAAAAATTGGGGTTTGGGAGCCAAGAATCGGCCCCGCGTGCGCAAGGACAAGGCGGCCACGCACTTCCTGCCGCAGCTGCTCGAGGGTGAGGAAAAATATAAAATTTGGGGGTTTGAACCAAAAATCCAGGAATTAAACCCAAAATTTGTGGGTCAGAGACAAAAAAATTGGGATTTGAGGTCAAAAATTTGGGGTTTTGGGACCAAAAATTGTGGATTTGGGAGCAAAAATCAGGATCAGGGACCCAAAATTTGGGATTTGGACACAAAAATTGGGATCAGGGATCGAAAATTTTGGGATTTGGAGCCAAAATTCGGGGAATTTGACCCAAAATTTGGGGGTTTAGGGTATAAAAAATGGGGTTTGGGGCATAAAAATGGAGCATTTGGGACCGAAAATTGGAGATCAGAGACCGAAAATTGGGCTTTGCGACCTAAAATTGGGGACTTGGAACCAATATTTGGGGTTTGGGACCCAAAAATTGGGGATCAGGGATCAAAAATTTGGGGTTTGGAACACAAACATTGGGGATTTGGGTCCAAAATTTGGGGTTTGAGACACAAATTTGGGATTTGGAACCCAAAAATTGGGATCAGGGACCAAAAATTTGGATCAGGGATCCAAACTTTGGGGTTTTGGACCCAAAAATTGGGGATTTGGACCCAAAATTTGGGATTTGGACCACAAAAATTGGGATCAGGGACCCAAAAATTTGGATCAGGGATCCAAAATTTGGGGTTTTGGACCCAAAAATTGGGGATTTGGACCCAAAGTGGGGGTTTGGGAGCCAAGAATTGGGGTCGGGATGAGCAGGACAAGGCGGCCGCGCACTTCCTGCCCCAGCTGCTCGAGGGTGAGGAAAAAACCCGAAATTTGGGGAATTTCACCCAAAAATTGGGGAGCGGGGACAAAAAAAATGGGATTTGAGGTCAAAAATTTGGGGTTCTGGGGAATAAAAATTGAGGATTTGGGACCGAAAATTGGAGATCACAGACGGAAATTTGGGGTTTGGGATCCAAAATTGGGGACTTAGAACCAAAATTTGGGGACTTGGAACCAAATTTTGGGATCAGAGATCCAAAATTTGGGGATTTGGACACAAAAATCAGGGAGCGGGAAGCAAAATATTGGGGGTTTAGGGACAAAAAAACCGGTGTTTGGGACATAAAAATGGAGGATTTAGGATCCAAAAAGGGATCAGGGACCCAAAATTTGGGGGTTTGGACCCAAAATTTGGAATCAGGGATCCAAAATTTGGGGATTTGGACACAAAAATTGGGATCAGAGATCAAAAAATTGAGGATTTGGGACAAAGAAACGGGGTTCGGGACGGAAAAATTGGGATTTGGGACCCGAAAATGGGGATCAGGGACCCCAAAATTTGGGGTTTGGGACCCAAAATTGGGGTTTGGAACCCAAAAATTTGGATCAGGGATCGAAAATTTGGGATCAGGGACCCAAAATTTGGGGATTTGGACCCAAACTGGGGGTTTGGGACCCAAGAATTGGCCCCGCGTGCGCAAGGACAAGGCGGCCGCGCACTTCCTGCCACAGCTGCTCGAGGGTGAGGAAATAGCGAAATTTGGGGGATTTAACCCAAAAATTGGGGATTTTGACCCAAAATTTGGGGGTTTGAGGTCAAAAATTTGGGATTTTGGGACCAAAAATCGTGGATTTGGGACAAAGAAACAGGGTTCGGGACGGAAAAATGGTGGATTTGGGACCCAAAAATTGGAGATTTCGGACCCAAATGTTGGAATCAGGGAGCCAAAATTTGGGGATTTGGACACAAAAATTGGGGCTCGGAGACAAAAAAAGTGGGATTTGAGGTCAAAATTTTGGGGTTTTGGGACCAATAATGGTGGATTTGGGACCCAAAAATTGGGGATTTGAACCTAAAATTTGGGATCAGGGATCGAAAATTTGGGGATTTGGACACAAAATTTGGGATCAGGGACCCAAAATTTGGGGTTTTGAAGCCAAAATTTCGGATTAAGCCCCAAAATTTAGGGATGGAACCCCCGAGAGTTGGGGGGGGAATTTGGGGTGAAATTTGGGGGGGATTTCAGTGAAATTTGGGGTGAATTTTGGGGGGATTTGAGTGGAATTTTGGGGGAATTTTTGGGTGAATTTTGGGGGTATTTAAGTGAATTTTGGTGAATTTTGGGGTGAATTTTGGGGTGCTTTGGGTGGAATTTGGGGTGAATTTTGGGGTGATTTGGGTGAAATTTGGGTTGAATTTTGGGGGGAATTGGGGAGAATTTTGGGGGGATTTGGGGGAATTTTGGGGTGAATTTTGGGGCGATTTGGGTGAAATTTGGGGTGAAATTTGGGGTGATTTTGGGGTGATTTGGGTGGATTTTGGGGTGAATTTTGGGGATTTTCTCTCCACAGTGGCGCTGTACCGGGAGCCGTCCCTGCACGAGGTCGAGGAGCCCCCCGGGACCCCTCCCCCACCCGGGACCCCTCCCCCACCCCCCGATGACCTCTGACCTCGCCTGTGACCTTTGACCTCGGATCGACCCCGACCTCTCCAAGAAATGAAAACCTGCACTGAAAAATCCCCCAAAAAAGCTGAAAAAAACCCAAAAATCCCTCAAAAAACCCTGGAAAAACCCCAAAAATCCCTCCTGAAAAATCCCAGAATTGCGGCCCAAAAAACCCCAAAAAAATCCCATTAAAAAACCCCCAAAATGCCCGAAAAAAAATCCCCAAAATCCACAGAAGAAACCCAAAAAATCCCTCCGGAAAAAACCCAAAAAATCCCTCAAAAAACCCCAAAATTTCCTCACGAAAAATCCCCAAAAATCCACAGGAAAAAAACCGCAAAAAATCCCTCAAAAAAACCCCCAAAAAATCTCTCAAAAAACCCCAAAATTTCCTCACAAAAAAATCCTCAAAAATCCACAGAAGAAACCCCAAAAATCCCCCAAAAAAACCCCAAAAATCCCCCCAAAAAAATCCCCCAAAAATCCCCCCAAAAACCTGCACTGAGACCCTCTGGGAGGACCCCAAAAACCCCCAAAAAACCCAAAAAAAATCCCAAAAAAATCCCAAAATTCCCCCAAAAATTCCCCCTCGGCCACGTGGGGACCCGAGCCCCCCCCACAAGCCACGCCCCCTTTTTGTGACCACGCCCCTTTCCCTTTGGCCACGCCCCTTTTCTATGACCCCTCACTGTGCAAGCCCCGCCCCCAGAGCAATAAGCCCCGCCCCCAGAGCAATAAGCCCCGCCCCCTCGGCGAGGCCCCGCCCCCTTCTCCGCATGATTGACAGCTCGATCCCAATAAAAACCAGTTTGTACCGGTTCCAACCGCCCCGGGCTCGTTTTTGGGTCAATTTGGGGGATTTTGGGACAATTTCGGAAATTTTTTGGGGTCGGGGTCGGGATTTGTGGGTCAATTTTGGGGTTTCGGGTTCGATTTTGGGGTTTTTTGGGGTTAATTTTGGGTTTTTTGGGGTTAATTTTGGGATTTTTCGGATCTATTTTTTGATTTTTCGGATCAATTTTGGGATTTTTTGGTTCAGTTTCGGGGGTTTTGGTTCAATTTTGGATTTTTTTGGTGGAATTTTGGGATTTTGGGGTTTTGGGGTCAATTTTGGAATTTTTGGTTCAATTTTGGGGACTTTGGGTAAATTTTCGTGGTTTTAGTTCAATTTTGGAAGTTTTTCGTTCGATTTTGGGTTTGGGGGTTTTTTGGTTCAATTTTGGCATTTTTAGTTCAATTTTGGAATTTTGTAGTTCAATTTTGGAGTTTTTTAGTTCAATTTTGGAGTTTTTAGTTCAATTTTGGACTTTTTTAGTTCAATTTTTGGTTTTTTTTTTTAATTTTGGAATTTTTAGTTCAATTTTGGGTTTTTTAGTCCAATTTTGTTATTTTTTAGCTCAATTTTGGACTTTTTAAGTTAAATTTTTGGGTTTTATTTCAATTTTGAATTTTTAATCCAATTTTGTTATTTTTTAGTCCAATTTTGGACTTTTTTAGTTCAATTTTCGGGTTTTATTTAACTTTGGATTTTTGAGTCCAATTTTGGTATTTTTAGTTCAATTTTGAACTTTTTTAGTTCAATTTTGGGTTTTACTCCAATTTTGGAATTTTTAGTCCAATTTTGTCATTCTTAGTTCAATTTTGTACTTTTTTAGTTCAATTTTGGAATTTTTAGCTCAATTTTGGACTTTTTAGCTCAACTTTGGACTTTTTTAGTTCAATTTTTGGGTTATATTTCAATTTTAGACTTTTTAAGTTCAATTTTCGGGTTTTATTTCAATTTTAGAATTTTTTAGTTGAATTTTGGAATTTTTAGTCCAATTTTGTTATTTTTTACTTCAATTTTGGACTTTTTTAGTTCAATTTTTGGGTTTTATTTCAATTTGGAATTTTTAGTCCAATTTTGATCTTTTTTACCTCAATTTTGGACTTTTTTAGTTCAATTTTGTTATTTTTTAGTTCCATTTTTTTGTTTTATTTCAATTTTGAATTTTTTTCCCTCAATTTGGGAATTTCTGGTTCCGTTTGGGAATTTTTTTGGGGGGAGGGTCAATTTTGGGGGTGGGGGAGGGGCTAAAAGGGGGGGAGGGGCTGAGGGGGTGGGGGAGGGGCTTTGAGGGGTGGGGGAGGGTCAATTTTGGGGGTGGGGGAGGGGCTAAAGGGGGGTGGGGGAGGGGCTAAAAGGGGGGTGGGGGAGGGTCAATTTTGGGGGTGGGGGAGGGGCTAAAAGGGGGTGGGGGAGGGTCAATTTTTGGGGGTGGGGGAGGGGCGGCCGCAGCTGTTCCGGAAGTGGGGGAGGGGCGGAATTTCCCCTCCCCCCCCCCCCGCCCCTCCCCCACTCGGCCATGGCGGCGCTCGGAGCCCCCCGGAGCTTCCTCGGCTCCTTCATCCTCCTCCTCCTCCTCCTCCTCCTCCTCCTCCTGGAGCCCGGTACCGACCCAACCCCCCCCCCGGGAACCCCCAAAATTACCCCAAAATTACCCCAAAATTCACCCCAAAATTCCCCAAAATTCCCCAAAAATTCCCCTAAAAATCCCCTCAAAATCCCCCCAAAATTCCCCTAAAATTCCCTAAAATTCCCCAAAATTCCCCTCAAAATCCCACAAAATTCAGCCCAAAATTCCCCCAAAAATCCCCCCAAAATTCCCCTAAAATTCCTCAAAATTTCCACAAAATTCCCAAAAAATTCCCCTCAAAATCCCCTCAAAATCCTCCCAAAAATCAGCTAAAATTCCCCAAAATTTCCACAAAATTCAGCCCCAAAATCCCCTAAAATTTCCCCTAAAATTCCCCAAAATTTCCCCTAAATATCTCCAAAATTCAGCCCCAAATTCCTCCAAAATTCAGCCCAAAACTTCCCCAAAATCCCCTCAAAATTCAGCCCCAAATTTCCCCAAAATTTCCCCTAAAATTCCCTAAAATTCAGCCCCAAAATCCCCCAAAATTTCCCCAAAATCTCCCCCAAAATCCCCCCTAAATTCCCCCAAAATTCCCCCCAAAATCCCCAAAAATCCCCCCCCAAAAATTCACCCCTAAATCCCTCCAAAATTCCCCCAAAATCTCCTTTAAATTCCCCAAAATTTCCCCAAAATTCAGCCCAAAATTCCCCCAAAATCTCCCCCAAAATCACCCCAAAATTCAGCCCAAAATTCCCCCAAATCCCCCAAAAATTTCCCCAAAATCCCCCCCCAAAATTCAGCCCAAATCTCCCCAAAAATTCCCCAAAATTCAGCCCCAAAACCCCCCAAAATTCCCCAAAAATTTCCTCTCAGAATCCCCCAAAATTCCCCCAAAATTCCCCCAAAATTCAGCCCAAAATCCCCCAAAATTCCCCCCAAAATTCACCCCAAAATTCCATTTTTTTGGGAATTTAACTCCATTTATTCCATTTTTTGGTTTTTTTTTTTGCCATTTTTGATTAATTATCACTAATTAATGACTTCTAATTAATTAATTTAATTAATTACCCCCGGGGGGGGCTCTGATCTCTCCAGGTCCCTCCTGGGTCGGGTTAATTCTGTTTATTTGGGGATTTTAACGCCGTTTATTCCGTTTTTTTGGGGTTTTTGGCCATTTTTGATGAATTAATGATAATTATTGCTAATTAATGAACCAATTAATTAATTACTGCCCCCAGGGGGCTGTTCTGACCTGGCCCGGGCCCTGCTGGGTCGGGTTAATTCCGTTTATTTGGGGTTTTAATGCCGTTTATTCCATTTTTTTGGGGGTTTTTTGGCTGTTTTTTGATTAATTACTGATAATTATTGCTAATTAATTAACTAATTAATTAATTAATGACCCTCAGGAGGTTGTTCTGAGCTGGCCAGGTCCCTCCTGGGTCGGGTTAATTCGGTTTATTTGGGGATTTTAACGCCGTTTATTCCGTTTTTTTGGGGTTTTTTGCCCGTTTTTCGTTAATTATTGATAATTATTGCTAATTAATGAACTAATTAATTAATTAATGACCCCAGGGGGCTGCTCGGACCTGGCCAGGTCCCTCCTGGGTCGGGTTAATTCCGTTTATTTGGGGATTTTAACGCCGTTTATTCCGTTTTTTTGGGGTATTTTTTGCCGTTTTTTGATTAATTAATTAATAATTAATTAAGCTAATTAATTAATTACCCCCTGGGGGGGGATCTGACCTGGCCAGGGCCCTCCTGGGTCGGGTTAATTCCGTTTATTTGGGGGATTTTAACGCCATTTATTCCATTTTTTGGGGGTTTTTTGCCCGTTTTTGATTAATTACCGATAATTATTGCTAATTAATGAACTAATTAATTAATTAATGACCCTCAGGAGGCTGTTCTGAGCTCGCCAGGCACCTCCTGGGGCGGTACCGGCCGGGGGTGCGCCCCGGGGTGCCCGAGGGGGGCCCCGTGTGGGTCACGGTGGGGCTGGAGCTCAACCAGCTGATCGGCCTGGTACGGATTTGGGGGGAAAAATGGGGATTTTGGGAAAATTTGGGGATTTTGGGGGTTTTGGGGGATTTTTGGGGAAATTTGGGAAAATGGGGGATTTTTTGGGGATTTTTTTAGGATTTTTTGGAATTTTTTGGGGGGATTTTTGGGGATTTTTTGTGATTTTTTTTGGAATTTTTTTTGTATTTTTTGGGGGTTTTTTTGGGATTTTGGGGGAATTTTTTGGGATTTTTTGGGGGGATTTTTTGGGATTTTTGGGGATTTTTTTGGGGATTTTGGGGGGGATTTGGGGGATTTTTTTTGGGACTTTCTTGAGATTTTTAGGGATTTTTGGGGTTTTTTTTGGGACTTTCTTGGCATTTTTGGGTGGATTTTTGGGAATTTTTTTTTGAGGGATTTTGGGGATTTTTGGGGATTTTTTGGGGAGTTTTTGGGGGGGTTTTGGGGGATTTTTTCGTATTCTTTGGGGATTTTTTTGGGGATTTTTTTGGGGGATTTTTTGGGGAAAATTGGGGGGAAATTTGGGGAATTTTGGGAGAATTTGGGGATTTTGGGGATTTTTTTGGGAAATTCCAGAAAATTTGTGGATTTTTAGGGTATTTTGGAGGGGTTTTGGGGGGATTTTTTGGGATTTTTGGGGATTTTTTTGGAAATTTGGGGGGATTTCGGGATTTTTGGGGAATTTTAGGAGAGTTTTGGGATATTTGGGGATTTTGGGAATTTTTGGGATTATTTTGGGGTTTTTGAGGGGTTTTGGGGAGATTTGGGGAAATTTGTGGATTTTTTTGGGAATTTTGGGGGAATTTTGTGGAATTTGGGGTAATTTTGGGAGATTTTTTGGGGTTTTTTTGGTTTCTGGGTGGGGGAGGCACCAAAAATTCCCCAAATTTCCCCAAATTTCCCCAAAATTCCCCAAATTTCCCCAAAATTGCCCAAAATTCCACAGGATGAGAAGAATGAGGAGATGACGACGAAAGTTTATCTGAACCTGGTGAGAAATTCGGGAAATTTGGGAAAATTCGGGAGAATTTGGGAAAATTTGAGAAAATTTGGGAGAATTCAGGAAATTTGGGAAAAATTTGGGAAAATTCGGGACAATTTGGGAGAATTTGGGAGAATTTGGGTTTTTTGGGGTGGATTTTCATTAATTTTGGGGGTTTTGGGTTGGATTTTTGGGAATTTGGGATTGTTGGGGTTGAATTTTTGGGAATTTGGGAATTTTAATGTTGGATTTTTGGGATTTTGGGTGGATTTTGGGAATTTGGGATTTTTTTGGGGTGGATTATTGGGAATTTTGGATTTTTTGGGGTGGATTTAGGGGATTTTGGGTCGGATTTTCGGGATTTTGGGTTGAATTTGTGGGAATTTGGGATTTCTCGGGTTGGATTTTTGGAAATTTGGGATTGTTGGGGTTCAATTTTGTGGGAATTTGGGGTTTTTTGGGTGGATTTTTTTTGGGATTTGGGTTGGATTTTCGGGATTTTGTGTTGAATTTTGTGGAATTTTGTTTGAATTTATGTGAATTTGGTTTTTTTGGGTGGATTTTTTGGGATTTGGGGTGGATTTAGAGGAATTTTGTTTGAATTTGTGGGAATTTGGAGTTTTTTTGGGTTGAATTTTTTGGAGATTTGTGTCGAATTTTGTGTAATCCTGTTTTCATTTCTGTGAATTTGGGTATTTTTGGGTGAATTCCATTAAATTTTGGCATTTTTTGGCCTTTCCCCCCAGAGCTGGCGCGACCCCCGACTCTCGTGGGACCCCCGGGAGCAGCCGCGGGTGGCGGCGCTGCGGCTGCCGGCGCAGCACATCTGGCTGCCAGATGTGGGGCTGGACAACAAGTGAGGAGATTTTGGGGCAAATTCCCGAAATTTTGGGAAAATTCGGGAATTTTGGGGAAATTTTGGGTGTGTTTGGGTGGAGTTGGGGCCATTTTTGGGGGATTTTTAAGGGTTTTTTTGATTTTTTGGGAATTTTTGGGCACATCTGGCTGCCAGATGTGGGGCTGGACAACAAGTAGGGTCAATTTTGGGGCGAATTCCAGTGATTTTGGGAAAATTCGGGAATTTGGGGAAAGTTTGGGAAATTTTGGGTGGGATTTGGGTCATTTTTGAGCCATTTTTAAGGGGTTTTTTTTTATTTTTTGGGGATTTTTGGGCACAACTGGCTGCCAGATGTGGGGCTGGACAACAAGTGAGGCCGTTTTGAGGCAAAATCGGGAAATTTTGGGAAATTTCGGGAAATTTTGGGGAAAATTTGAGGGATTTTCAGGCATTTTTGGGGCATTTTTGGGGGATTTTTGGCCATTTTTGGGGGATTTTTGGGTGATTATTGGGAATTTTTGGGCACATCTGGCTGCCAGATGTGGGGCTGGACAACAAGTATGGCCAATTTTGGGGCGAATTCGGGATATTTTGGGAAAATTCGGGATTTTGGGGAATTTTCAGGGATTTTTGGGGGCATTTTTGGCCATTTTTTGGCATTTCAGGGGGAAATTTTTGGGATTTTTGGGGATTTTTAGGGGAATTTTGGGCACATCTGGCTGCCAGATGTGGGGCTGGACAACAAGTGAGGGCGTTTTGGGGTGAATTCCGGCAATTTTGGGAAAATTCGGGGTTTTTTCTTTTGGGATTTTGAATTTTTTGGGATTTTTTGGGGTGGATTTGGGGTTTTTGGGGTGGATTTGGGGTTTTTGGGGTGGATGATTTTTTTTTTGGTGGTTTTTGGGTGGGGTTTTTTTTTTGTATTTTGAATTTTTTGGGATTTTTTGGGGTGGATTTTGGTTTTTTGGGGGGAAATTTTGGGTTTCCTGGGGCAGATTTTGGGTTTTTTTGGGGTGGTTTTTTTTATTTTTGGGATTTTTGGGTGGGGTTTTTTTGGGATTTTTGGGGTTTTTTTGCCATTTGCCTTTTCAGGGATGATTTTTTTGGGGCAGATTTGGGATTTTTGGGTCAGAATTTGGATTTTTTGGGGTTCCCCAGCAACGACGGCGAGTTCGGGGTGTCTTTGGGGGTTCGGGTCAGCGTCACCCCCGACGGCGTCGTCACCTGGAGACCCCCGGCGCTCTTCCGCAGCCGCTGCCCCATCCGGGTAAAAAACGGGAATTTTGGGAAATTTGGGGGAATTTGGGAAAATTGGGGAGAAATTTGGGGGAATTTTGGGTGGAATTTTGGGGAGATTTGGGGGAAATTTGGGGATTTTTGGGGGGATTTTCTGGGAATTTGGGGGGAATTTGGGGGAGATTTGGGGGGATTTGGGGGGATTTTTGGGAAATTCCGAGGAAATTTGGGGGATTTTGGGGGATTTTGGGGGATTTTGAGGGAATTTTGGGGATTTTTGGGAATTTGGGGGAGTTGGGTGCAGACCCCCGGCGCTCTTCCGCAGCCGCTGCCCCATCCGGGTAAAATTTTGGGAATTTTGGGGGATTTTGGGGGAATTTGGGGAAATTTGGGGGATTTTTGGAAAACTGGGGAGAAATTTGGGGATTTTTTGGGGGGATTTTCAGGGAAATTTCGGGATTTTTGGGGGGTTTTTCAGGGATTTTAAGGGGAAATTTGGAGATTTTTGGGGGGATTTTCAGGGAATTTGGGAGGAATTTGGGGGATTTAGGGGGAATTTGGGGGGGGTCTTGGGAAATTTGGGGGAAATTGGGGGAAATTGGGGGATTTTGAGGGAATTTTGGGGGATTTTGAGGGAATTTTGGGGATTTTTGGGAATTTGGGGGAGTTGGGTGCAGCCCCCCGGCGCTCTTCCGCAGCCGCTGCCCCATCCGGGTAAAAAACGGGAATTTTGGGAAATTTGGGGGAATTTGGGGGAATTTGGGAATTTTGGAGGATTTTGGGGGAATTTTGGAGATTTTGGGGGGGATTTTCAGGGATTTTGGGGGATTTAGGGGGGAATTTTGGGGAATTTGGGGGGATTTTGGGGATTTCGAGGGAATTTTGGGGGATTTTGGGGAGATTTGGGGGGATTTTGGGAAAGTTTAGGGAAATTTGGGGGGAATTTGGGGAGATTTTGGGGTGAATTTGTGGAAATTTGGGGGGATTTGGGGGAAACTTGGGGGAAATTTGGTTTTTTTTTCCTGGGATTTTGGTTTTTTTCCCGGGATTTTGGGGTTTTTTTGGGCCATTTCTATCTGGGTGAACCCATGACTTTTCCTGCCTGGATTTTGGGGTGAATTCCAGGGATTTTGGGGTCAATTTGGGGTTTTTTTGACAGGGATTTTGGGGCATTTCTATCTCAGGGAGGTGGGGATGTTTTTGGTCTCAATTTTGGGGTGAATTTTGAGGATTTTGGCGTTGATTTTGGGATTGATTCTGGGGGGGATTTTGGGGTGAATTTTGGGCTTTTTAGGGTGAAATTTAGGGATTTTGGTGGAGATTTTGGGGCGAATTTTGGCCTTTTTGGGGCAGATTTTGGGTTTTTTTTGGGTCATTTCGATCTGGCTGAACCTGTGACTTTTCCCGCCGGAATTTTGGGCTGAATTTTGTGGATTTTGGGTCCGCAGGTGTCGCATTTCCCCTTCGATTGGCAGAATTGTTCCCTCCAGTTCCGCTCCGGCTCCTACGGCCCCTCGGAGCTGCGGCTGCGCACGGGGGGGAGGGGCGGCCCCGGGGGGGCGCAGGCGGCGCTGCCCCCCGACTTCCGGGGTGAGATTTGGGGCGAAAAAGGGCAAATTTGGGCAAAAACGTGAAAAAACGGGAAAAAACGGCGAAAAAATGGCAAAAAACGGGGAAAAAATGAAAAAAAATGGGGGAAAAATGGGATTTTGGGGGCCCTGGGGGGCGCAGGCGGCGCTGCCCCCCCCGACTGCTGGGGTGAGATTTGGGGTGAAAAATGGGAATTTTGGGAAAAAAGGGGAAAAAACGGGGAAAAACGGGGAAAAAATGGGAAAAAACGGGGAAAAAATGGGGAAAAAATGGGATTTTGGGGGGCCCTGGGGTGCGCAGGTGGCACTGCCCCCCCCGACTGCCGGGGTGAGATTTGGGGTGAAAAATGGGAATTTTGGGAAAAAATGGGAAAAAACGGCAAAAAAATGGCAAAAAACGGCGAAAAAATGGGAAAAAACGGGGAAAAAATGGCAAAAAACGGGGAAAAAATGGGGGGAAAAATGGGGGAAAAATGGGGGAAAAAATGGGAATTTGGGGGGCCCTGGAGGGGTGAGATTTGGGGCGAAAAATGGGAATTTTGGGAAAAAACGGGAAAAAACGGCGAAAAAATGGGAAAAAACGGGGAAAAAATGGGGGAAAAATGGGGGAAAAATGGGATTTTTGGGGGGCCTGGGGGGTGCAGGCGGTGCTGCCCCCCCCCCGACTGCCGGGGTGAGATTTGGGCTGAAAAAAGGGAAAAATGGGAAAAAATGGGAAAAATAGGAAAAAATGGCGAAAAACGGGGAAAAAATGGGGAAAATGGGGGAAAAATGGGAAAAATGGGGGGAAATGGGAAAATGGGAAAAATGGGGGAAAAATGGGGAAAAATGGGAAAAAATGGGGAAAATGGGAAAACACAGGGAAAAAAAGGGGAAAATGGGGAAAAATGGGGGAAAAATGGGATTTTGGGAAATTTATTTTATACTTTGGGGTTTTTTGGGGAATTTTTGGGGGATTTTAGGGGGATTTGTCTTATTTTTAGGGTATTTTTGGGGGGGATTTTTTGGGGGGGATTTTTTGAGGTTTTTTTTGGGTTTTTTTTCTTATTTTTGGAGGTTTTTTTGGGATTTCTTGGGGGGATTTTTTGGGGGGATTTTGGGGGGGGATTTTTTGCATTTTTTTTTGGATTTCCTTATTTTTGGGGGATTTGTGGGGGGAATTTTTATGAGATATTTTGGGATTTTTTGGGGGATTTTTTGGGTTTTTTTGTTTTTTGTTGAAGTTTTTGGGGAATTTTTGGGGATTTTTTGGGATTTTTTGGGGGTACTATTGGGGTTTCTTTGGGATGTTTTTAGGGGTTATTTTGGGAATTTTTTTGGGGTTTTTATGGGATTCTTTTGGGGATTTTTTTGGGGTTTTTTTTGTTTTTTGGGGCTTTTCTGTCCCAATTTTTTTGGATTTTTCGGGATTTTTGGGATTTTTGGGAACTTTGAGTTTTTCAAGTGTATTTCGGGGTTGATTTGGGGTTTTTAGGTGAATTTTGACCAGGTTTTTTGGGGTTTTTTGCGATTTTTTTGGTGGTTTTTTTTATTTTTTGGGGGTTTTCTGTCCCGATTTTTTGGGATTTTTTTGGATTTTGGGATTTTTAACCCTGTCCCCCGCAGAGAACGGCCAGTGGAGCCTCGTGCACCGCTCGGGGGGTCCCTGGGGTCCCTCGGGTGTCGCTTTTCACCTGGTGCTGCGCCGGGAGCCGCTTTTCTACCTGAGCACGGTGCTGGCGCCCTGCGGGCTGATCACGCTGCTGGCCGTGGGGGTGTTCCACCTGCCCCCCGATGCGGGTGAGAGCCAAAATCACCTGAAATGCACCCAAAAATTGGGGGGAATTGTCAAAAAAAATTGGGGAAAATTCCCTTAAAAATTGAGAAAAATTCCCTCAAAAATTGGGAGAATTGTCCCCCAAAATTGAGAAAATTGTCCCTAAAATTGGGGGAATTGTACCCAGAAATTGAGAAAATTTCCCGCAAAAATTGGAGAATTTCCCTCAAATATTGAGAAAATTGTCACCCAAACTTGACAAAATTGTCCCCTAAAATTGGGGGAATTGTCACCAAAAATTGGGAAAATTTCCCTCAAAAATTGGGGAAATTGGCACCAAAGTTGAGAAAATTGTCCCCCAAAATTGAGAAAATTTCCCTTAAAAATTGAGAAAATTTTCCTTAAAAATTGGGAGAATTGGCCTCAAAAATTGGGAAAATTTCCCTCAAAAATTGATAATTATGTACCCAGAAATTGAGAAAATTTCCCGCAAAAATTGAGAAAAATTCCCTCAAAAATTGGGAAAGTGTCCCTGGCAGTGGGGGTGTTTCATCTGCCCCCCGACGCAGGTGAGAGCCAAAATCACCTGAAATGCACCCAAAAATTGGGGGGAATTGTCAAAAAAAATTGGGGGAATTATCAAAAAAAATTGGGGAAAATTCCCTTAAAAAATGAGAAAATTTCCATCTAAAATTGAGAAATTTGTACCCAGAAATGGGGAAAATTTCCATCAAAATTGAGAAAATTGTCACCAAAAATTGAGAAAATTGTACCCAGAAATTGAGAAAATTTCTCTCAGAAATTGAGAAAATTTCACTCAAAAATTGAGAAAAATTCCCTTAAAAATTGAGAAAATTTCCCTTAAAAATGGAGAATATTTCTCTCAAAAATGGAGAAAATTTCCCTCAAAAATTGAGAAAATTGTCCCTATAATTGGAGGAATTGGACACAAAAATTGGCACCAAAAATTCAGGAAATTGGCCCCAAAATTGAGAAAATTGTCCCTAAAATTGGGGGAATTGTCACTGAAATTGGGGGAATTGGCCCCAACAATTGGGGGAATTGGCACCAAAAATTCAGGAAATTGTCCCCCAAAATTGACAAAATTGTCCCCTAAAATTGGGGGAATTGTGCCCAAAAATTGGGAGAATTGGCCTCAAAAATTGAGAAAATTTCCCGTAAAAATTGGTGGAATTGGACCCAAAAATTGGGAGAATTGGCCTCAAAAATTGAGAAAAATTCCCTCAAAAATTGGGGGAATTGGACGCAAAAATTGGGGGTATTGTCACCAAAAATTGAGAATATTGTCCCTAAAATTGGGGGAATTGTGCCCAAAAAATTGGGGAAATTGGCGCCAAAAATTGGGGGAATTGTCCCTAAAATTGAGGGAATTGGACACAAAAATCGGGAGAATTGGCACCAAAAATTGGGGAAATTGGCACCAAAAATTGGGGGAATTGTCCCCAAAAATTGGGAGAATTTCCCTCAAAAATTGGGGGAATTGGCACCAAAAATTGTGAAAATTTCCCTTAAAAATGGAGAAAAAGTGTCCCCCAAACTTGAGAAATTTGTCCCTTAAATTGGGGAAATTGTGCCCAAAAATTGAGAAAATTTTCCGCAAAAATTGAGAAAAATGTACCCAGAAATTGGGAAAATTTCCCGTAAAAATTGGAGAATTTCCCTTAAAAATTGAGAAAATTGTCCCTAAAATTGGGGGAATTGGCACCAAAAATTGGGGGAATTGTCACCTGTGTCTCACCTGTCCAGGTGACCTCACCTGTGTCACACCTGTGTCCCACCTGTGTCACACCTGTCCAGGTGACCTCACCTGTGTCCCACCTGTGTCACACCTGTCCAGGTGACCTCACCTGTGTCCCACCTGTGTCTCACCTGTCCAGGTGACCTCACCTGTCCATATCTCACCTGTCCAGGTGAGAAGATGTCCCTGTCCCTCTTCGCCCTGCTCACCTTGACCGTGTTCCTGCTGCTCCTGTCCATGTCTCACCTGTCCAGGTGACCTCACCTGTCTCACCTGTGGGTGTCTCACCTGTCCAGGTGAGAAGATGTCCCTGTCCCTGTTCGCTCTCCTCACCTTGACCGTGTTCCTGCTGCTCCTGTCCATGTCTCACCTGTCCAGGTGACCTCACCTGTGTCTCACCTGTGGGTGTCTCACCTGTCTCACCTGTCCAGGTGAGAAGATGTCCCTGTCCCTGTTCGCTCTGCTCACCTTGACCGTGTTCCTGCTGCTCCTGTCCATGTCACACCTGTCCAGGTGACCTCACCTGTGTCCCACCTGTGTCACACCTGTCCAGGTGACCTCACCTGTGTCACCTGTGGGTGTCTCACCTGTCCAGGTGAGAAGATGTCCTTGTCACTCTTCGCTCTGCTCACCTTGACCGTGTTCCTGCTGCTCCTGTCCATGTCTCACCTGTCCAGGTGACCTCACCTGTGGGTGTCTCACCTGTGTCACACCTGTCCAGGTGACCTCACCTGTCCATATCTCACCTGTCCAGGTGAGAAGATGTCCCTGTCCCTGTTCGCCCTGCTCACCTTGACCGTGTTCCTGCTGCTCCTGGCCATGTCTCACCTGTCCAGGTGACCTCACCTGTGTCTCACCTGTGTCACACCTGTCCAGGTGACCTCACCTGTGTCTCACCTGTGTCACACCTGTCCAGGTGACCTCACCTGTGTCTCACCTGTGTCTCACCTGTCCAGGTGACCTCACCTGTGTCTCACCTGTGTCTCACCTGTCCAGGTGACCTCACCTGTGTCCCACCTGTGTCTCACCTGTCCAGGTGACTTCACCTGTCTCACCTGTGGGTGTCTCACCTGTCCAGGTGAGAAGATGTCCCTGTCCCTGTTCGCCCTGCTCACCTTGACCGTGTTCCTGCTGCTCCTGTCCATGTCTCACCTGTCCAGGTGACCTCACCTGTCCATGTCTCACCTGTCTCACCTGTCCAGGTGAGAAGATGTCCCTCTCGCTCTTCGCCCTGCTCACCTTGACCGTGTTCCTGCTGCTCCTGTCCATGTCTCACCTGTCCAGGTGACCTCACCTGCCCATTACCTGTGTCACACCTGTCCAGGTGACCTCACCTGTCCATGTCTCACCTGTCCAGGTGAGAAGATGTCCCTGTCCCTGTTCGCCCTGCTCACCTTGACCGTGTTCCTGCTGCTCCTGTCCATGTCTCACCTGTCCAGGTGACCTCACCTGTGTCTCACCTGTGGGTGTCTCACCTGTCCAGGTGAGAAGATGTCCCTGTCCCTGTTCGCCCTGCTCACCTTGACCGTGTTCCTGCTGCTCCTGTCCATGTCTCACCTGTCCAGGTGACCTCACCTGTGGGTGTCTCACCTGTCTCACCTGTCCAGGTGAGAAGATGTCCCTGTCACTCTTCGCCCTGCTCACCTTGACCGTGTTCCTGCTGCTCCTGGCCGACAAGGTCCCGGCCACGTCCCTGCAGGTGCCGCTGATCGGCCGATACCTGACGGGCACCTTGGTGCTGCTGACCCTGGTGGTGGCGCTGAGCGTGGGGGTGCTCAACCTGCACCACCGCTCACCTGGGACGCATCACCTGCCCGGCTGGGCACGACAGGTGAGTGGGGACCCAAAAACCCAAAAAATCCCAAAAAAATCCCAAAAAAATCGGCTCAAAAATGGTGAAAATAGAGCAAAAAATGGCGAAAATAGAGCAAAAAATGGGTTAAAATGGCACCAAAACACACCTGGGCACAGCTCAACCTGCACCACCGCTCACCTGGGACGCATCACCTGCCCGGCTGGGCCAGACAGGTGAGTGGGGAACCCAAAAATGCCAAAAATTCCGAAAAAAAACCCCAAAAAAATGGTGAAAATAGAGCCAAAAATGGCGAAAATACACCAAAAAATGGGTGAAATAGACCCAAAAATGGCAAAAAATGGGACCAAAACACACCTGGGCTCACCTGGGACGCATCACCTGCCCGGGTGGGCGCGACAGGTGAGTGGGGACCCAAAAATGCCAAAAATTCCGAAAAAATCAGTCCAAAAATCGTTAAAATCGGCCCAAAAATGGCGAAAATAGGCACAAAAAATGGCTGAAATAGCCCCAAAAATGGCGAAAATACACCAAAAAATGGGATCAAAACACACCTGGGCACACCTGGCACAGCTCAACCGGCACCACCGCTCACCTGGCACCCATCACCTGCCCGGCTGGGCCAGACAGGTGAGTGGGGAACCCAAAAATGCCAAAAATTCCAAAAAAATCCCAAAAAAATTTGCTCAAAAATGGTGAAAATAGAGCAAAAAATGGCTGAAATAGAGCAAAAAATGGCACCAAAACTCACCTGGGCACAGCTCAACCTGCACCACCGCTCACCTGGGACCCATCACCTGCCCGGGTGGGCACGACAGGTGAGTGGGGAACCCAAAAATGCCAAAAATTCCCAAAAAATCCCCCCAAAATTGGTGAAAATAGAGCAAAAAATGGGTTAAAATGGCACCAAAACACACCTGGGCACACCTGGGCACACCTGGGCACAGCTGGGCACACCTGGCACCCATCACCTGCCCAGGTGGGCCAGACAGGTGAGGGGGGAACCCAAAAATGCCAAAAATCCCAAAAAAATCCCAAAAAAATCCCCAAAAAAATGGCAAAAATAGATCCAAAAATGGCAAAAATAGACCCAAAAATGGGTAAAAATGGCACCAAAACTCACCTGGGCACACCTGGGCACAGCTCAACCTGCACCACCGCTCACCTGGGACGCATCACCTGCCCGGCTGGGCCAGACAGGTGAGTGGGGAAGCCAAAAATGCAAAAAATCCCCAAAAAATCCCCCAAAAAAATGGCTGAAATAGACCCAAAAATGGCAAAAATAGACCAAAAAATGGCGAAAATACACCAAAAAATGGGTAAAAATGGGACCAAAACACACCTGGGCACAGCTGGCACCCGTCACCTGCCCAGGTGGGCACGACAGGTGAGTGGGGAACCCAAAAATGCCAAAAATCCCGAAAAAATCCCCAAAAAAATGGTGAAAATAGAACCAAAAATGGCAAAGAAATGGGAAAAAAAAATCCCGAAAAAATCGGTTCCAAAATGGCGCCAAAATATCCCCCGGAAATGGAATTTTGGGAGTTTTGGAGGTACCGGGTGGGAATTTCGGGAATTTTGGGTGGGAATTTTGGGAATTTTGGGGTTCCCGGGTGGGAAATTTGGAAATTTTGGGGTTTTCTGGTCAATTTTGGGAATTTCCGGGTGGGAATTTTGGGAATTTTGGCTTTTTCAGGTGGGAATTTTGGGAATTCCCGATTAAATTTTGGGAATTTCCAGGTGGGAATTTTGGGAATTTCGGGAATTTCCAGGTGGGAATTTTGGGAATTTCCAGGCGGAAATTTTGGGAATTTTCATGTGGGAAATCTTGGGAATTTTTGGAATTTCGGGTGGGAATTTTGGGAATTTTCAGGCAGAAATTTTGGGAATCCTGGGATATTCCAGGTGGGAATTTTGGGAATTTCCAGGTGGGAAATTTTGGGAATTTTGGGAGTTTCCAGGTGGGAATTTTGGGAATTGTGGAATTTTGGGACTTTCCGGGTGGGAATTTTGGGAATTTCCAGGCAGAATTTTTGGGAATTTCCAGGTGGGAATTCCTGGAATTTCTGGGTGGGAATTTTGGGAATTTTTGGGTGGGAATTTTGGGAATTTCCAGGTGGCAATTTTGGGAATTTCCAGGTGGGATTTTTTGGGAATTTCGGGGTGTAAATTTCGGGAATTTCGGGACTTTCCGGGTGGGAAATTTCAGAATTTTGGGAATTTCCAGGCGGGAATTTTTGGGAATTTCGGGACTTTCCGGGTGGGAATTTCGGGGTTTTCCGGGTGGGAATTTTGGGACTTTCCGGGTGTAAATTTTGGGAATTTCGGGACTTTGCAGGTGGGAATTTTGGGAATTTCGTGACTTTCCGGGTGGGAATTTTAAGAATTTTGGGAATTTCCAGGCGGGAATTTTTGGGAATTTCGGGACTTTCCGGGTGGGAATTTCGGGACTTTCCGGGTGGGAATTTCAGGACTTTCCGGGTGTAAATTTTGGGAATTTCAGGGTGTAAATTTTGGGAATTTCAGGAATTTCTAGGTGGGAATTTTGGGAATTTCTGGGTGGGAATTTCTGGAATTTCTGGGTGGGAGTTTTGGGAATTTTCAGGCGGGAAATTTTGGGAATTTCGGGGTGTAAATTTCGGGAATTTTGGGGTGTAAATTTTGGGAATTTCGGGACTTTCTGGGTTGGAATTTCGGGAATTTCCATGTGGGAATTTTGGAATTTTGGGAATTTCCAGGTGGGAATTTTGGAATTTCGTGAATTTCCAGGCAGGAATTTTTGGGAATTCCGGGAATTCCGGGAATGTCTGACGTCTCCCCCCCTCCCCCCCCCAGCTGTTCCTGCAGCGCCTCCCCCCCCTGTTGGGCCTCCGCCCCTCCCCCCCTTTGAGCCCCGCCCCCTCCTTAGGCCCCGCCCCTTTGGCCACGCCCCCTCGCGCCTCTGACGCGTATTTCCTGCGACGCCCCGCCCCCTCCGAGCTGGCCACGCCCACTTCTGAGTTAACCACGCCCCCTGGAGTGACCACGCCCCTTTCGGGCTCGGCCACGCCCCTTTTGGGGGTGGCCACGCCCCCCCCGGAGCTGCGGGAGGCGGCGGCGGCGGCGGCCGAGATCGCGCGGCGGATGCGGGAGCGGCGGCGGCGGCAGCGGGTGAGAGAGTGCGGACGAAATACACCCCAAATACAGCCAAAAATACACCCAAAATCCATCCCAAAATACACCCCAAAAATCCCCAAAATCCAGCCCAAAATACAGCCAAAAATACAGCCAAAAATCCCAAAATCCATCCCAAAATCCACACCAAAAAACCCAAAATACACCCCAAAATGCACCCGAAATACCCCAAAAAATCCCAAAAATCCAGCCCCAAATACACCCCAAAATCCCCCCAAAAATCCCCCAAATCCAGCCCAAAATACACCCAAAATATACCCAAAATCCACAAAATACACCCAAAATCCAGCCCAAATCCCTTTTTTTTGCATTTATCCCCATTTCCCCCATTTTTCACCGTATTTTCTCCATTTCCCACCTGATTTTCCCAATTTTTTCCCCTTTATCATTTTTTCCCCATTTTCCCCATTTTCCACCATATTTTCTCCATTTCCCACCCAATTTTCCCCATATTTTTCCATTTATCCCCCTTTTTCCATTTTCCCCCATTTTCACCATATTTTCCCCATTTTCCACCCAATTTCCCCCATTTTTTTCCCTTTATCCTTTTTTTTCATTTCTTCCCCCATTTTCCCCATTTACCATCCGATTTCCCCCATTTTTTTTGCATTTCCCCCCATTTTTTCCCCATTTCCCCCTTTCCCTCCGTGATTTTCCCAATTTCCCATTTTTTCCCAATTTTCCTAATTTCCCCCCCATTTTTCACCATATTTTCCCCATTTTCCACCCAACTTCCCCCATTTTTTCCCATTTATCCCCTTTTTTTTATTTCTTCCCCCATTTCCCCCCATTTTTCCCCATTTCCCACCCAATTTTCCCAATTTCCCCCATTTTTTTTGCATTTCTCCACATTTTTCACATTATTTTCCCTATTTTCACCCATTTTTCCCCATTTCCCACCCAATTTTCCCCATTTTTTCCCCTTTATCATTTTTTCCCCATTTTCCACCATATTTTCTCCATTTCCCACCCGATTTTCCCCATTTTTTTGCCTTTCCCCCCATTTTTTCCCCATTTCCCCCCCATTTCCCCCCGGATTTTCCCGATTTCCCGCTTTTTCCCCCGTTCCAGGCTCAGGACGAGTGGCGGGCGCTGGCGATGGCTCTGGACCGTCTCTGCCTTTGGGCGCTGCTGCTGCTGACGGGCGGCTGCGCCCTCGGCACGGGGCTGGACGCGGCGCTGCACCGGCCCCCGGACACACCGTTCCCCTAAAACACCCGAAATCACCCCAAAAATATCCCCAAAGTATCCCCAAAATATCCTGAAAATATCCCAGAAGTATCTCAGAAATATCCCCCAATTATCCCCAAATTATCCTAAAAATATCCCAAAATATTCTGAATTTATCCCCAAAATATCCTGAATTTATTCCAAAAATAACCCCAAAAATATCCCAAAAATTATCCACAAAATATCCCCAAATTACCCCCAAAATAGCAAAAAAATAACCCCAAAAATATCCCCAAAATATCCCAAAATATTCTGAATTTATCCCCAAAATATCCCAAAATTATCCCAAAAATAACCCCAAAATTATCCCAAAATTATCCCCCAAAAATTCCAAAAAATCCTACAAATAACCCCAAAATCACCCCAAAAGTAACCCCAAAATTATCCTTAAAATATCCCCAAAATATCCCCAAAATAACCCCAAATTATTCCCAAAATTAGCCAAAAAATAGCCCCAAAAAATCTCAAAATTATCCCAAAAAAACTCGCAAAATATCCACCCAAAAATATCCCCAAATAACCCCAAAAATAGCCGCAAAATATCCGAAAAATAGCCCCAAAATATCCCCAAATTATCCCAAAAAAGAACCCCAAAATATCCCCAAATTACCCTGAAAATATGCCAAATATATCCCCAAAATAACCCCAAAATTATCCCCAAAATATTCCGAAATTAACTCCAAAATATCCCAAAATATTCTGAATTTCTCCCAAACTGTCCCCCAGGGGCACGGGGCTGGACGCGGCGCTGCACCGACCCCCGGACACCCCGTTCCCCTAAAACACCCAAAATATACCCAAAAATCACACCCAAAATATCCTGAAAATATCCCCAAATTATCCCCGAATTATCCCCAAAATATCAAAAAAATAACCTCAAAATTATCCCCAAATTATCCCAAAAATAACCCCAAAAATAACCCCAAAATTATCCCCAAATTATCAAAAAAGTAACCCCAAAATTATCCCCAAATTATTCTGAATTTATCCAAAAATTATCCCTAAAGAATCCCCAAAATATCCCAAAAATAATCCAAAAATATGTCCCCAAAAATCCTCCAAAATCACCCCAAAAATAACCCCAAAATTATCCATAAAATAGCCCCAAAATATCCCAAAAACAACCCCAAAAAATCTCCCCAAAATATCCCAAAATTATCCCCAAAATTATCCTAAAAATATCCCAAAAAATCACCTCAAAATATCCAAAAAAGCCCCCCAAAAAATCTCCCCAAAATATCCCAAAATTATCCCAAAATCTGTCCAAAAATATCCCCAAATCACCCCAAAAATAGCCCCAAAATATCCCAAAAAATATCCCCAAAATATAGAAAAATTATCCCAAAATATCCCCCCAAAAATAGCCCCAAATCACCCCCAAAATAGCCCCAAAATATCCCAAAATTACCCCAAAAATATCCCAGAAATATCCCCAAAATTATCCCCAAAATACCCCAAAATTATTGCCAAAAAATCCCAAAAAATCACCCCAAAATATCCCAAAAATTCCCCAAAATTATCCCCAAAATATCCCAAAAATAACCCCAAAATTATCCCAAAATTATCCCCAAAAAATCCCAAAAATTCCCCCCAAAATATCCCAAAGATAACCCCAAAAAATCTCCCCAAAAATATCCCAAAAATAACCCCAAAAAATCTCCCCAAAATATCCCAAAAATAACCCCAAAAAATCACCCCAAAATATCCCCAAAAAACCCCCCAAAAATCACCCCAAAATATCCCAAAAATATCCCAAAAATAGGCCCAAAATTATCCCAAAAATATTACAAAATATTCTGAATTTATCCCAAAATTATCCCCAAAATTATCCTAAAATTATCCCCAAAACATCCCAAAAATATCCCACAAATAACCCCAAAATTATCCCCAAAATAACCCCAAAATTATTCCCAAAAATTCCCAAAAAAGCCCCAAAAAATCCCCAAAAAATAAAAAAAAAATCCCCCAAAAAATCCCAAAAAAATCCTAAAAAAAATCTGAAAAATATCCTAAAAATACCCCCCAAAAAATCCCCAAAATTCCCCCAAAAATTGCTCCAAAAAATCCCAAAAAATCCCCCAAAAAATTCCCAAATAAATCCCGAAAAAACCCCAAAAAACCCCAAAAAATCCCCCAAAAACCCCAAAATATCCTAAAAAAAATCCCAAAATATCCTGAAAAAAATTCCCCAAAATTACCCCCAAAATTCCTCCAAAAAAATCCCAAAAATTCCCAAAAAAATCCCAAAAATTCCCAAATAAATCCTAAACCCCCAAAGAGTCACGTGATCAATGGGGGGGATAAATCCCGTCATGCTTTGCGCCCACGGGGGAACACATCCCATAATCCTTCGCGGCAATCCCATTGCGGCCTTTTTCCGGGATAACCCCAAATCCCGGGATTTCCCACGCGGATAAATCCCAAATTTTGGGGATAAATCCCGGAATTTTGGAGGGATTTTTTCCGGGGAAAATCTCGGGAATCGGGGAAAATTAAAAAATAAAAAAAATTAAAAACGGGAATTTCGGCGCCGTAATGGCGGCGCTATCCCATGGTGCACCGCGGCGGTTTCGTTGTCATGGCGACGGCAAAAGCGTAAAGCGGAAGTGGAGGAAAAGGGGGCGTGGTTTACAGAGGGGCGTGTCCCCAGCGGCGGCGCTGATTGGTGGAGCGCGGTGACGTCACTGCCCAGCGCCCACCGGGAGCGAGGCCGGCCCGGGGTGAGCGCGGGGCCCAAAAATTCCAAAAAAATCCCCAAAAAATCCCAAAAAACCCCAAATTAACCCCAAAAATCCCACCCGGGGAGGGGCCCGAGGTGGGGGAGGGGAGCGAGGAGCGAGGGGGGGATGGGGGAGAGGGGGAGGGGCGGAGTTGGGGAAATTTGGGGGGAATTTTGGGGATTTTGGGGGAATTTTGGGGGGAATTTTGGGTTTTTTTGGGATTTTTTTGGGGGTTTTTGGGAATTTTGGGGGGTTTGGGGCGGATCACTTCGATTTTGGGGGGATTATGGGGATTTGGGGGAAATTTTGGGGGAATTTTTGGGGATTTGGGGGAATTTGGGAAGAATTCTCTGGGATTTTTTTTTAATTTGGGGAATTTTGGTAAATTTGGAGGAAAGTCATGGTAATTTTGGGAGTTTGGGGGAATTTTGGTAATTGGGAGAATTTTGGGTGAAATTTGGGGGAATTTTCGCAGGTTTTGGTAAATTTTGGGTGAATTTGGGGGGAAATTTTGGGGGAATTTTGTGGAATTTGGGAGAACTTTTGGGGGATTTTGGGGCGAATTTTGGTTGAATTATGTGGGAAATTGGAATTTTTTGGGGGGAATTTTGGTGAATTTTTCATCAATTCGAGGAGAAAGTTTTGGGAGAAAATTTTGGGTGAATTTTGGTCAATTTGGGTCAATTTGGGGAAAAATTTTTTGGGGAAATTTTGGAAGAAACTTTGTGGGGAATTTGGGTGAATTTTGGGGAAAATTTGGGTGAATTTAGGGTGAATTTTTGGAAATTTTAGGGGAATTTGAGGAGAATTTTGGGGTGAATTTTGAGGTCAATTTGGGGGGAATTTTGGGAGAAAATTTTGGGTCAATTTTGGGTGAATTTGTGGGAATTTGGGGTTAATTTTAGGGAATTTTTGGGGAACTTTTGGCTGAATTTTGGGGTCAGTTTTGGGAGGAATTTTGGGGTGAATTTTGCGGAATTCGGGAGACATTTTGGGGAGGAATTTTTGGTGAATTTTGGGAAATTTTGGGGGAATTTTGGGGAATTTGGGAGGAATTTTAAGGTCAATTTGGTGAGAAATTTTGGGGTGAATTTTTGGGAATTTTGGGGTGGATTTGGGTGAATTTTGGGTGAATTTTGGTTCAATATTTGGTGAATTTAAGGGGGGAATTTGGGGGATATTTTGGGTGAATTTTTGCGGATTTTGGGGAATTTTAGGTGGAATTTTGAGGTCAATTTGGGGGAATTTTGGGAGAAAGTTTTGGGTCAATTTTGGGTGAATATTGGAGGAAATTTTGTGGAATTTTTGGGGAACTTTTTTGGTAATTTTGGGGTCACTTTGGGGAGGAATTTTGGGGTGAATTTTGGGGAATTCGGGAGACATTTTGGGGAGGAATTTGGGGTGAACTTTGGGTGGAATTTTTTGTGAATTTTGGGTGGAATTTTGGGGAATTTGGGAGGAATTTTAAGGTCAATTTGGGGGGAATTTTGAGGGTAAATTTTTCATATTTTTGGTAGAATTTCAGGTGAATTTTCGGGAATTTTGGGTGAATTTTTGGGAATTTTGGGGGGAATTTTGGGTGAACTATTGAAAAATTTGGGAAAATTTTGGGAATTTTGGGGGAATTTTGAGGGTAAATTTTTCATATTTTTGGTGGAATTTTGGGTGAATTTTTGGGAATTTTGGGGGGAATTTTGGGTGAATTATTAAAAATTTTGGGGAATTTTGGGGGGAATTCTGAGGGTAAATTTTTCAAAATTTGGGGAGGAATTTTGGGTGACTTTTTGGGAATTTTAGGGGGAATTTTGAGGGTAAATTTTTCATATTTTGGGTGAATTTTCGGGAATTTTGGTGGGAATTTTGACGGTAAATTTTTCATATTTTCGGGTTAATTCCACGTGAATATTCGTGCAACTTTTATGCAAATTTATGCAAATTTCCCCCTCTCTCCACTCCAGGCCATGAAGGAAGCCCCGCCCCGCCCCACCCCAGTGGGTGGAGCCACGCCCACCAGAATGGGCGGAGCCTCCCCAAGCCCCGCCCCTTTGGCAGAGGGGGCGGGGCCTGATCGCTCATTAGTGGGCGTGGCCTCGAGCAGGGGGCGTGGCCAGCACAGGCCCCTCCCCCTGCGCTGTTACCGGCGCCGCGGGCGGCGGCTCCGCCTCTTCCGGTGGCTCCGCCTCCTTTTATCCCGGGGGGCGGGGCTTTGGGGCGCCAGGCCACGCCCCCGCCGGGCCACGCCCACCCAGGGGCGGGGCAAACCCCTCGTCCAATCGAAACCGAGCGAGGGGATGCTCCGCCCACTGGCGGGGTTGGACACGCCCCTTTCCGCCATGGACACGCCCCTTTCGTCGCTGGCCACGCCCCTTCTGGCGATGGACACGCCCCTTTCGTCGCTGGCCACGCCCCTTTCCGGCATAGACGCGCCCCTCCCCCCGCCCGGGGTGGGGGAGGGGGGGGACGGAGGTGAGGAGGGGGAGGGGCCTAAAATTTTGGGAAAAAGGTTAAAATTTGAAGGCGGGGCTGAAATTTGGTGGGTGGGGCCAAAATTTGGGGGAGGGGCTTAAATTTGGGGAGGGGCCGAAATTGTGGGAGGGGCTTAAATTGGGGGAGGGGCTTAAATTTGAGGGAGGGGCTAAAAGTTGGTGGGTGGGGCTTAAATTTTGGGGAGGGGCTTAAATTTGGGGAGGGGCCAAAATAGGGGTTGGGGCTTAAATTTGGGGGAGGGGCCTAAATTGGGGGGAGGGGCTAAAATTGTGGGAGGGGTTTAAATTTGGGGAGGGGCTTAAATTTTGGGGAGGGGTCTAAATAGAGGAGGGGCCAAAACTTGGGGGAGGGGCTTAACTTGTGGGAGGGGCTTAAATTTTTGGGAAGGGCCTAAATTTGGGGGAGGGGCTAAAATTTGGTGGGGAGGGGTTTAAATTTGGGGAGGGGCCTAAATTTCGGGAGGGGTTTAAATTTGGAGGAGGGGCTAAAATTTGGTGGGTGGGGCTTAAATTTGGGGAGGGGCTTAAGTTTGGGGAGGGGCTTAAAATTTGGGGAGGGGCTTAAATTTTGGGGAGGGGCCAAAAATTGGGGAGGGGCTTAAATTGTGGGGGAGGGGCCTAAAATTTAAAGGGGAAGGGGCTTAAATTTTGGGGCGTGGTGAACCCCCCCAAAATTTGGGGGGCGTGGTTAATTTTGTGGCCCCTCCCCCATATTTAAATTTTTAATTTCCAGGTCCTGCCCAGAACGGTTTGGGGGCGGGGCCAGGCCCGGGCTGCCCCTCCCCCCCCTGCCCGGGGCCAATCCTGATCAGCAACGTCACCGGAGGGGGCGGGGCCGAGGCGGGGCCACGCCCCCCGGCGAGTTTGGCCACGCCCCCCGCCCGGGCCACGCCCCCCGGGGGTCAGCCCAGCCCCCCCCTGCGGGAGGAGCACGTGACCTGCGTGCAGAGTGAGTGACGTCAGCGGTGACGTCATCGGTGACGTCATCGCGGGAACGGTGACGTCATCGAGGGGCGGGGATGATGTCATCGAGGGGCGGGGTTTGGGGGTGTGATGTCATCAAGGAGGGAAATTTGGGGGTTTTTGGGGGGGGATTTTGGGAGGTTTCGGGTGGAATTTTGGGATTTTGGGTGGAGTTTTGGGATTTCGGGGGTTTTGGGTGGAATTTTGGGAATTTTCGATGGAAATTTGGGGTTTTCGGTTGAATTTACGGATTTTGGGGATTTTGGGTTTAATTTTGGGGATTTTGGGTGGAATTTTGGGGATTTTAGATGGAAATTTGGAGGTTTGGGTTGAATTTTGGGATTTCGGGGATTTGGGGTGGATGACGTCATCGAGGGGCGGGGTCAGGGCTCGTGATGTCATCAAGGGCGGGGTTTGGGGTGGTGATGTCATCAAGGAGGGAAATTTGGGGATTTTGGGGAGGAATTTTGGGAGGTTTTGGGTGGATTTGGGGGGAAATTTGGGGATTTTGGGGATTTTGGGTGCAGTTTTGGGATTTTAGGTGGATTTTTGGGATTTCACAGATTTTGGGTGGAATTTTGGGATTTTTGTTGGATTTTTGGTCATTTTGGGTGTAATTTTGGGATTTCGTGGATTTGGGGTCGAATTTCGGGGATTTTCGGTAGAAATTTGAAGATTTTGGGTGGAATTTTGGGGTTTTGGGGATTTTGGGCAGAATTTGGGGGATTTTGGGTGGAATTTTGGTATTTTGGGGATTTTGGGTGGAATTTTGGGGATTTTGGGTGGAAGTTTTGGGATTTCAGGTGGAATTTCGTGGATTTTGGGTGGGATTTTGGGATTTTAGGTGGAATTTTGGGATTTCCGGGGTTTTGGGTGGAATTTCGGGCATTTTGGTGGATTTTTTGGGATTTTTGGTGGAATTTTGGAATTTCGGAGTTTTGGGTTGAATTTTGGGATTTTGGGGATTTTGGGTGGAATTTTGGGGATTTTGAGTGGAATTTTGGGGATTTTGGGTGGAATTTTGGGATTTCGGAGACTTTGGTTGGAATTTTGGAGATTTTGGGTGGAAATTTGTCAATTTTGGGTGGAATTTTGGTATTTCGGGTGGAATTTTGGGGATTTTGGGTGAAAATTCGTTGGTTTTGGGTGGAAATTCGTCAGTTTTAGGTGGAATTTTGGGGATTGGGGTGGAATTTTGAGATTTTGCCGATTTCGGACGGATTTTTTTGGGAATTTTCGCTGGATTTTCGGCCTTTTTTCCGTGTCTCCGGAATTTCGGGAATTTTGGGTGTAAATTTGGGAATTTTGGGTGGATTTTTGCTGGAATTTCTCTGATTTTCTGGGGGAATTTTTGTAGATTTTGTGGTGGAATTTTGTGAATTTTGGCCGGAATTTTTTTTTGAATTTTTGGGGATTTCATCCGTCCCTTTTGAGATTTTCCAAATTCCAGGTGTAAATTCGGGAATTTTGGGTGGATTTCGCCTGGAATTTCTCTGATTTTCCGGGGGAATTTTTGTGGATTTTGGGGTGTAATTTTGTGGATTTTTTGGTGTAATTTTGCCGATTTCGGCCGGATTTTTTTGGGAATTTTTGCGGGATTTTCGGCCTTTCTTCCGTCTCTCTGTAATTCCGGGAATTTTGGGTGTAAATTCGGGAATTTTGGGCCTCCAGGCATCCTGGACGAGTTCCTTCAGGCCTACGGGAGCCTCATCCCCGTCAGCGCCGACGAAGTCGTGGAGAAGCTCGAGGACATTTTCCAGCAGGAGTTCAGCACCCCCCAGAGGTACCAAAATCACCGAATTTTATGGAATTTTTTGGGAATTTTTTTGGGGAATTTCAGGGGGGGTCCTGGAGGGGGATTGGGGAATTTTTCTGGGGGAATTTCGGGGCATTTTTGGAGATTTTTAGTGAATTTTTGGGGGTTTTTTTTGAGAATATACTGGATTTTTAAGGAATTTTAGGGGATTTTTTTAAGAATACAGTGGATTTTTAGGGATTTTTTTACACTATAGTAGATTTTTAGTGAATTTTTGGGGATTTTTTTGAGAATATAGTGAATATTTAGGGAAATTTTGGGGATTTTTTTAAAAATATTGGGGATTTTTAGGGAATTTTTGGGGATTTTTTGAGAATAAAGTGGATTTTTAGTGATTTTTAGGGGGATTTTTTTTTAAATAAAGTGGATTTTTAGAGAATTTTTGGGGATTTTTTTTTTTGGAGAATTTTTGGGATTTTTTCGAGAAATTTTTTGGGGAATTATGGTTCCATTTTCCAGCAATTCCAGATTCTACTTTTTTTTGAAATTATGGGAAATTTTAGGTGTTTTTTGGAGTTTTTTTTGAAGTTTTTATTTCTGTTTTTTTTTGGTTTTAATTTTTTTTTTGGTGGGGTTTATTTTGGGTGTTTTTTTCATTTTTGGTGTGGTGTTGGGAATTCTGGGTCATTTAAATGGATTTTTTTATTGTTTTTTGGGCTTTTTTTGATTTCTTTTCGTTTCTTTTCACGATTTTTCTGGGGATTTTTTGGGGGGGAATTTTTTTGGGGTTTTCTTTTTTGTTTTTTCCACATTTTGACTGATTTTTCCTGGGATTTTTCAGGAGTTTTTTGGGAATTTTTTTTCTTAATATTTTTTGAGAATTCTTTTGAAAATTACGGCTCCAATTTCAGGCAATTCTAGGTTCTATTTTTTTTTGGAAATTATGGGAAATTTATTTGGAAGGTTTCTTTTTTGGTTTTTTTTTGGTTTTATTTTTTTGGGGGCTTTTCTTTGGCTGTTTTGGGAATTTGGGTTTTTTTTCGGGGGAATTTTTGGAATAAATTTGCAGGAATTTTTAGGGAATTTTTGGGATTTTCTGGGAATTGTGGGGATTTTTTTACTGTTTCTTTTTTTCCTGGCGTTCCTCTGGGGATTTGAGGAGGTTTTGGCTGGTTTTGTGGTTATTTTTGGGTTTTTTTGGGTATTTCAGGGTGTTTTTTGGGCTGTTTTCGGTATTTTTGAGCCGTTTTTGGTATTTTGGGCTGTTTTCTGTGTTTTTGGTTTTTGGATTTCTGGGTCAATTTAAACCAATTTTTTTTATCATTTTTTCGCCTTTTTTTCATTTCTCCCCCTTCCTTTCACCGTTTCTTCGGGGATTTTTTGGGGATTTTTTTGGGGGAATTTTTTTGGGGTTTTTTTTGTTTGGTTATTTCCGCATTTTGACCGATTTTTCCGCGGATTTTTCCAGAATTTTTTGGGAATTTTTTTTGGTATTTTTTGAAATTTTTTTGGGGAATTAGGGTTCCATTTTCCAGGAATTACAGGTTCTATTTTTTTGTTAATTACAGGGAATTTTGGGAGTTTTTTTGAGTTTTTTTTTGTTTTATTTTATTTTCAGTGGGTTTTTTTGGGTGTTTTTTTTGGCTGTTTTATTTTGCTTTTCGGGGTGGCTTTGAGAATTCTGAGTCAATTTAAACAGATTTTTTTTGTTTTTTGGTCTTTTTTTGACTTCTTTTCGCGATTTTTCCACCGATTTTTTTGCGGATTTTTTTACGAAACAACTCGTTAATTTTTCTATTTCCATTTTTCCTACCCCCAAATCCCATTTTTGGGATATTTTTGGGATCCAGGCGCGGCTCGGTGCAGCAGCTGCTCCAGTCCTACCAGCGGCTCCCCGGCTCGGCGCTGCTCCGCGGGTTCCGCGTCAGCTACAAGCGCCACGTGCTCACCATGGACGACCTGCAGACGCTCTACGGCCCCAACTGGCTCAACGACCAGGTTTGGGCCGAAAAACGGGGGTTTTGGGAAAAATGGGGGTTTTGGGGGGTTTTGGGGGATTTTTTGGGGGATTTTTGGGGTTTTTATGGGGGAAATTTTAATGATTTTTTTAGCATTTTATTTGGGATTTTTTGAGAGTTTTTTTTGGGATTTTTTGGGGAATTTTTTGAGATTTTTGGGGGATTTTTGGGGGATTTTGGGGATTTTTGGGGTTTTTTTTGGGGGTTTTTTGGGGGATTATTTTGGCGAAATGTTTGGGATTTTCTGGGGGTTTTTTTTGGGGAATTTTTGGGGGATTTTTTGGGAAATTTTTGGGATTTTTTGGGATGTTGTTGGATTTTTTTGGGGCTTTTTTTGTGGTTTTTTTGGGATTTTTAAAATAATTTTTTGGTAATTTTTTAGGGAAATTTTGGGATTATTTGGGGGATTATTTGGGGGATTTTGGGGGTTTTTTTGGGGATTTTTGGGATTTTATGGGGATTTTTTGGGGGATTTTTGGGACTTTTTTGTGGTTTTTTTTTATTTTTTTTGGTGATTTTTTGGGAATGTTTTGGGATTTTTTGGGGAAATTTTGGGATTTTTTTTGATTTTGGGGGGATTTTGGCCGGTTTGGGCAATTTTGTGAAATTTTTCCTTATTTTGGGGGGTTTTGGGGGTATTTTTTGGGTGTTTTTTGGGGTACTTTCAGCGTTTTTGGTGGGTTTGGGGTTTTCTTTGTATTTTTGGTGGGTTTTGGGTTATTTTGAGTATTTTTGGGCTCGTTTTGGGGTGGTTTGAGCTCGTTTTGGGCATTTTTGTGGAATTTTTCCTTATTTTGGGGGGTTTTGGGGGTATTTTTTGGCTGTTTTTTGCGTGCTTTTCGTGTTTTTTGGAATACTTTTTGCCATTTGGTTTAATTTTTGTCTATTTTGAGTCATTTTGTGCCGTTTTTGGCCGTTTTTGCCCCCCACAGGTGATGAACATGTACGGGGACCTGGTGATGGACGCCGTGCCCGACAAGGTCAGGGGGCGGGGCCGGGGTGGGCGGGGCCTGGGTGGGTGTGGTCCAGGTGAGGTGGGCGTGTCCCAGGTGAGATGGGCGTGGCCTAGATGTTGTGGGCGTGTCCAAGGGTGTGTCCCAGGTGCAGTGGGCGTGTCCCAGGTTAGGTGGGCGTGTCCAGGTGTGGTGGCTGTGGTCCAGGTGAGGTGGGCGTGTCCAAAGGTGTGTCCCAGGTGTGGTGGGCGTGTCCTAGGTGAGATGGGCGTGTCCCAGGTGTGTCCCAGGTGAGGTGGTTCGTGCCCCTGGGCATGTTCAGGTGAGGTGGGCGTGTCCCTGGGCGTGTCCCAGGTGTGGTGGGCGTGTCACAGGTGAGGTGGGCGTGTCCCTGGGCGTGTCCCAGGTGCGGTGGGCGTGTCCAAAGGTGTGTCCAGGTGAGGTGGGCGTGTCCAAAGGCGTGTCCAGGTGTGGTGGGCGTGTCCAAGGGCCTGCCCAGGTGAGGTGGGCGTGTCCCAGGTGAGGTGGGCGTGTCCTTGGGCGTGTCCAGGTGAGGTGGGCGTGTCCAGCTGAGGTGGGCGTGTCCATGGGTGTGTCCCAGGTGCGGTGGGCGTGTCCCTCGGCATGTCCCAGGTGAGGTGGGCGTGTCCCTGGGCATGTCCCAGGTGTGGTGGGCGTGGTCCCAGGTGGGATGGGCGTGTCTCAGGTGAGCCCCTCCCCCCCCTCCAGGTGCATTTCTTCAACTCCTTTTTCTACGACAAACTTCGCACCCGCGGCTACGAGGGCGTCCAGCGCTGGACCAAAAACGTGAGGGGGCGGGGCTTAAATGGGCGTGGCCAGGTGTGGGCGGGGTTTAAATGGGCGTGGCCAGGTGTGGGCGTGGCCAGGTGTGGGCGTGGCCAGGGAAGATTCCTTCAGGTGTGGGCGTGGCTCTAAGGGAAGTGCTGGACCAATAAAATAAAGGGGGTGGGGCTTAAATGGGTGTGGCCAGGTGTGGGCGTGGCCAGGTGTGGGCGTGGCCAGGTGTGGGCGTGGTCACTGGGAATTTTTTGGGATTTTTTTATTAATTTATTGGGCTTTTTCTGCCGTTTTTTAGGTTTTTTTTGTCTTTTTTTTTGGGTGGTTTCGGAGGCGGTTTTGGGACATTCGAGGTGGAAAATTTGGGATTTTTTGGGGGGGAATTTCTGGAATAATTTTGCGGGGATTTTTTGGGATTTTTCGGGAATTGTGGGGATTTTTTTAGTGATTTTTATTTTTTGGCTTTTCTCTGGGGATTTGAGGGGGTTTTGGGCCTGTTTTGGTGGTTTTTGTGGTTATTTTTGGGGTTTTTTGGGTGTTTCAGGTTGTTTTTTGGGCTGTTTTCTTTTTTTTCAGGCTATTTTAGGTATTTTTGGGCTCTTTTCAGTGTTTTTTGTTTATTTTCAGGAATTTCAGGCTGGTTTTGGGGCTGTTTTCAGTATTTTTGGGCTGTTTACAGAATTTTTGGGCTGGTTTTGGTATTTCAGGCTGTTTTCTGTATATTTGGGCTGTTTTCGGTGGGTTTTGTTTATTTCTGGGTATTTTGAGCTGTTTTTTGTTTATTTTTGGGTGATTTGGGCTGGTTTTGGCTGTTTTCAGTATTTTTGGGCTGTTTTCGGTATTTTTGGGCTTTTTTTTGTATTTTCAGGCCATTTTCGGTATTTTCAGCCTGGTTTTGAGCTATTTTTTGTATTTTCAGGTTATTTTAGGTATTTTTTGGCTGTTTTCAGTGTTTTTTATTTATTTTTGGGTATTTTGGGCTTGTTTTTTGGCTGTTTTTGGTATTTTCGGACCATTTTTGCTTATTTTGGGCTGTTATCAGAATTTTTGGGCCTTTTTTTGTATTTTTGGGCTGTTTTCGGTGTTTTTTGGGGAGTTTTTTGGGTATTTTGGGCTTGTTTTTAGTCTGTTTTCAGTATTTTTGGGCTGTTTTCAGTATATTTAGTCTGTTTTCGGTATTTTCAGTCTATTTTGGGTATTTTCGGGCCATTTTTGGAATTTTAGGGCTGTTTTTGGTATTTTTGGGCTGTTTTCGATGTTTTTTGTTTATTTTTGGTTATTTTGGGCTGTTTTTTGTTTAGTTTTGGGTATTTTGGGCTGTTTTTTGTTTATTTTTTGTTATTTTGAGCTGGTTTTGGGGCTGTTTTTGGTATTTTTGGACTGCTTTCGGAATTTTTGGGCAGTTTTCGGTATTTTAGGCTTTTTTCAGTATTTTCAGGCTTTTTTTGGTATTTTTGGGCTATTTTCAGTATTTTTTGGCTGTTTTTGGTGTTTTTTGGGGTTTTTTGGGTATTTTGGGCTTGTTTTTAGTTTCTTTTCAGTATTTTTGGGCTGTTTTCAGTATATTTGGTCCGTTTTCGGTATTTTCAGTCTATTTTGGGTATTTTCAGGCTATTTTCAGTATTTCCCGGCTGTTTTCGGTGTTTTCTGTTTATTTTTTGTTATTTTGAGCTGTTTTTTGTTTATTTTTGGGTATTTTGGGCTGTTTTTTGTTTATTTTGGGGTATTTCGGGCTGGTATTTTTGGGCTGGTTTTGGGTATTTCAGGCTGTTTTTTTGGGCCGTTTTTGGTTATTTCCAACTGTTTTTTGTGCTTTTTTTGGGTATTTCTGCCTGGTTTTTTGGGCCATTTTCGTTATTTTCATGCCGTTTTCGCTCCATTTTGGCTATTTCGGTTCCGTTTTCGGTATTTTGGGCAGGTGGACATTTTCGGGAAGGAGCTGCTGCTGATCCCCATCCACCTGGAGGTTCACTGGTCGCTGGTGGCCGTGGACGTGGGGCGCAGAACCATCACCTACTTCGACTCCCAGCGAACCCTCAACCGCCGCTGCCCCAAGGTGGGCGGGGCCCCAAAAATGCCAAAATTCAGCCCAAAATCCCTCCCGAAAATCCAGCAAGAATCGCCTGAAAAATGCCCCAAAAAACCCAAATTTCCCTACTAAAAATCTGCCCAAAAAATAAAAAAAATTCCTCCCAAAAATCCACCCCAAAAATCCCAAAATTCACCCCAAAACCCCTCCAGAAAATCCACCAAGATTCGCCCTGATAATCCCCAAATTCCTCCCAAAAAATCCACCCAAATCGTCCCAAAAATATGCCAAAAATTCTCCCCAAAAATCCCGAAATTCCTCCCAAAAATCTGCTCCAAATCGTCCCAAAAATGGCCCCAAAATTCCCCCCAAATATCCCAGAATTCCACCCCAAATCCCCCAAAAAATTCCAAAAATTCTCCCAAAAAAACGGGGTTAAAATTTGGGTGGCTTTGGTTGGAATTTGTCCCCATCTTTTCTTTATTTGGGGTTAAAATTTAATTTATTCCGGGGAAAAAGGGGTTAAATGGGAGGGGTTTGGGTCAAAAGGGGGCGTGGCTTCCCAAAAGGGGGCGTGGTCACAGTATTAAAATTTGGGTGGGTTTGGTTGAATTTTGTCCCCATCCGTTCTTTATTTTGGGGCTAAAATTTAATTTATTCTGGGATAAAGTGGGTTAAATGGGTGGGGTTTGGGTCAAAAAGTGGGCGTGGTTATTCTAATAAGGGGCGTGGTCGTGGTATTTAAATTTGGGTGGGTTTGGTTGGATTTTGTCCCCATTCTGTTCTTTATTTTGGGCTAAAATTTAATTTATTCTGGGATAAAATGGGTTAAATGGGCGGGGTTTGGGTCAGAAAGGGGGCGTGGCTTCCCAAAAAAGGGGGCGTGGTCACGGGGTTAAAATCTGGAGGGGATTGGTTCGTATTTAGCCACGCCCACTCGTTAATTTGGGCCATAATTTGCATAATTGTGGTCCAAAAATGGTTAAATCCGCCCCTAAATGTGGGCGTGGCCATTCCAAAAGGGGGCGTGGTTATGTTAATGAGTTAAAGGGGTGGGGCTTGAACAGGCAAAGAATTTAAATTATGATGCGAAATTTAAAATTGCTCATTAAAATATGCGTTAATTAAGGGGTGGGTGGAGCCTAATTAGGTGTGGCAAGTGGGCGTGGCTTAATGGGGTGGGGCCTGATTGGGTGTGGCGAGTGGGCGTGGCTAAATGGTGGGTGGGGCCTAAGTGGGCGTGGATAATGGGTGGGAGGAGCCTCAATAAATGGGCGTGGCTTCACTTTTAGGGGGCGTGGCTTCACAATTAGAGGGCGTGGCTTGCGTTTAGTGGGCGGGGCTTGTTGTGAATTAATTAGGGGGCGTGGCCAGAGTGGGAGGGGTCAAACCCGCTGACCACGCCCCCCTTTTGGCCCCGCCCACAGCACATCTGCCGCTACCTGCAGGCGGAGGCGGACAAGAAGGAGCGGCCGGATTTCCGCGAGGGATGGAGGGGCGCCTTCAAAATGGTCAGAGGGGGCCCGAAATTGGCTGAAATTAACCCAAAAATGTCCCCGAAAATCTCCCGAAAATCTCCCTAAAATCCCTCAAAAATCCCACAAAAATCTCCTGAAAATCACCCAAAAATGCCCCGAAAATCTCTTGAAAATGCCCCGAAAATCTCTCGAAAATTTTCAGAAAATGCCCCGAAAATTCTTTAAAAATCTCCCAAAAATCCCCCGAAAATCTCCCAAAATTCCCCCGAAAATCTCCCCAAAATCCCCTGAAAATCTACTGAAAGTCCCACGAAAATCTCCTGAAAATCTCCCGAAAATCACCCAACAATCTCCTGAAAATGCCCCGAAAATCTCTCGAAAATTTTCAGAAAATGCCCCGAAAATTCCCTCGAAAATCTCCCGAAAATCCTCAAAAAATCTCCCGGAAAATCTCCCGAAAATCTCCTGAAAATTCCCCAAAAATCTCCTGAAAATCCCCCGAAAATCCCCCGAAAATCCCCCAAAAAAATCCCAAAATTCCCCACAAAATACCCCAAAAATCCCCTAAAAATCCCCCACAAAATCTCCTAAAAAACCAAAAAAAATCCCCCAAAAAACCCCAAAAATTCCCATAAAATCCCCAAAATTCCCCAAAATCCTCCCCCAAGTTCCCCAAATTCCTGAAATTCCCGAAAATCCCAAATTTTGGGTTTTTTCCCCCAGAACGTGGCCCGGCAGAACAACGACAGCGACTGCGGCGCCTTCGTGCTGCAGGTGAGCGAAATTTGGGAATTTTGGGAAATTTGGGGAAATTTTGGGTTAATTTTGGGAATTTTCGGGGGAAATTTCGGAATTTAGGGGGAAATTCGGTAAAAATTTGGGGGATTTTTGGTGGAAAATGGGGATTTTTGGAGAAATTTGGGAATTTTGGGGGATTTTGTGGGGAAATTTGGGATATTTTGGGGATTTTGGGGGTTTTAAGGGGAATTTTGGAGTGAATTTTGGGGATTTTGGGGGAAATTTGGGAATTTTGGTGGAATTTTGGGGCAATGTGGGGTTTTAAGGTGAATTTTGGGGAATTTAGGGGAATTTTGGGATAATTTTGAGGGAAATTTGAGGTTTGGGGAATTTTGGGGTACATTCAGGGGAATTTTGGTTGAATTTTGGGGGATTTGGGGGAGTTTTAAGGGGAATTTTGGGTGAATTTGGATGGAATTTTGGGGGAAATTCAGGAAATTTGGGTTTTTTTGGAATTTTGGGGGAATTTGGGGTGGATTTGGGGGGGAATTTTTGGGCCATTTTTCGGGCGATTGGGGGCGGATTTTTGGAGAAATTTTGGGATTTTTGGGGTGGATTATTTTGAGGAATTTTGGGATTTTTGGGGTGGATTTTTGGGAGAATTTCTGGAATTTTTGGGCGGATTTGAGGTGGAAATTTTTGGGGGGATTTTTTGGATGAATTTCGGGGGGAATTTTGGGATATTTGGGGGGAATTTTTGGCACATTTTTGGGACAATTTGGGGTGGATTTTTGGGAGGAATTTTGGGATTTTTGGGGTGGATTTTTGGGAGAAATTCTGGAATTTTTGGGGGGATTTGGGGCGGATTTTCGGGAGGAATTTTGGGATTTTTTGGGCGGATTTTTGGGAGGAAATTTGGAATTTTGGGGCATTTTTTGGAGGAATTTTGGGATTTTTTGGGTGGATTTTTGGGAAATAATTTGGGATTTTGGGGGGATTTTTCAGGCGATTCTGGCTGGATTTTCAGGAGGTATTTTGGGCTGAATTTTGGGATTTTTGGAGGCGAATTTTTTGGGGTAAATCCTGATATTTTTGGGTTTTTTTGTCCCCCCAGTACTGCAAATTCCTGGCCCTGGGCCGCCCGTTCAGCTTCACGCAGCAGGACATGCCCCACCTGCGCCGCCTGATGTACAAGGAGCTCTGCCACTGCCAACTCGCCCTTTGACCCCCAAAATTTTGGGAATTCCTCCCAAATTCCCAAATCCCCCAAAAAACCCCAAAAAAACGCAAAAAACCGCGCGGAAATCGGGCTCAGAACGGCCAAAATACGGCAAAAAATGTGAATTTTGGCGGAGGTGGGCGGGGTTTAAAGGAGGTGGGCGGGGCTTAATGGGCCCAAAATTTTGGGAATTTTTTGGATTCCTGAAAAATTTGAAAATTCCCAAAAAAAATTCTCAGAAAAATGCAAAAAACCCCACGGAAATCGGCCTCAAAATGGGGAAAAAATGGGAATTTTTGGAACGGTGTGGGCGGGGTTTAAGGGAGGTGGGCGGGGCTTAATGGGACCAAAATTTGGGGAATTTTTGGGATTCTGAAAAATTGGAAAAATCCCCCCAAAAAACCTCCTGAAAAATCTCAAAAAGCTCCAAAAAAACCCCAAGAAAAACTCAAAAAGAAACACCGAAAAATCCCCCAAAAAAACAAAAATTCCAAAAAAATTCCCCAAATTCTCCAAAAATACCCCAAAAATTCCCTTAGTTCTCCAAAAATTCCCAAAAAATTCCCAAAATTCCCCCCAAAATTCCCAAAATGCCAAAAAAATTTGGAAAAAATCCCCCAATTTCCAAAAAGTCGCCAAAAATTTCCCCAAATTCACCAAAAATTCCCAAAATTTCCTCAAAAAAATCTCCAAAAATTGCCCAAAAAATTAAAAAAAATAATCTGCCCCAAAAAAATATAAAAAATCTCAAAAAATTCCCAAAATTCCCACCCAAAAATCTCAAAAAATTCCCAAAAAATCAAAATATTCCCGCAAAATTCCCAAAAATTCCCATTTTGGGGGTGGGGGAGGGGCCGGGGAGGTTTTGGGCTCCTTAAATTTCCCCAAATTCCCCCAAATTTCCCCAAATTTCCACGAATTTCCACGAATTTCCACAAATTTCCCCGAATTTTTCGTTTCGGGGCCGTTGCAGAAAAATTTTGGGAATAAAAAGCGAAAAAAAATCCCAAATTTTGGCTCTGGGGGTGGGGGGGAGGGGGGAATTTTGGGGCAATTTTTGGTGATTTTTGGGGCAATTTTGGGGGATTTTGGTTTTTTTTTGGGAGGAATTTTGGGGCATTTTTGGGGGGAATTTTGGGGAATTTTGGAACATTTTTTTGGAGATTTTTTGGGGCATTTTGAGAGATTTTTTGGGAGGAACTTTGGGACATTTTTTTTGGGGCATTTTGGGAGATTTTTTGGGAGGAATTTGGGGACAGTTTTGGGGGGATTTTGGGATTTTTTTGGGGGGATTTTGGGATATTTTTTGGGGGGATTTTGGGACATTTTTTGGGGGGATTTTTGGGACATTTTTGGGACAGTGCTGAGGTGGATTTTGGAATATTTTGGGGGGAATTTTGGAATATTTTGGGGACATTTTTGGGAGGATTTTGGGACTTTTTTGTGACATTTTTGTGGGAAATTTTGTCACTTTTTCTGCGATATTTTTGGACTTTTTTGCGTCATTTTGGGACATTTTTTTGCGTCATTTTGGGACATTTTTTGGAGGAGTTTTGAGACATTTCCCGACCCATTTTTTAGGACATTTTGGGCCATTTTTTGGGGTCATTTTGGGCCATTTTGGGCCATTTTTTGGGGTCATTTTGGGCCATTTTGGGCCATTTTCGCCCAATTCCGATCCGCCGTTCCGGGCGGGACTGACCCATTCCGCCGCGAGGGGGGGGGGAGGGGAAGCACCTCCCCTTCCCCTCCCCCTCCCCCACAATTCCCATGCGCGGCCCCTTTAAGAGCCCCTCCCCCCCTCATCTTTTTTTTGTGGTTTCTCCCCAAATCCATTTTGGCCTCTCCCATTTAGCCCAAAATTTTGATTTTTTCCCCCCCCTCCCCTTAATGGTTTAACCCAACCCCTTGGCCACGCCCCCTCCTCCATTGTCCTGAGGCGCGCGCGGCGCTCCGCCAATCAGCGCGCGGCGTGGGCGTGGCTTGAGGGCGGAAGGAACCAATGGCGGCGCGGGGGGGGCGCGGCCTCGGCCGCCTCATAAAGCGGCGCCGCGCGGGGGGGGAGCGGAGCGGAGCGCGGCGATGTCGGCGAGTCACGACAGCAGGTACGATACGGGGCGATACCACCTCCCACGACAGCGCGGGGGGGGTGGGAGAGACCCGCCGTTATCCTGAGGGAGAGGCGGAACAAACGGAATCGTCCCACCGGCGTGAGGCGAATCGGCGCTTTGGCGCCGTCGCGATTCGCTGAGGGGAACCCCGCGGTTTGTCGCGTGTCCCCCCGTGGGGTTTTTTGGGGTTTTTTAGGGTTTTTTTGCCGGTTTTGGGTGTTTTTTAGGCGGTTTTGAATGAATTTCTCCCCCCCCCTCCCCCGCCCACGTGGTCGGCGCCGCGCGCGCGCCTCCATTGTTCCCCCCCCCCGCCTCCCCCGTCGCGCGGCTGGCGTGATGACGTCAGGAGGGACGCGCCGCGCTGATTGGTCAATTCGGGGGGATGTGGGCGGGGCTTTGCCGCCCCTCGGCCGCGTGGTCGGGGGGAAGTCAGGGCCGCTTCCGGTCACGTGGGAGGTGCGGGGTAATGACGTAATGTAGTGGGGTTATGACGTCATTTTGCGGATTTTAACCCTTTTTTCTCCTCCCAGATCTCGCGAGAGCGGCCCCGAGGGGATGGAGCCGGACGGGGTCATCGAGGTCAGGAACTGGGAGGGACTGGGACAAACTGGGAGGGACTGGGAGGGAACTGGGATGGACTGGGAGGGGTTAAAGTTAAACTGGGATGGACTGGGAGGGGTTAAAGTTATACTGGGAGGGACTGGGAGGGGTTAAAGTCAAACTGGGATGGACTGGGAGGGGTTAAAGTTAAACTGGGATGGACTGGGAGGGGTTAAAATCAAACTGGGACAAACTGGGAGGGTTTAAAGTTAAACTGGGAGGGACTGGGAGGGGTTAAAGTTAAACTGGGACAAACTGGGAGGGGTTAAAGTTAAACTGGGATGGACTGGGAGGGGTTAAAGTTAAACTGGGATGGACTGGGAGGGGTTAAAGTTATACTGGGACAAACTGGGAGGGGTTAAAGTCAAACTGGGACGGACTGGGAGGGGTTAAAATCAAACTGGGATGGACTGGGAGGGGTTAAAGTTAAACTGGGAGGGACTGGGAGGGGTTAAAGTCAAACTGGGATGGACTGGGAGGGAACTGGGAGGGACTGGGAGGGGTTAAAGTTAAACTGGGATGGACTGGGAGGGGTTAAAATCAAACTGGGATGGACTGGGAGGGGTTAAAGTTAAACTGGGATGGACTGGGAAGGGTTAAAGCCAAACTGGGATGGACTGGGAGGGGTTAAAGTTAAACTGGGATGGACTGGGAGGGGTTAAAATCAAACTGGGATGGACTGGGAGGGGTTAAAGTTAAACTGGGAGGGACTGGGAGGGGTTAAAGTTAAACTGGGATGGACTGGGAGGGGTTAAAGTTAAACTGGGAGGGACTGGGAGGGGTTAAAGTTAAACTGGGATGGACTGGGAAGGGTTAAAGTCAAACTGGGACGGACTGGGAGGGGTCAGAACCAAACTGGGATAAACTGGGAATGGTTAAAATCATACTGGGATAAACTGGGAGGGGTCAGAACCAAACTGGGACAAACTGGGAGAGCTCAGAACCAAACTGGGATAAACTGGGAATGGTTAAAATCATACTGGGATAAACTGGGAAGGGTCAGAACCAAACTGGGACAAACTGGGAATGGTTTAAATCAAACTGGGACAGACTGGGAGGGGTTAAAGTCAAACTGGGACAAACTGGGAAGGGTTAAAATCAAACTGGGAGAGCTCTGAACCAAACTGGGATAAACTGGGAAGGGTCAGAGCCAAACTGGGACAAACTGGGACAAACTGGGAGAGCTCCGAACCAAACTGGGACAAACTGGGAAGGGTCAGAGCCAAACTGGGATAGACTGGGACAAACTGGGAGGGGTTAAAATCAAACTGGGAGGGGTCAGAACCAAACTGGGACAAACTGGGAGGGCTCTGAACCAAACTGGGATGGACTGGGATAAACTGGGAAGGGTCAGAACCAAACTGGGATAAACTGGGAAGGGTTAAAATCAAACTGGGACAAACTGGGAGGGCTCTGAGCCAAACTGGGATGGACTGGGACAAACTGGAAAGGGTTAAAATCAAACTGGGAGAACTCAGAACCAAACTGGGACAAACTGGGAGGGGTTAAAATCAAACTGGGACAAACTGGGATGGACTGGGAGGGGTTAAAATCAAACTGGGATAAACTGGGACAAACTGGGAATGGTTAAAATCAAACTGGGATAAACTGGGAGAGCTCTGAACCAAACTGGGACAAACTGGGATGGACTGGGATGGGTTAAAATCAAACTGGGACAAACTGCGAAGGGTTAAAATCAAACTGGGATAAACTGGGAAAGCTCTGAACCAAACTGGGATAAACTGGGAGGGCTCAGAACCAAACTGGGATAAACTGGGAGGGGTTAAAGTTAAACTGGGACAAACTGGGAGGGGTCAGAAACAAACTGGGACAAACTGGGAGAGCTCTGAACCAAACTGGGATAAACTGGGAGGAGTTAAAATCAAACTGGGATAAACTGGGACAAACTGGGAATGATTTAAATCAAACTGGGACAAACTGGGATTGCTCCAAATCAAACTGGTCCAACCAGGCCGAGCCTCCCTCCTTTCCTGGGACAACTTTTTACTGGTTTTTACTGGTGCGCGGCGGTTTTTACTGGTCCGTACCGGTCCTTACTGGTTTATACTGGTTTATACTGGTGCGCAGAGCAACTGGCACGAGGTGGTGGACAGCTTCGACGAGATGAACCTGTCGGAGGCGCTGCTGCGCGGGATCTACGCCTACGGCTTCGAGAAACCCTCGGCCATCCAGCAGAGAGCCATCCTGCCCTGCATCAAAGGTGAAACCAGTATAAACCAGTATAAACCAGTATAAACCAGTATAGACCAGTAAAAACCAGTATAAATCACTATAGACCAGTATAAACCAGTTAGGGGAGTGGGATCTGCGCCTACG